TGTTCCTTCATTACCATGACGATGGGCGCTGTGGTTTTTGTGCGTCAGTCCAAAGAGTCACATCCTGCTTCTGGAAAGACTCTCCTGAGCACCAGATGCAGATTTTTCCACAGTTTGAGGTAGAATCCCCCCAAAAGGTATACAGTACGTCACAAGTGGGTTTTGCATTGAGAAGAATAGAGGCTGATGTCAGGCAATTGTCGTCCTTGTTGAAAATATTTTGGGAATTAATTAGAATCCTCGATTGTTTTTACAGAATAAATAACTAAATTTATTCTCAAGAATTCTCACTCTACATTTAATGTTTCCAAAACCATATGCTGCCTATATCGACGGCTGTGTTGGTCGTTGATGTGGAGTCATTCCAAAGTTGATTATGTGGATTTGTATAAAATTCGATGGGTGTATAACCTGAAGGCTTTGCTCTGGTGACGTATGCGTGACAGCAATTCATTTAGCACATGGAGGTTTTGAAGGCTGATGGATCTAGAGGAGTAAGCGTGAGGAGAAATTAAGGAAGCCACGAGTAATGCAGGCTAATTATACCCGTATTCACAAGTCACCATTCCTCTCCTCCCCTGAAATGCAATTGATTAAAAGGGGTTTAGATGTTTCACTGACGAAGGATTTGAGCGCCAAAGACGTTGCCATGACTCAAAATCCAGCGGCTCCCCGGCAGAGAGCGATAGATGCTTCTGCTCTGGAACAAGTGATGAATAACGGGGGGGTTGTTCTGTGCAGCAGAGATCGATGCATCGACCGGGCAGAGGTCGCGGGCAGCCATCATCATCAAACTGCCCTCTGCTGTGTGTGTGGGGGGGGACCAGGGGGAAAATGTGTCGCTGGCTCCAGACTCATTCAGAGCACCGATGACGAGGCAGTTTAACGTTCTGCTCGCCAACGGGATCCGATCGGGGGAAATGAAGACATCCACGCCTGTAGCCTGCCGACGTTTGGCTCGGCGTGATGGTTCAAATCTGTTGCGTTGCTCTGTTGATGCGTCACGTGATCAACGTCTGGCCCATTGATTGGCGGGAGCTGCAGCGAGTGTGCGTGTGTGCGTGCTCTGACCTGTTTGTGCAGCGGAGTGTGAGGCCAGCGGATGCCGTTTCAGGGTCAGTGCTGGTGTGGGACTGAATGGACCCGTCCAGGAGGCCGGCGCGTCCCTAGCGGCCTCCCCTCCACTGCCAGTGCTACCGCTGTCACATCACCGCCGGGTCACACAGAGCAAACGCTCCCATGTAGCTCGACTCTTCGCTGCCGTTGGACGCGGCCTGTGACTTGGCCGGCGACACGCGGCACGTCTCGGATTTCAAATTTAGTGTTTTTGGGGGTTTTCGTGATAAAATGGTTCGTCCCGTCTGCGAAGAGCCCCGGAGGCGGCGAATAAAACAAAGTTTTTCAAGTATTTCACATCGTCTAAATGTTTCCCATTAAAATGCACAAATGGAATTTGTTAAAACAAAAAAATTTGTTTTATGAACGCATACGCTGCATTAAATAAAATAAATGACACACCACACCAGAGGCTGCGTTCCAGTACATTAAATGAAAGTTTGAGTTTGGCCCAAACAGCTAGCTTAGCCTTTATAGCAACCTATATGGCAGTTACCTATCTGTGAATGCCACTGATTTAGTGAGTGAGGGAACTAATTCAGCAGACACAGGGCAAGCTGTTAGCTGCTCATAGGTTCAATGGATTTGTTTTTCATTGCTGAGGTAATCTATTTTAACACAATGGATAACGCTCATCACCTGCCAATTGGCATGTGCTGTGGCTCGGTCCTGTACTGTTCACTCTGCTACAGCTCCTCTGGGCACAATGGTCTCGTTGGCAGCTCCTGCGTGTTCGGAAATGTGACATTGAAGAACCTTTCTTATGCTCAGAATTGCACCCAGTGTTTATTGTGAAGAGCTTGAAATGTAATATTGTTGCATCAAGGGCGCCACATCTGAAAGGCGGCCAATCGGACAGCTGCTTCAGGATTTCAAACCCGCTGACTCTACTCCACTACATTTGTTTAATGACTTATAAGCTATTATAAAAGTTATAAGATATATTCCCCGTTAGTTGAAATAAGTAAAGAATGACTACAACAAAATAGCTGGCGTATTTGTTTATTAATATATGTTGGAATACTGATTCAGAACCCAGTTACATATTCTTAAAATGGGAACTGTAACAGTCTCTGTGTAGCCTTCATAATAAAAGTTTCAACCTAATTTAAATGTTCTACTTGAAATGAAAAGCCAGTGTAGCAGAGGTTGAAATAAAATCTTGTTGTTTGTAGTAAAAATACTGTTTTTGATTTGCAATGAATCCGGCAGTAATTAGAGACAAAGTTTGAGCCACATTTTGATCTCAGAAGGTTCTCATGCATATTGATGTTATTGATCTGGTATTTCTGCACAATGACTATGCAGCACCTAGAGAGAGGGTGTCTGTGGACATATTAGGATGCAGGGACGTGTGTGTGTGTGTGTGTGTGTGTGTGTGTGTGTGTGTTGTCTTCTCGTCCTTCTGAGGGGACATCAGGGAGCTGTGGGGATTTACCAACCTTTGGACCGCTTTCTCGCTCCAGTGCACATTCTCTCTAGCAGGAATCCTGCGGGCCTTTCTCCCTCAATTTGGACACCAACGCGCACCGAAAAGGCTAAATTTAGTGTAGCCAACTAGGGGGTAGCGTCACTGTCTTTTAAATATGACATTTACGTTGTTACAAAAGTCTTGTGACTCGTTGTATATTTAACAGTTCCAAGAGGGCAACATGATCATTCATTAGAGTTGTGTTTGTGTTCAGCTGACGAGTGGAAGTCCATCACTCGCTCCCGTTTTGTCTCGGCCTGCTTGGATTCACGCTTTCTCTTGAGAGAAATATCTGCAACTCCTTCCAGCTGCTCGCTATAAGTTTGTGTTTGCTGCAGCAGTGTGTTCAGTGCGTTTCCTTAGAGCGAACGGGAGCAAAATCACCCAAGCGGAAATAAGAATAATGAGATGCTGAAAGGCTGCAGAGAACGTGAGCATCCATAAGCTAAGCGGTGTGGTCTTTTTTTTTTATTTAATGCCAGTACCAAATGCAGTCCGTCCTTAGCTGTTCTACTCACAGCTCAGGTTTGTTTAGGTGGATCAAACACGTCCAGCATTCAGCCCACTCCGAGGCTTTGAGCTCAAAGACCTTTCTTCTTCCTCGCTGGATGTCGTGCATGTTGCATTTCAGGGGATCTACACAGCACAAAAGGAATATAAAATGTTTAGCTATGTTTTCATTATTGTGTATTCTCCTGAAACAATGTATCGTTGTTGTTCTTTTTGTCGAATTAGAATAATAATAAAAAATGTACCTGAAGGCCACCCAAGGTCTCTGATGTGCTTGTGAAACGGCGGTAAAGTCGAAGCTTACTGACCGAGCTGCGTCGTTTGATCGCATTTGTGTGATAATGTGTTGGATTTGATCCTTATTTCAATATAAAAGGAGCACAAACTTTGGGATCAACCATGTGACCTTCCAGTTGGACTTGAAGGCCATTATTTGAAATTTGATAAAGAACGCATGGGTCTCTCTAGTCAATTCTTTAGAATTAAGAAAATATGCGTAGAAACATCTGCCCAGCCAACGCTCTCCTTTTGTACGAGTCATGAGACGAGGGGGAAGCGTAGTTCTCAGTCACCGTTGCACCCACAACCTCCTTGCACCTTAATTGTGTGCACCACAGAAGAAGAAGAAGCATCGCTTTCTTGTCTCTGTCTCTCCGTTTGTTGTGTTTGTCTCGCTGAGGAGGAAGCTACAGGAAGACTCTCTGTATGGAAACAATGGCTTTGTCAGTTCAACTAGACCTTTTGTTTGCCCCCCCCCCCCCTCGTCCCTCCTCTCCTCATCTTCCCTTATTCTCCCTTATTCCGATTCTCCTCGTACCCAGAAACCGGCCGAGGATGCTCGTTATCGTCCCTTTCTGCTGTTGTTGTTCTGCATGTGAGTGAAAAAGTGGGCAATCGCGGCGCGTCGCTCGGAGACGGCCGACCCCTTTCTGTAATGAGAAGATCCCCTTAAGCAGGACGCGCCGCGCGTGTGAGGGCCACACAACTTTGTGTAGACTTTACAAAAACACTGAACTCGTCAGATAATTTCACATGTGTGGCCAATGAAACAGAACAGACGGCGGCTCCTTTTGTGTAGTTGTAGCGGCATGAAGGCGATGAGTTTTTGACGATGGCGGCGAGGTCCTCCAGGTCAAACCAACACAAACGGCGGAGGAGAACCAGCCGCGAGGAGGAGAGGGTGTCGCCGTCTGAATGCGGGAGCAGCCTTTGAGATGAAGCCTTCAGAGGACGCCGAGGCGCCTGGTTTTGATCTCTGTTTACCACATTCAGCGGTTCCCTTAAAAGGATTTAAAGTGGTAATCAGAGGGATAATGGCGTGTTATTTCGTCTGCAGTCGCGGCACTGAGCATTCGTGGCCGCGGTGATTTTTGCACCGCGTTTCCCGGCTGCAGTTTGTCATTCAGAAGAGTGCACCTCTTTTGTCTTCTTCTACTTCTTTTTATTAATCTGCCCAGGTGCCTTTTTCAAATAACATTGCTATCCCTGCTGATCAAAAGCAACCCGGAAAGAGCACTGCCTGCTCCTATTAGTTTCCTCACATTGATCCAATATTTGTTTCTTTGGAGATGAGCCTTTGTTGTGCGAGATGTTTCCTTTCTCCTGCACAATGAAATCATCATCAGGTGTAAATGCGCTTAATAGAAAATAAGTGAAATAATTCACAGCCTGATTTGACAATGGCGTAGAAAAAAAATATCCACACTGGACACAAATAAGAACATTTTAACTTTGTTATAAATGCATTATGTGTAAAGCTGCACTGACTTGTTTGGGCTCCCAGTCATCAAACTTTCCACTTTGGCGTCATTTGACTCCTTCCACCGTCCGTATTTCACAAGGCAAGAAGACGACCACCTCTATCTTCTCACCCATTGACGTTTTTTTTCTTTTTCTCTTGCAGTTTGCTCCCAGTACTCCCGCGGTGTCTTCGCCATCTTCGGCCTGTACGACAAGCGCTCGGTCCACACGTTGACGTCCTTCTGCAGCGCGCTGCACATCTCCCTCATCACGCCCAGCTTCCCCACCGAAGGCGAGAGCCAGTTCACGCTGCAGCTGCGGCCGTCCATCCGAGGGGCGCTGCTGTCCCTCCTGGACCACTACGACTGGAACAAATTTGTCTTCCTGTACGACACCGACCGGGGTGAGTGATGTCTGTGTGTGTGTCCATTTAACTTTTTTGCTAATATATTTTTTGCTATATATTTTAAGGAATTAAAATGGCTTTAAACTTAGATTTAATTGGAATAAATCCCAGCAGGTACGTGACGTTTATGTTCCCACACGCTCCCTTCAAAGGCAACGCTTTGAATGGATGTGCCTGCAAAATAATGGCTGTTTTTAATACACAACATGTCTCGGGGGCCAACAAGTAATCAAGACTGCATTGCAGCTGCTGTTAGAGGTGTTGTAGATCATGTTGGACCTCTCTCCCCATTTGTCTTTCGCTTGAATCCCCTCCCGAGGACGAGGGCCGTGTATTTCTCTCATCTGTATGTGTTTCTCTCTCTTTGGCTATTTTCTTTTTTCCCCGTCACACACTTAGTCCTCGCCTCTGCCTCACACACACACTCACACTCACAGAGTCAATAGGTTAACTTACTCCCCGGGTATCACATTTTCATTACAAGACGGAATGAATACGGGCTACTGCTTGGATCACATCTCCACATCTCTCTTTCATACATTTTCCAGAAGGTAGTCAGGGGGAAGGGGGTAGGGGGGTGGGGGTGTTCATGCTTTCTCTCTCTGCTGCTGTTCAGACTGCAGTGAGTGTTTGAGCAGATTGGCTATATAGGAGCCACAGAGGGAAGGGGTGGGGGGGGGGGCGACTCATTCCGCGTCTCTTTCTTTCTCTTATCTCGGCCCGTACACGCTCGACTGGGTAAAAAGGCTCTTCTCCTCCCAACGAAACCTCTTTGTATCTGATCAGGTGCTCTCCTAAAAACACAACACAGTCCTGGAGTCCTGGATGCACGACCTGCTTCGCAGCAGACATGGAAAGCTTTGTTGGATAGATAAAATATATATTTACACGTTTATGTTTATGTGAATGAGGGTTAAGGTTAGGCCGGTAATTGTCTGGAATTTGCTGAAGCTCTGTCCGTGGTGCTGAAATCAGTCGACTGACTGGCTCGTGGTTTATTTCTGTCACGTTGTGGAAGATGCTGTCTTCATAACGGTCGGAAACATTTACTGGATACAACAAAGCATTTGTGAAAAAATGACTCAAATGCGCAACGCGTTTGTCACTGGCTATGGTTGAATGAAATGTACAAATTATGTTGAGTTGTATTCACTGCTGCACCAAAGAATCTATTTTCATAGACATTTTTTCGGTTGTTTTATATTGTAATATTTACGGAACTGTTACTTTCCTTTAGCGCGCATTCATTTATATTTCCTACCAGCTTACTAACTGATCAGTTTGATGTCTTCTGCTGCCTAGTTTAGCAAACAATCCTAAAACCACAAGGCCTTCTTCCTCCAAACGCTCCGAGAAAAGCAGAGGCAGAACCGCCCTTGAGATTTTGTATTATTCCTTGTGAAGTTTTCTACACTCTATTCATGAAGTAATATCGCGAGTGGGAGTGTACTCGAGGTCTGAAGTGGCAGAAGTGCATATTTTAAAACCGTCAAATATGTCATGAGGACGTCTTTGTTGGAGGGTATGAATGCGTCTGTGCACGTCAGCGTTGCCTGACTGTACACCTACTAGTGATCTGTTTGCGCATGCGAGTGCTTTTCAGAAGGCTTTTGGGTGCAGGCTGCAGCACTTTGGCCCGAGGATTTCTTTTGCACACTGGGCCAGGCATTCATCCAGTATTGACTATAATGTGGAATCAGCCCACGCATGGCCGAGCCCAGTCAATGAGCGCCAGTCTGATTCCCTGCATCAAAGCTCCAGAGATACAAGGGGCCGGATGCTGTTGTTCTGTAGTGAGTGCTGGTCCTTCTAGCGTACCCTAATTTCAATGAAAACACACTCTCACACAGGAAAATACTACGAATAAAGGTGAAAATAACCATGGAAATGTTTTGTGGAAAATTAATTTGCATGCAAAGATGAAAAATAATGAAAATAGAATCAAATGTAGCGCAAAAATCCAGAAAAACATTTTGGAGAGGAGAGGAAATAAGTTGAGGAAAGGAAATTTAAGAACTGGAAAGGAAACTAGGATGGAGGAGAGAGGAGGAGGTGAGGGGAAAGGAAACGAGATGAGCAGAACCGATGAAGCAGGAAAGGAGAGAAAAGGAAGTGAAACGAGGGAATGAGATGAAATGAAGCAAGTAGACTGGAAAGGAAAGAAGAAAAGAAACAAGGAGGTACAAAAAGAGGGAAGAGAGGAGAGTGTGAAAGTAAACAAGAGGAGAGTAAACAATAGAAGAGGAGTGGAAATTAAATAAAACAAGAGTCCCAGAAAGGAAGGAGAGGAAATAATTGGGGGGAATGAAAAAAATAGAGGCCTTGAAAAAAAATGGAATGATGAAAAATAAGACGAGTGGAAGCCAAAAATGAGGACACGAGCAGATAGGAAAGGAAGTGAAGGGATAGGAAAAAACAAGGAGATTAAAAAGAGAAAAACGGAGGATAGAAAAAAGTAGGCGAGGAAACACTGGAATAAAAGAGAACAAGAGAAATGTGGAGAGAAGAGATTGCATCCGATCAGGTGGAGGAGGAGAGGAGCCAAAGAGGAAGTATAGGAAAAGCAGATTGAATGGTAGCGGCAGTGTGTTTAGGCCACGATGAATGGCTCCTATTTAAAAGCATCAGCCTCTTTATGTACTCTCCAAAGCGCAAGAGGTGAAAGGAAAGGACCGGCTCAATAGGAGGGAGGACGGAGGCCCTGACGACCCTGACGACACGTCAAACTGGAGGGAAAAGACGGGGACAACGTGGGCGGGAAGTCACGAACGGAGGCACGAGTCGCATACGGAAATCCCAGATGTGCACTTCCTCCCCGATCCCGTGTCCGGCTCTGCCCCAATCGGCACGACGCCAAGCGGCCTGCGGGCGCTACACATTAATCAGCTGGTAATCAGCTGGCTCCTTCCACGCTTCACTTGCCTCGACGGCCACCACTGCGGCGCTCTGTCCGTGCGCTGCGTACGGCATGTGGCGCGACGGGGGGGGACACGCCGCGCCACGTGCCGTACAGGCAGCTCACTCTAGCTGCTCGCTCTAACCTCAGTGTCTTTGCATACAATCACTTGTGTGCATCATACGTCTGCCCTTGAAAGATTGACTCCAGATGCCCAAACCAAAATCGCAGCAGCGCACCAGTGGAACGACACCTTTCACGGGGAGCCAAAGCATTTGTAGCTGAAACAAAGGAGCTGCAGCCCCCACGGGGAGTCATCTCCACCCAACCCTGTGGCATCCCACTCTGTGCAAATGGGTTCATTTACCAGCATGCACGCAAGCTGCGGTAAGAAGAAATGGCTTGTGTCAGATTTAGGCAGCAGCTCCTGTCGGACCCGTCCATCCGCAGCTTTCGCTCCCCATCTCTCTCTTTCTGCACTCTCTTCTCCTCTCTAACGTCACTTTGATAGTATCGGCATGATATAAAACTAAAGGGTGACTGAAGACATTCTGATACACGTGTTAGCATGTGTGTGTCTGTGTGTGTGTGTTGTGTCAACCAGCAGGCTCTCCTGGCACCAACATCCCTTTAATGGGGAGTGCGAGGCTGGGGAGGGGACAGATCAGGTGGGGGGGGGGAGCCTGCTTTCCAGTGTACAGGTTAATCCTCTAATTGGGAGCAAAGGGAGACAGTTTGGCAGCTTGTGATTTCGACCAGGAGGGGCAGTTTAAGGGGGACATCTGTTCCTGCCGGAGAACAGCCGCCCTCACAGCTCCCCAGTTTCCTCCTCTGACACTCGTCTTCTTTATACACCAACCTGTCCCCCCCCCCCCGCCCACCCGCCAAGAGTCCAGTTCCGAACGGTTTCCCCGACTGGACTAAAGGCCGAGGTCCGATTGGACGGTTTCTTTTAGATTGCCAAAGATGTTGTGCAATATGTTGCATCACTTCACATGGTGTCATATGTCATATAGGAAGTAAACACCCGTACACACCTTCCTCAGTTTAATCACCAAACAAGTTGTTACGCTGGCATTTCAAAAACATCTAAGGAGCGCTGAATGTTATTTTACAATCCATCTGCGTAAAAATACAACCGTGCAAAATATTCAGTTTCCTTCCTGCAAAGTTCACACCGACATCACGATGCACGACACAGAACGCTCTGCTGTTTCATGCAATACCATTGAGGCGTTTTTTGGGTCGTCAAGAAGGCACTCGGTGTGCTTACTGAATGAAAGCACGCTTACAAGAAAATTCCAGGGCACCATAAATAAATACTTTCCGAAAAGGAACGTTGGTAGTGTATCAAACACTAAAGTTGGTTAATGAGCATTCTGACAACAACAGATGGTGCATAATTACCATATCGTTGCATTATGACCCAGTAAGTAAATAGATACTCTCGCGTTGTGAGAAGTCGAGCCGTCCCGCTTGTGTTGTCCCCCCCCCCCCTCCCCTCCCGCCCTCTTTGACGTGACTTCTCCTTCTCCTGTCCGTCGCAGGATACGCCATCCTGCAGGCCATCATGGAGAAGGCGGGACAAAACAACTGGCAGGTCAGCGCCATCTGCGTCGAAAGCTTCACCGACGCAAACTACCGACGGCTGCTGGAGGATCTGGACCGGAGACAAGAGAAGAAGTTCGTCATCGACCTGGAGGCCGAGCGGCTGCAGAACATGCTGGAACAGGTGACGCCACCGGGACCTCAGCATTGAGTAGTTACTCGTCTGTCTTTTGTACTTCCTGCTCAAAGGAGGCATCAGGCGTCTTTGTCTTGCATTTGGTTCGGACGAATCAAGCTCATTATTAGCTCATTATTAGCTCATTAGTTATTATCTTCAGTCATTGTCAAAACTAGGGAATACATCTTTAATTGTTCTAAATTATAAATACCCTCCAACAATGTTTCATTGAGGGATTCCAAGAAGATGATAATGATGCTGAGGCCAATATATATATTTATGATGGTGAGAATATCTGTTGTACCTTTAAATTTTATAGCAATTTATGGTTGTAGTAATAAGACGATCAAGTGGAAAATCACTAACTTGTGCGGCATGATGCCCGAAACTGAATATCTGCAAATAGAAGTTAATGTTTTGCACACTTTACTCCCTGTTTGTTTGTTTGTTTGACTCTTTTTGTGCTAATTAGAAAGTTGTGAATGTGTAAACAGTCTGTTTGGATCTCCGGTGGTGTTACTTGGCATGAGCACACTCAGAATATGATGTGAGCCTTTCTCCTCCTCTTCCTCCCCTCATCCCACCATCTTTCCCTGTGGCAACTGGTGTCTCTGTAATTGTTCAATTATTCAGGAAATCTTCACTCTGACATCTGTCGTAGTTCTAACAATTTACTTTGCAGATGTGTTGTAGTCTATTCGCCCCCCCCACCCCCCACGCGAGAAGCAGACTGTCATTCCTGTCATTTTTAGAGCTCGTGGGACGATACTTCTTGTTCAGTCTGTGGTCTCTGATGCTGCCAAAGGCAGGAGCAACAATTTAAGGCCTCTATTCATTCCAACTGTCGTCCTGTTCATATTTGCATCTTGCCAAATTTCTGCTGATCCAGGACCAGGATTTGAATGCATAATCAGGGCTCATTAGCTGCTAATTAACAGCACGGTCACTACATATCAAAGCATATATAAGCAACCAGATGTTATTTTGAATCTCAGCGCATGATAGCTTCGCCTATTTCATTTACAGATGGGAATCCCATTTACTGATGGCTAATTTGCATGATGTACACGATGTATCATAGCTGCCAAGGTGAAACGCTTAATTGATTTATGTATTTACTGTATTTAATCTTTATTTAACCAGGAGAGAGGTAATGGAGATCTGTTTTGTAAGGGTGACTTGACCTGGACGGGCGAACACATTTACAGACCAAAAAAAACTATTAGAAATCTGTGTGATAAAGGAACAGAACATTACCTAATAGTGTGAGTAGCAGCAATGTTATGGCTTCGTATCTGAATAAAATTCCAAAAGTCAAAAGGTCAGATCTGTACTATTTCCACAATGACAAAATGTTAGCACATTAACATTAAGGCCGCGACATCATGAGGTCAAATATGCACGACTTGTTCTGCACGAGCAACGTACTGAGTGTACCGCCTAATTATCGTCTCTAACATAATCAGCCTCACTGCGAAAGAGACAACTTTAAGTTCTCCACGAGATCATGAAATCAGCCGGCCGCGACCACGGCAATAACCACACACAAGCGCTTCAACGCCGACTGCAGGGGTGAAAATACGAATAACCAGCCAAACACATACGCGCAGTGTGTGGGCACAGGGGAATAAAACAAGAGAGCCGCGTTATCGTTTCATCGTTTTACGCCGGTGCACTACGGAACATTATGGAAAAAGGCTTTAGCGTCAGACGCAAGATTAACTGTAGAATGCTGTTCGTTGTGATTAAATAATTAAGGAGTTAATGGAAAAATAGATTTCAACAAAAAATGACTCATCTTCGTTCTAATCATTATTTTCCAACTGAGCGGCGCCGTCCCGCAGTGACATCGCTCGCTCTCTCTCACCAGATGCCAGACATCACATGTGGCTCTTTCTCTTTCATGGTCCTTTCATTATTATCAACATTTACTGCAAATTAAGTCTGACAAAGGCTTAAGTGGCGAGATTGTGAGGACATGAATAACCTTTATTAATAACATTTATTATAAGATCGGTAAAATACACCCGTCAACGTGTTCGTCAAGACAGACAACAATTCAATCCGGAGAGACTTGATGAAATTTTAACAATGCTTTATTGGTAACAGGCATAAATATTTATATTGCCAAGTTGTTTGGGGCTTGGACTTCATCTGCTGAACGATAGACAGGGGTCGGGATGCGAGATGAAGCAGCATCCCGGTTCATGTGTTAGGGAGTCCAGAACACTGGTGGGTGGTGGTAAGAGCCTAAATTGCGCCAATCTCCTGATCTGCCAGATCTGCTGCAGATTGGAGGTGTCAGGGGTGGTGGCGGGTTGCTTTTGGTGCGTGCTGAAATGACAACTGACCGCAAAAGAGAGGAGAACCGTTTTTTAACGTTTGCCTGCTGCCCCGATGCGATTGGTTTACGGTAACGACACCCACGTGTGGTTGATTAGGGGCGGGGCAGGTAGTGCCAGCCAGCTGGCCGCGCGCCCCCCGGGGAGACGAGGCCACCAGGGAACCGGCCTGTCCAGTCTTCGCCTAAGCTTCATTTGCTGTATTTTTATGCCATCTGATCAAAACTTTTCTGCACTAAAACCTCACATAGACCAGACGCGGCGTGTTGTTACTGATCCACACGCCTCCCTGTTAATAGTTCAACTCAAAACTACTTTCTGCTGACTAACTGCAAACCACGAGACGAATGGAGTCTTTAATCAAAGTGAGCGTTCACCGACTGCGAAGTTGGGGAACTGATATTAAGCCCGAGCTTTTCTCGCCCATTTCCTTCACCCTCATTCGCCGGATGTCTGAATGTCCAGCGGGATTTCCCCAGCGGATGTTGGCTTTCAAAATCAGATGCCTGCTGTGTGGTTGCGTGTATCGTTCACCTGACGCGACTACCTGCTCATTTGTTTGGACGTCCCATCTTCTGGGTATTAGACCTTGACGCTCCCATCGGTGTCAAGAGGCACAGTCTCGCGCTCGCCTGTCACACGCATCATTTCATGTGATTAACGTATGTTACGGTGTAATCCAATCGGATTAACGCTGAGCTCCACTCTGCCCCCCCTCGCAGATCGTCAGCGTTGGAAAACATGTCAAAGGGTACCATTACATCATGGCCAACCTGGTGAGGCCACTTGTTTTTTTATTCTTTCTTCTAACAATGTCTTTGTCACGTATGTCTCTTGCCACCTGTTGAATTCTCAGTATTACCCGAGTCCACCTGTCAAAACGTGGATGGTTGACACGTGCATAACTGACGCTAGAGGTTGTTGTTCTTTGCAAAATTTTGAGGCAAAGATCAGCTGAGGCAAAAGTTTAGCAGTTAGTCACATCAAGTGTGTATCTTCTGAAGTTACAGTACTTCCCCTCTTCGGTTTACCGCTCCCTGTCTGCAGCTCAGCAGGACAACATAAAAAAAGAATTTGGCTCACAAAGACTCGAATGTCGGAAGCTCCAGCTTTATATTCAATTAAGCTAAATTCGATTCAAACTGTTCAGATGTTCAGCTCCGTCTGACGGCCTCTGAGGACCATTAGATTTAGCCTGATTCCCCTTTCTCATTGGCTTCACGTCCACAGTAGTTCAGAGGTACTTCAGTGCCATTGAGTTTTCCCTTTCTCCCATCACTGGATTGAGTCTCGTCCGTCCCCTGTTACCCTTCAAGGGCTTTAAGGACATCAACCTGGAGCGCTTCATGCACGGTGGAGCCAACGTGACGGGCTTCCAGCTCGTCGACTTCAGCAACCCGATGGTCATCAAACTAATGCAGCGCTGGAATAAGCTGGACCAAAGGGAGTACCCGGGCTCGGACGCCCCGCCCAAGGTAGGTGGTCTTAAAAGTCATGTGAAATCTGATTAGCGATGCCACATCTTGTTTGGATTCGGATCTGCGGCTGTAAGCTCTTAGGACGATTTCAAATCCCCGAAATGGGAATTTTTGAGACGTACGTGGAATCCATTAAAGCACGTGTTCGAAGAATAGCGGGCGGTGATGTAAATGACGTGCTGCATGTGGGGAACGGCCCTCAATATGCAAAGCCGCGGCCCTTTTGATGATTCCTCAGGAGGGGCTCCGGAGTTGTTGCAACAGCAGAAAAAAAAAGTAGCAGATGCAGCAAAGAAAGTAATAATATGACAAGGAAAGGAATTTGCCAGATAAGACGAAAAGGGTATGAATATATAACAGCAGCGTGTTTCCAAGGTGTGCAGACAGAAGCAGCTTGATGGAAAGATTTCCATTTTGAAAAACGTATATAGTGAAGTGGAAACAGCGCGAGTCAAGCAGTGTGTAGTAAGTTTGTCTGATCGAGGGCGGTTCAGATTAAAAGTTTACACCACAGGGCAATATCACCCGAGGCCGTGTGGGTGTGGGTGTGTTTGTGTGTTTGCTCCCACTCTTGTTTCGTGATGGATCGCTCTCTCTCTCTCTCTCTCTCTCTCTCTCTCTCTCTCTCTCTCTCCTGAAAATCCCCTCAGACTAAATTACTCTGCTCCCTATTACGTTTGTCCACAGCCCGAGCCGCAGCCAGCCCTTCTTTCTAATAATATATTAACCTCACCAGTGAGTTTGGGCCCTTCCACTGACATGTTTACTCACTTAGCAAAGACAAATGTTATTTGTTGTGTTTGCAAGTTGCAGGAATCTGCAGGTAGGGAACTAATGAGCCGTTCCTTTACTCTAATGAATGAGAGCAAGCTCCGGGACGCCTTGAAAGTGACAACTGATTAAGATACGTTTTCCACCTGGTGTTAATATGCTGACTTGCAAAGCAATTGTATATATTTTATCGAGCATTATAGTTCTCGGAGTTAGAAAGTTATTGGTGGATAGTTACAAGATGACTTTGAGTATAATCTTTCATATAGGATGGGCTTGCCAGAAAGTAGAGTTTAGCTTGATGAAGGGCAACAAAGGACACACACACACACACACACACACACACACACACACAAACAGGGTGTTCGATGACGAGGGGAGAAATGAAAGGCAAACTTTGCAGATTTTCTGCTGTGTCGCTGCAGAGCGGGCAGCACATGCACATGCTGCCCGGTGTCCCTGCAGAGGGCCTCCGTCACCTGAGCTCATCCACCTGCAAACCCCCCTTTGCTCTCGTTTTGTTCATCTGCATGCACTGCAGCTGAAAATCAGCCAGGTTTGCCTAGAGTGCAAAAAAACTTTGATTGTTTTTCGCCCCCCTGAAATCTCTTCTTATCTCTCCATAGTGGATGTTTCACAGAAGGATCTTGTTTGTTTGGGATTCAACGCGAGCTGATTGGAAAATTCACACAAAAACAAAGGATTAAAACTGGGGAGATACATTTGAGTTGACTGAGTCTTTGAGCCAGCAGTAGTGTCGATGGTCTTGACTCTTCATCCGGCACCTCGGTTGGTTGTTTGTGTTCCTCTGGGCAGCTCGTCAGAGAGTAACGGGGGGGATGGAGTGTGGCGGCGGCTTTGTGGAGAGCCATAATGTCACAGTGAGCAGTGGGCTAATGAATAGGATCCATCCCCCCGGCCGGAGGCAAAGTTAATGAACTCCTGCTAGCTGGGATAATTAATGCCAGACTGCTACACGGCTGGACTAAACCCCCCCTGCCCCCCTTCCTCCGTCTTCCTGCCGTTTGTCATTCACTGAATTCATCCTCTGCCACGCCGGAGGTGAGTTTTCGTGAAATGCTTGGCCCTCCCGAGTGATTCTTGTAGACGCAAATATTCAGAGACAACTCAAAATGTTTGTGCAAAGAGACGGATTAGGGGGAGCTGGGATGCTCACGCTGTGGGGAACACGGTCTCGCTCGCGTGTCCTTTTCCATTTGCAGAAAATCAAGGGCAGAGTAGAAAGGCTGCAGATTCTTGCAACAACCGCAGCCGTTTCGACGTGCTGCTCGGCGCTTGCGGAAACTCGGCGAAGCCCTCAGAGGAGATCTGGCCAGCAAATACTGCAGAACATTTAGTCAAATCAGCATTTAATTGCCCCGACACAGCGAAGTCCATCCAACCTGCTCCTCTCGTCTCCCAGTACACCTCCGCACTGACGTACGACGGGGTGATGGTGATGGCCGAGGCCTTCAGAAATCTGCGCAGGCAGAAGGTGGACATTTCCAGGCGGGGGAACGCCGGCGACTGTCTGGCCAACCCGGCCGCCCCGTGGAACCAAGGCATCGACATGGAGCGAACTCTCAAGCAGGTCAGAGGCTCCCGTCTGACGTCTGCTCTCCTTTGCTCCTGACTTTCCATCAGCCTTTCTGTGGGGTAAATAAATAACACCTGCTGCTCTTCATTTCTTTGTGTGCAGGTCCGACTGCAGGGATTAACAGGTAATGTCCAGTTTGACCACTATGGCCGCAGGGTTAACTACACTATGGACGTGTTTGAACTGAAGAATAATGGACCCCGACGGGTAAAACATCACACCACACTGCTCACATCTGTGTTTTATGGATGCACGATCAGCAGAACTGTTCTCATTCTGAGGGATCAACATAGCATGTCGGCGGGGGGGTTTCTATTATCATAAGCACGTTGTCTCTACTTCTGGTGTGTGAGGATGGATGTCTGTTGATGGAATTCAGTGGAAATGGAAGAGAGAGAGAGAGAGAGAGAGAGAGAGAGCTTGTGAGAGTGATGGCGAGAGGATGCAATGAAATAGAGAGCAATCAAGGTAAGGTAAAGGCAGGTGGGGCCGGGGGGCAGAGAGAGGAGTTCCCATCAATCGGAAGCTGCTCCGGTCCTGTGTGTGTGTCACTCATGGCCCTCTCTGCTACACACGGGAGGTATCAGCCAATCACAGCTCTGCGTTCCCTGCGGCCGGCCGGCTCGCTCAAACGTCGCCGCTCTCTCTCTCTCTCTCTCTCTCTCTGACTTATAGCCGCCTGCCTTTGCTGTCAAAGCCCTTCGACTACCACACTATCCATCCATCACTTTGACACCGCGGCGGTCTTGCAGACATTGGATGTTTGTTAAAGATCACATACGGGCAAACCGGCGCCATTTTAAATAGCCACTCGATAGGCAGAGGGGGCTGTCGGTGCGACCGCAGCATATCACGTCTGTCAGTTCCACTCAGTCAGTTCGACCCTGAAGGACTTCTGTAAGACGACAGTAATGTCAGCTGAACATGTAATAGCTTTGGGGGGGGGGAAGGAGAAGCAGCACAGCAATGTGCTCGCAATCTCGCACGAGGGCGTTTCAGGCCGAGCCGCAATTCAACATCACGGAGACGTTGTCTATGAATAGAATGATGAACGCTTGTTGGGACATTACCATGTGTAGTTGCTTATTCTAAGTTCTAAAACAGGAGATACAAATTAAAAAGTGTTTAATTACCGTTACCACAGATGGATGGATGGTCACTTTTAAGTTGTTCACACAGTCGCCGGAGTTTAAAAATGACTAATAAGCATCGTTGGCTTTAGGAGACTAGAGGGATGTTTTAAAATGCTAAATTGATTATAATTCGTCCATCGTTCACGTCATTAGTTCGTAGAGACCCAATGTAATTAATTATACAATACCCTTGAACTCTAACTGTTATTGAAAAAATGGTCACGGTTATTGCATGTTTATAATATAAGCAATATATTTGTGTTACCCTGAGTAACGTTGCATAGCTTTTTTCCATATGAGGTCAAGATACATTTATATTTTTTACTATACCGACAGCCATAATACCTTTAAACTAGTAAAAAGGACATGTGCGCTGACTTCATGCACATGCAGTACACACACACACGCACACAAATGCATCTTAAACGTTGTTTTCCCTGCAGATCGGCTACTGGAATGATGCAGACAAACTGGTGCTGATCCAGGACTCTCCTCTGCTCCCGAATGACACCTCCGGCATGGAGAACCGCACCGTGGTCGTTACCACCATCATGGTAAGACACCGGCATGACCGGCTGAACGACGCACACACACACACACACACACACATTCTGTGGTGCAAGAGCACATAATGTTTGGGGGATATGCAGAGTCAGGGCGTTCAGTGGCTGCACGTCACACATCCATCCGGCATATTAAACTGTTATCCTTCACCGCCTCCCCTTTCAAAAATAAAAAGACTGCGCTTTGTAAGTGTTAGAGCAGTTGGCCGCCGTTCTTCATGAATTTTGCAATTGTTCTTGTTCGATGCTGTGTTTTAATGTTGATGCAGATATAACGTATATTTTAGACCAGGAAGTAAGGACTTTTCTGTCATTTTGCTTAAAAATATCCACTTTCTCACTAAGTGAAATTCATCATATAAACGTTAGAAATACCAAATATCCACCAATAATATTTCCAACAGAGCAGAATACAGATTGTTCGTTGTGACAAGATAATCTCAATATAAAGTCTCCTTCCTATAGCCAACATTTCATCACACATTACTCCTCCGCCGTGAATAGAACAAATATCCAACTGAGAACCGATGAAATTTGCATTAGATGCCCCTGAAGGACCGTATGTTGTACTACGACTCACTACAATTTGTGCTTTTCTTTACATTATCAGTAAGGAGACTCTCCATTAATCAACCAGGAACGTCCACAAACCACCACTGACATTATCTTCTGTCACGTTACACATCGCGACAAAATCCTAGTATTTTACAAATGATAGAATGGCCTTTGCATGGCGTGCGCTGCTGTGGCGTGGACTCACATCGCTGACCACGGTCACAGCAGCCAGATGTTGCAGCTGAGATGAGGAGGGAAGGAGGTGGGAATGGAGAGTCACCGCTCAGCACAATCCTCCCTCTTTTCAGCCCCTGATGAGGAACCCCATTTTAAGAAACTGAGCCCCAGTCGGACGCGAGCAGGATATGAAAGCCCTAAATGGCAGAGGGATGGACACAACAACCCCCGAGGCCAAAACGAAGCCCTAAAGACTCTGGGCGAGAGGAGACACACGGCACCTTTGTTAAACGGACGCCCCCGTTCAGACAACTGAACAAGAAATGGAGCCACTCGGAGCTGTAATGGAGCCCCTCCAGAGGGAAATGAAATGCAAATGGGAGCAAAAAAATGTAAAGACGGTGCTTGTGGACGGACACCCATCGAGGCCGAGAATGGGTCCCAAACAGCAGAGTGTCTGTTTACCGGCATTAACAAGCTCCCGCTACACCTGTTTGTGTGTGTTAGAGTCATACATTGTCATGCCCCGGTGTGTTTGTGTGGCCAATCACAGCTTGAACTCCATCCTGAGTTGAATTTGTACATTTTTTACAAAGACCCTGAACCATAGAGCGAGGCGGCAGCAGAATGTGAATATGCATCATGTCGAACTGAGGTCCCGTCTGCCCTAAATCTGTCACTTGCTCCAACTACCTGCTCCAGCGTACAGTACATTACACACTCAGAGGGCTTCCTGTAAGCTTTAAAACTGCTTAGAAAGACTAATGCTCTCATAATCGCCCCAGTTCACATCCATCACGCTTTTATGCAGCACGATATTATGGTTGAATTATGACGGCTTCCTTTCCCTCCAAAGTTTAATGTTTGTGAGAGTTACGTTTGTTTAAACTTAATGGAGTGTCGCGTTTCAGCGAAGCGCGGAGACGTTAAAAGGGCGGTTCAATATGTGGAGAAAGGCCGGGGATCATTCGCCGCTGTGTTGTCGCATCCCCTATTCCGCCAAAGGCCGTGTGGTCTGATGTGGTCTGATGGCCAGAGGTCCGCTCTGGCCCACAGCTCCGGATTAACCGGTTTACAATCCATTTTTCAGCCCGGAACAGTCCGAAAGGGGGCGATGGTCAGATGCTAGCTGCTGCTGCTAACCTTTGATTGGGGCGGGAAAAAAAAGGTTGTTTCAGAACCCAACAAAGACACCAAAATGAATTCATCATCAACCACCTGGTGACCTTCTTTCGTCTGGTGGAATTGCATTAGCAGTGTAAATGGCTGTCGTTGTCTTCAGCCAAAAGCGTTCAGAGACATGAAGGACGACCCAAAGCTTCCCGGAGGTTAGCGCGTTAACAGCGTCAGTGGAAGACGAGGACAGCGGCTGCTGGCAGCACAAGGCCGAACGCGTTCATGAACTCATCCATTGCACTTTAAACCTGGCACACTGTCAATCTACCAGAGGGCAGCGAGTGCAGACGAGGTCCTGCCGTAATTATGTCAGATGTTTTACAGCACATGCAAGAATCTCTTGTGTGCACAGATTTGTGTTTTATTGCATGATCATTTGAAGTATTTGCATGTCATTTACTGTGTTACCGTGAATCCTTGCAACATGCACTGTGAGTGGGCAATCAAATAAAACGGAGAAAAGCAAAAAGGGACATCTGAATAATTTCATGTACTGAAACATAAATCTATAACCGTACTATATAAAACCCTCTAAGAGGAGTAGCGCTCCAGTGCAACATTTCTTATGAAGAACCTCATATCATCACACACACACACACAGGGAGACTTTGTTCTCTGCTCACACAATATCTTTGAATAGCAAATAGCAATAATTCTCAAATCAAATAGAGAACCGTTAAGTTAAAACAAACTTGATTTACGAAACTTTTCTGCATTTAAAAGGGTTTTCTAAATCCAGCTTGCAACATTCCGTCGAAATGAATCTTCCAAAAATGCTAAAGAGAAAGGGAGGTGCAAAAGTACAATGACAGTGACCTTCTTGCACATGGCCCGTTGTATGTTTGTGGGATCATGGTGGTTCAAAAAGTCAATTAGAGGGTCATAGTTTGGTGGTTTACACGGTAAGTACTGCTTGTTTATGAGGTGGAGGCTCCGGTCAGGTGCACTTAGTGTAAAAAACAAACAACACAGGAGACATTTGCAAATATTTTTTGCGGATTTGTGCATTTAATGCGACCCCTCTTTTCCTTGTCCCTACAACCACATAAATCAATTAAAAAATAGCATTATCAAGGCCACAAGAGGCTACTGATGACTGAATGAGTCATAAGCTTGGATGCGTTTGTGTTGTTTTCGTGCTCACGTTGTTGTAGAATATTGTAGAGCATCAATTTACTGCTTTTCCGTACTCGTATTCAGTGTGCAACAGATCATTCATTTCAAATAACTCCAACACAAAACCAAACAGTCAAATAAATCCAACGTGTGTAAACACAGAGTGTGTGTTTGTTCCCTCATGCGTTCGTGGCACGTGGGCTTTTAACGGCGTGTTGAATTAGTCTCGTTAGTCGGTGAGTGAAGCACCGCGGTCGGCATTATTGACCAGCCTGACAGGCCTGCTGGCCTTTGCCGTGAAGGCCTCTGAAGCACCCGCTCTCCTCCCCCCCTTCATCTCCCACACTCCCTCCGCTCCCCTGGCCGCCGAACACCCTCATAAATCACGTGGATCGGGGCCGTCCTCCCCGGCTCTGACAGACGTCCAAAACATCCGCGGCTTCTAAATAGTCTTTATAATTAAAGCGGCTCGAGCTTTTTCATCATATGCTAATGGTCCTTTATTGGACGGATGTACGGGGAGGAAGTTGATCAGAAGTCCCCACGTGAGCCATCTGATCTTCATGCCGCACGCGGTACCAGAACAATTCAACAAGCAGCTGGAGAGTTTGTTACCGTGGTGAGAAGGTTCTGGCGCTCACGCCTACAACTCTTCATCTCAAGGCTTAATGCGGCTGCTGCTCCATAATTCCATTAACCCCAATTTGATCCAATGTCCCCTAAAATGAATTGAATTGTGTAAATTCTTTTGTCATGTAGATGCATTGTCAGTGGCGCTGACCACGTTTCACGATAAAGCCACCCTGCTTTATATTTCATAGCGGCAGTAGTAAATGTCTCGTTTGCTATCAGTAACTTAAAACTTCTCTAATACCGCTATTGGCAAGGTGAAAATACACAGTGAGCTAATTAACTAATTATCTTTGTATGATAATGTTGGAATATCTCTTTTTTTAATTATTTAAATATACATCTTATTAATGCGTTATTAACGCATCATGATGCACCCAAAACCCCACAAATACAATGAACATGTTGTCTTTTATCACATCCGATGTCTTATTCTGACACAAAACTGCACACTTGTGCTAACATCACGTTGCACAAAAATATTTTGTCATGCCGCGGGCTCTGAAGAGCATTTGCATTATCTCCCCGCTGAGGAGTCTTTGGTTTACCTTCTCTCAGCCCGCGGCCAAAGTCAAGAAAAACACATCTCACAATAAATTACAACCGTTTGCAACATGAAATTCGTGGCCTTCCATGACCGAAGTAATTTGTTTGGAAATATGAGCGCAGGAAGCAGGGCGAGCCTTGCACTCAGAGAACGGAGTGATCTATAACCCCCGGCTGGTGGTGGTGTAGACTGATGTAGCCCCCCCCGTCCCCCCCCCCCGCCCTGATTACTGGAAGTGTTCTAGTCGAGGCTCAGTTGAGGTATTAAGTCATTCAGTCCGACGGCGGCTCATTTTTCACTTCCCTTGAGTTCCTGCTCGGTCACTTTCCCTCCTTCTCGTCTCTTTGTGTCGCGCGTGGTCACTGGTCTGTGTGTGTGTGTGTGTGCGTGTCTGTGTGTGTGTGCGTGTGTGTGTGCGTGTGCAGCGGGAGGCCGTCATCGCGATAACACACGCGGCCCTTCATGCTGCAGGCTCAATTATCTTCAAGCCGTTGGGATCAAGTTAAAAACCCGACATTTAAAAGCTGCACTGTGATTTTCCCAGGTGGAAGTAGAAGAGGACATGTTTAATTATAGTGATTCAGAAAGGAACATTTTGGTTTTGGTTTTTAGAGTAAAGGTCTTTTCCCCAACAGACATTTGGATGACTTCCATACCGCGAACAATTATTAGAAAATATCCTCTTTAAAAATGTAAAATGTACCAAAATAAACAGCATTAAACCATCACCGTTATGCGTGTGCATTAATTGCACACCAAACCTCCCCCGGGGGCCTTTAACCTCCCCCACAGTCCCCCGCTCTTCATTCCGCTGTCTGTCTGTGCGTGGATGAAGCGCTGTGCGAGCCCTTGGTGTCCGTCTGACGGTTTGGTTTCCATGGTTGTGGTCCCTTGTGTAGGAGGGCCCCTACGTGATGCTCAAGAAGAACTGGGAGGGGTACGAGGGCAACGACCAGTACGAGGGGTACTGCGTGGACTTGGCCTCCGAGATCGCCAAACACATCGGCATCAAGTACAAGATCTCCATCGTTCCCGACGGGAAGTACGGCGCCAGGGACCCGGAGACGAAGATCTGGAACGGGATGGTCGGGGAGCTGGTGTACGGGGTGAGGACTTTTGTTTTTCTATGCTCTCAGGTACAGAGACACGCTCTGTTGCAACAGGAACGAGCGTCTCATCTACGTTGAAACATTTCTTTCAAGCTTTCATTTGTCAGTGAGGTTCACGATGATATTTAGAGGCAATATTGGTTCTTCTTCTCAGTGCCGATAATAAATGGGCACGACAGCTCAACCCTTTCCACAGGAAAAAATGGTGATTAAGGCTGAAAATGGACAGATTAGTCATCAAAGTCCCATCAATTTATTTTAAATTGCAAACCGGGGACTTCTGCAAAAGCAAATTTGTTTGTCCTTTGTTTTTCCAATGACCTTTTAGAAAGATAATAAAGCCATAATGACATGACTTGTATTCTAGTTTAAATGTCAATATATAAGCAACCTATGATGAATTCTTGAATAATAGCCAGTATTAAAGTTATGGCCAAATAAATGAAGGCATTTAATTAACAAATAAACGATATATTCAAAAAGAAACACAACTCACAAAGGTAAAACAAAAGCTTAATATCCAACACTCATGTTGTACACAGCTTCCACTTTTTTCCAACTAAAAAGCCAATCAATAACATGAGCGACTGGGCGGTTTCACCCGGGATGCTTTTATTGTGAAACATCACATCAAGTGTTAATAACAAGTGAAGGTGAAGTATTTCTGTCGGTGGAGAGAAAGTCACGGCAGATGTGTGAGTGTGACCAGAGGGACGTTCTGGTGGTGGAATTAATGCAGATTAAATATACATTATCCTGAATGCATCCAGACGAGAGATGAAGCGTTCAGTTTGCATCAGCAGGAAGTGAAAACAGGAGCAGATCAGGGAGACGTCTTAATGAGATGTGAGGATGTAACTGCTGCTATTGAATAACTTCATGTCGAATACGGTACGTCTAATAACTGGTCTCTACACCAACAGTATTTCTTCATCTAGTTTGTCTTCATCTCAAGTGATGATACTTGATACTGTAGACAGAGAGCAGAATAGCGTCTTATCTCTGAGGTGATGTTTTCAGCCGCTGGTTTCAGGTCCGGGATGACGACGGGACTTTAAGGCCCAAAAAGGAAAACAAGTGAGAAAAGAGATGGTTTTTTTTCCCTCGTCCTTTGATGCTTTTGGGGAAGGAAAATAAAGAATCTAAAGTGAAAACATGCTCACTGACACTGAACGCGGGTTCATTTTTCCGTTTGAATTGATTTGGATGAAACTATAGAATAATAGTTATTTAACATTTGTCCAGTTGGCTTACATGAGCGGCATTAGAAATTAGTTTGAACTTAATTCAATTCCCCTTTTTGGAATTCAATTCAAGTGACGAGAATGAAGAGAATGAGCGAGGCCGGCGGAGGCGCCTGGCAGGTGCGTTTGAGGACACGAGGCGTTGCACCGTGGACTGTGCGTGTTACCTGGGGCCTGTGAGCTGGCGGCTCTTTCTGCAGCGTCCGTCGGGATGTCGGAGGACGGGGAAGCTGTCAGCGCTTTGCTCAGACGGGCTTTCCCTCCTCCGCGATGGCAGAAAAGCCCGGCCTCCTTTCAACCCGCCGCGTGTCTTAGCGCTCACCAAATGCCCCCCCTCTCAGGCTGTCGTCTTAGTTCATTTTGCTGAGGATGAGAGAACTTAAATCTCTTTCCTTTTTACTTTCCTTTCGTCCTTTCTCTCTCCCACCAGTGTCAGCTGGCCGTAACGGAACCTTCAATTCTTGCTGATATTTAAGCCCTTTGCGGCCCGAGCAAAGGCGGACGAGGTCACGGCTGTTGCCGAGTCACTGACTGTAATCTGGTTTGCGGATTCTCAGCAAGCCGGTGTGAACTTTTCCACCGCCGCGGACCTCCGAGGAGGCTCCATCACGTCTTTTTTCGCCCTCGTGCGCTGTGTCCATATTTTACTGACACATTTTGTATCCTCCCTGCTGATTCTCCCAGAGTTCCAGCTAAGCCTCCGGGCATTAGGGAGGGTTTCAGAGTTTCCTTTTCAATTTTCCTTTCTCTCCTTCTCTCTCGCTCTCTCTTTGTTTAACTCCAACACTCCGAGATGTATTCATCTGCCGTGGAAACTTGACGGCTTTGCGATTTGTGCAGTCAAGGGAGAAATTCAGAAATACGTCACGAGCTGAGGAGAAAAGAAACGGGGTGATTGTTCTGTTCTGCGATGGCTGCTCGGCCTCCGGCGTTTCATATCTGTGACTAAATGATGTTTGTTTGTTTGTTTGTTACGCGGCCAAGCTTCTGCTTTTTGTTTATCCCTCATCACTTGGATTGACCCCGTTAAATCTTTTCTTCTTCCTTTTTCTTCACATGAATCCCCAACAGAAAGCGGAAATCGCTGTGGCCCCTTTGACTATCACGCTGGTCCGGGAGGAGGTGATCGACTTCTCCAAGCCCTTCATGTCGCTGGGCATTTCCATCATGATCAAGAAGCCCCAAAAGTCCAAACCGGGGGTGTTCTCCTTCCTGGACCCGTTGGCCTACGAGATCTGGATGTGCATCGTGTTCGCGTACATCGGCGTGAGCGTGGTGCTCTTCCTGGTCAGCCGCTTCAGCCCGTACGAGTGGCACACCGAGGAGCCCGAGGAGGGCACCGACGGTCCGCCAAGCGACCAGCCCCCCAATGAGTTTGGTATCTTCAACTCCCTGTGGTTCTCCCTGGGCGCCTTCATGCAGCAGGGCTGCGACATCTCCCCCAGGTAAGACGCCGCGGCGGTCACTGGGCGTCCGCTAACAAGTCCCGCCGATATGCGTTGGTAGCCTCTTGTTTTCGCCCTCAGGCCCGGGGACACATTACGCGACTTTTAGGCCAATTATAATTCGCTGTGTGGCATCACGTCCGAATGGATTGTCTGGACGAGTCCTTAAGTCCCTCGCCTGTCAATCCCGTAAAGACCGTCATCATCTCAAACACGTTTGATTGACGCTGACTGGACGCGGCGAGGGCCCCTCCAGGCAAATCCTGTAGCCCGTGACAAAGAAGAAGAAGACGACAAAAACATCTAAATCAGGATGTTGTTCGTTCTTGTTCTTGGTTTAGAAAGTAAAGGTTGTCATTGCAATTCAGACAATCTGTGCGTCAGGAGATGGAAAATATTCTGCTGTTATTAAGAGTGGGATGTTTTACTATGTGGTGAATCCTAACAGCCGTGTAGTGTGTCCTTCGCTTGAGTCACAGTGAACGTTCACGTCGCAGTATACAAGTAGCCTATATTAGCTCTTCTCTGTTTCTGACGGTGTGACGACTACTTGACAAATGATGTACTGTGGCTTTTGATTGGTGCAGAAATACTCCCAACATCGTGCGTCCTATTTGCGAGTTGTGAGTCACATCGACAGAGCTGTGTTCATTTCAGCTGTTTATTTAAACTTAAGAGTAGGCTGGCCGTCTCCACCTGTTTTTTTGTGCCAAGCTACGCTAAACACTTAGCTAGATGTATAAGAAAGACAAACTATTCCTTTAAACTTCAACCAATTACGCTGAAAACTATTTTTTTTAGGAAGCTTTCACAAGTCGAAGTCTGTTCGATCGGTCCAAATTGGATGGACATATTTGCTTTTTTTTATTTTTATGTTGCCTGGTTTGGTCTTATTGAGCATATTATGTTTGGTCTCTTCGGCCCGGATGGTGAACATTGAGCTGCGGTCCATTTCCGTCCTCGGCACTCATGTCCACGCGTCATTTACCTGTGTCCATCCCGCCAAAGTACCCGCAGGCAGCCTGTGTTTTGCCCTCCATGCAACACGGTGTTGGCTTGTGAAAGCGCCCTAAATCCCACCGCTTGTAGCCCACTTCTTTAAGTAAAGGTATTGCACGTACTCTGCATGGGAACTGTATTTGCAAAGCATGATACAGATGGTAGTATTTGTAGTATAGTGTGTTTAGTGTTGTTAGCGATGGCCTCATGTGTGGCGCTACGTGCCAGCTGCTCCTGCTGTGTGTTTAGCTTTACATGCACGTTGGCGTCCCTGTTTATTCAACGCGTGAGGGCGAGCGAGGGAGAGTGTGTCTCTGCTAGTATTGATTTTTTTTTTTCGTCTATCTCTCTCTCTCTCTCTCTCTCCTTCAGCCATGTTGTTCCTCACTGTCTGACTTGCGTGCGCTACTTCTGCTTGTAAGGGAATTAAGTTGTCTCTGCGTCGGCTTCGGCGGCTGTGTTTTCCCTCCTGTGCGCCTCCCGTCTGTCTGCCGGAGCTCCAGTCACATGGTTATGTAGATCCGCTTTTTTGCTCCACGGTCCATGAAACCTGTGCGATTCATCCAGAGCAAACTGTCAAAGTGTCGTCTTTCGCCGCGTCTGTGACTTCTCTTCCCTTTGTCCAAACGACCGGGCTCAAACCCAACATCCATCAGGCCTAAAACATGGATTGCTTTGGTCGAAGGGTGGAGAAATTAGGGCTTGTACACTTAAACCGCCATGTCTGTGTTCCCCTCCGGCAGTTAAAGGCTGGTCGTCTTTGTTGTTCAACGATTCTCTCGTTCTCATTCCCTCTGCTCCCATCTGCCGTTAGCAGCGCTGCACAATTAGTCCACCACTCGCATTTAATTCAGGAGGATCAACCGCGATACGGATATTTAAACAATTTGTTTTGATCATATAAACTATTATCAAATTTTACTTTCTAAAATCACAGCCGGTCTGCAGGGGGCGATGTCGCTGTGGCAGTGCAAAGTAGCCGCTCAATTAATATACTTAACAGAGGCAAAATTAAAGGCACTAAAGTAGTAATTTCTTATTTTATTGTTATCTTTTTAGGAGAGTTTCTGTTTATTCAAGTTTGAAAGTGCGATCCTGATTATCACTTTGATAATTGACCTAATTGTGCAGCCATGTAATGGTCAAACCTATGGGAAGCCTGTTATTTTTAATAGTCTCCCATTTGCAGGCAAGCTTTCCCGAGCAGTTTGTCGGCTTTGTCGAGCTTAAAGTTCCGGCGTCGGGTTATTTTAAGCAACCGCTCTAATGGCCTCCGTAGTTATTTTCAAGTCTTCCGTATAACACGTCTTTTATCTGCTATAAGCCCTTATGGCTCATGAACTGTAGAGTTGGTAAGATTTTAATAGATGAAAGGTGGACCAAACCAGCCTGTATCTTTCAGCCCCCCTCCCCACCAGAGGAGAACAGCTGGAGGACACGTCAGGTCACGTAAGCAACCTTTAGAGAAGACCACATTGGGCCTGTCACTGTGATTAAGCACACTTATTTAACCGGTACACTTACTTTGTTCACATGTGTGTGGTCCACCCCTCCTGCCGACCCCCCCCCCCACACTCGCATAACCACCAGCGCTCGTCACACCTTTGTCTGTGTTCTGCAGATAAGGATTTCAGAGTTGCACAACAATGAGTTGGCATCAGAATGAAAGTGTCCATTTCAAACGTGTGTGTCTCTGGCTGCGGCCCACCCTGCATTCCCCCCGTCGCCGCTACTCCCGCGCCCCCCGATCCATCGGCACGGAGCTCCACAGCTCACCAGCACTTCCACTCCGGTTTAGCCTGACGGGGCAACATGCAAATGGCACAGGCCGAACTTAGAAGGGGGGCAGCGAGGACAGAGGTGGACGGGATGACCTCGCTAGCAAAACACTAGCCACGAAGCAGAAGAAGCCCCTGGACCCCCCGGAGCCCGATTATAGCTAAACATCCGCAAAATGTCTCTTGGAGAATGATTATTGGATATTTATTTATTGTTTTCTTTACACATTTCATGCTAACGCAGCTCCATGCTAACAAAAAAAGGCAGCGGGTGAAATAGCTCTTTTCCTAATACGGGTTAATAGTTCCTTCTGCTCCCTTAAGGCAGTGCATAATAATTAATTGCGTGATTAAGATCCTGGTCTCCAACGGTAATGTCTCCGTGGTAACAGGAGGAGAGAGGCGCTTAAAACAAAATGCTGACCCAATAGTCTATTTAATTGACTACAAATCCCAGATGAATAGAACTCCAGTTATTCTTGCATGTTGGATGTCGCATCAACACCGTGTTACCAGTCATTAAATATCAATATGTGCGTGTGAAGGCAGCCATCTGGCCCTGCGCGCAGGTGTGACTGCTCCCTCCAGGTGTTTTCAGTCACTTCCGTCTCGCTGAATCTCCGTCGTGTCTCTCTGCTGAATCACTGTCGCCACGTCTGCGGCAAGTTAACGAGGACGCTGTGATTGGTGCGATTGGCCCCGATTATGTCAGAGTCTCTTGCGTACTAATTGAAATTTGCATGATGTCTACGGACAAAGTGTATATCTTTTAATTTGCCTGGTGAATTAAAGCCAATAAAAAGCTGCGTTGTAAAAGGGAGGAATTGCTTTCAGGTGGTGTGTGTCTGCAAGGTTCCAATGCCAATTAGTTTTGTTATCCAAATCACATGCAGCAGTTCTCCTGCATCCCTTATTGCTCATGTCAGCAGTTCTTCACACTCTGTTGATTCGTGGGAGTATTCCTGCAAATTATCCCCATTGCTCGAGGCTCTGAATGCATCTGTATGAATATCGGAGGTCCACAGTTTTAAAGTCGAGAGCCAATTTCCTGTCCCGATGATATTGTGGTCGCTGTCGCTAGTTAAGTAGCTTTCAGCGAAAGCGAACATCCCCGGTTTCCATTGAAATTCATATTTGTGTAACCTTTTTTTTCCTTGTGACCTTTTAATATATTGGATGCATTTGTATGGAGTCTTGAAAGCTACATTGCAGTTAATTTAATCCATGTTAGAAGCATAATAGGTCAAACAAAACAAAAGATGAACGATTGGAATAAGTCTAAAATAAGTATTCAATTAAATTTTCTTTCTTTTGCTACAGCAGCATTTGCATGAACCTACATTTTGCGCTGATGAAAGTCTGACTCCAGTAACCTTTTGGGCCGTACATCTGCATAACTGTAGTGTTGTGCAGTGTTTTTCTGAAACGAGTGAACCTGACTATTCATGACTGCATGCTTTTCTTTTTTTTAAATGTGAAGGATCCACTTATCATAACAATGTGGAAACCGTTCTTCAAGGTTGGCTGGCATCACCCCTGCAGCTAATGCGGAGCCACTATCTCACTTTTCCATTGTCAGGTGTGTACAACAATCGCAGAGATGGAAATCTCTGCACTCGGGATCGCTCCAACAATCCCAATTAATTATCCATGAAAATGACGTCATGCTAGTAAAAAAAAAAGGGCAGTGATGCACCCGGGGCAGTTCTGCAGAACACCCAAGCTGAGAGTCATCATCTCCTCGGCAGCCAAAGTTTTACCGCGAGAGAGCCGGGTTGTAGGACAGATGACGGCTTTGACTCCGTTGAAAGAATCACTCATTGTTCTTCACGGAAAAGACGTGCTGCTGGTCTGTCGGGTTGTTTGTGTCGTTAGTTTGGATTTACCAAAGTCACACAATAAGAAGAAGTTTGAATAGTGGAAATAACAACGCGTGCCACCACAGTGCCGGTAATTCCTCCCAACTGCGGATTTATTTGTTTGTGCTGGTTGTTATTTGAGAAACAAGAGTAATTGACAGCGATTGTAAATACTATACAAGGGGCTCCAGCTGAGGGGAGGAGGTGTTGAGGAGGTGTTGAGGAGGTATGAGGAGGTATTGAGGAGGTGTTGAGGAGGTGTTGAGGAGGTGTTGAAGAGGTGTTGAGGAGGTGTTGAGGAGGTATTGAGGAGGTGTTGAGGAGGTATGAGGAGGTGTTGAGGAGGTGTTGAGGAGGTGTTGAGGAGGTATTGAGGAGGTATGAGGAGGTATTGAGGAGGTGTTGAGGAGGTATGAGGAGGTGTTGAGGAGGTATGAGGAGGTATTGAGGAGGTATTGAAGAGGTATGAGGAGGTGTTGAGGAGGTATGAGGAGGTGTTGAGGAGGTATTGAGGAGGTGTTGAGGAGGTGTTGAGGAGGTATTGAGGAGGTATTGAGGAGGTATGAGGAGGTGTTGAGGAGGTATTGAGGAGGTGTTGAGCTGTAGAAGCAGAGGACCTGGAGTGACAGTCTGTCTTCGATGAATAAGTCAAATGGTGGCGTCCCGCCGCAGGTTACTCCCCAGGAGCCGACTGGCACCTCCTCATTTATTGAGGCTGTGCTCAAGGTCAGAGCTGTTTTTTCTCTGCATCGCCTCCTGCGCTTTATTCTTTTCCTCCACTTTCTTTCTCCGTGTCCCACACACTTTCCTGAAATCCTTCGGAAGTGTGAAACGCCTCTTCAAAGCGAGCTCCTCTTTTTGGATTCGAGCGGGACGTGAAGAGTCAGGCTGCGTATTTGACTCATTTGGGAGTCAGAACGGGAGGATTTCAGTGATACGCTGCGTGAAATATCAAACCGTGTAACATCAGTGATGACGTTTTTGTACATTCCTCTGTCGTGTTTTGGTATATTTGGAGAGGTTGAATTTGATCCAGTGCCACGCAAAGTGAGTTTTGAGTTGGGAAATGCTCTCGCTTTGTAAAGCAAATGAATAGAAAATATGTTTTATGTTTAGCTGAGATGAATTATATCAAATTTAGCAGGCAAGTGCAGAAATGCCACCAACACGTAGAACATGCCAACATCTTTAGATCTTCCCTTAAATACATTAATTTTCATTTAATTAAGCAAGTTAACCAGTAGGGGGAAATGCTGACTAATTGCTGTATAATTATTCTTTCTTTTTTCTACATTCAGTACTCTTTATACCCAGAGGCTTCCTGGACTGCTGCAATGAATCCCATTTCCCCCCGAAACCGGAGCCAATTTAAGTTTTGTTTCGACTTTATTTTCTTTTAAAACTTCACCCGTCTTGTTTTTCTTATTTCCTTCACTCACGGGAAAACTAAAATAACAGTCAGACTCTCACCAAAGAAAGATTTTTTAGAGCTTTTGCATTGCACACAAATTCTAGATAAGCACCTGCATTATTAGAAATGCAAATGATTTAACAGTCATGGACCTCAGAGCTGAGAACAAAACGCTGAGAAGCATTTAAAATACTATTGTGTGTGTGTGTGTGTGTGTGTGTGTGTGTGTAGTGTTGTTTGTTTTGTTTCAGTAGCTCGCATTCTGTAATATATTAACATTGACAAACGTATAAGAAAATAGGCTTTAAAACTATTTACCTCTGATAAATTGCCTTTAACAAAGTACATAATTGCGGTTTAAATAACTGCTTGTAATTAACATAACGTATAGAAACGTTGTTGTCTTTGCTCTACGTGCAAATTGCAGACTTTTTATACCAACGTGAATTTCTCTGGTTTTACATTCGTCAAATGCATCTCATATCGACAAAAGCGTGTTGAGTGTTTATATGTCAGACAAAATACAACAAAAGGACAATACCGCTTATAGGTGAGGAACCAAAATATGTATATATATATATATATATATATATGTGAAATGATGTGGCATCCATTTGTACGTTTAGTAAAGGCCCAGGACGACAAAGCAGTGTGTCACTGTGGATTTGCGTCAGCCAGCAAACACACAGCACAGAGGGATGGAGGGAGCACAAATATACAAACCCTCCAAGTAGGATGGAGACATTTCGATAGAGATGGTAAAGATGCAGGTAGGAAAAGGAAAGAAAGCAGAGCAGGGAGATATTCTCATCACACACACACCAAACATCTCGAGGAGGAGGAAAAAGGAGCGTGGAGAGAAGAGAGGGGAGTCATTTGTATTCAAATCCGGCGCTAATACGTCAAGTGAGTCTATTTCATGGGCGAAGCTTCCAGTGTGCGAGCGGCAGACATGCTCCGCTGCATCCCCCCCCCACCCCCCCTCCCTCTCTCTCTCCGCACCGAGGGGCCGCGGTCGCTCTCATCGAAAAAACGGGGGCCTCCGCCCCAAATGTGTTCAATTACAGTACCCTGAATATTATTTTCAAAAGGTTCCTTTTGCATTGCTGGTAAATCTTTGTGATCTGTCATATTTCTCCCTGTGTGCGCATTGAGAAAAGGAGGCTACACCCCCCCACCACCACGGTGCACATGCGTGTGGATTACAGCATATAGGGAAACCAAGGGCCAAGAAAACACTGACTGTTGCAGATGCCTCCCCCCCTCCTCACATCCCCATCTGTCCCCCTCTCTCTCTCTCCTGCTGACAGCGGGGCCTAAGGGCTTTGTCTCCTCCGCTGTTTGAATTGCACCGAGGGGAGATCTTGTTTGTTCTCCTCAATGCAGCATTTATGGCTTAAGATTCTCCTCACGACCTTCTGCTGCTCCTGAGCAGCGGGCTATCTGTCTCCCCCGAGCGAGCAAACAAGAAAAGAGCAGCGCCCGCCCCGCCGGCCCGCAGGCCCGCAGCTTTTCCCGCCCCAAAGATGCACGCGGAAAAAGGGGGGGGCGTGGGGGGGGAAGGGACCAATCATTTTATTATCGAAGCTGGTCAACAAGCGTGGGGGATTATTTTATTTGTGAGGCAATTTGCGCTAATGAGAGCTAAATCGAGCCGGCGAGCGTTTGAGCGTCCTCAGAGCTCCACCGTGTGGCGGCTCGCCGTCTCCGTCAGTGTCCACGGGGGGGGCGGTGGGGGCGGGGCTTGACTCTCTCCTCTTCATTCCATTCACCTGACTACTGTCTCACTGTATTTACAAACACTGACTGGCTGTTTTCTGTCTTTCTGTCTCACCCAACCTCCTCTCCTCCTCACCTCTATTTCAATAATGCCCTTATTATTTCTCCACTAATCCTTGTCCCGGCTCTTCCTTCTGGCAATTCCCTCCTTTTTTATTCCTTCTCCTCTTCCTATTATCTCCCCCCTCATCCTTCAAACTGCCCCCCCCCCGAAATGTTCCTCCACCTCCCTCCTCTCCAAGATCGCTATCGGGTCGAATCGTTGGAGGAGTGTGGTGGTTCTTCACCCTCATCATCATCTCGTCCTACACGGCTAACTTGGCTGCCTTCCTCACCGTGGAGAGGATGGTTTCCCCCATAGAGAGCGCCGAGGATCTGGCCAAGCAGACGGACATCGCATACGGCACTCTGGATTCCGGCTCCACCAAGGAGTTCTTCAGGGTGAGTCGGCGTTACCGGGGGTTGATAATCGACTCTCGGGCAGACAGGTAGGAGAAAGCCGCCCGGCACTCGCATCCACTCTGCACACCGGAGAAAAGTCCGACTGAGCACTCTTTGCAGGAACGGAAGGGAGCTTAGCAGGTCTCCGTGGCAACGCCGTGTCCTAGGAATCACAATTATGAAGTCCTGTTTCGTTTTGTGGAATACATTTAGGAGATAATGCAGTAGAGGCCTTTTTATTCCGTCCAACGGCAAATCTGTTATTGTGTGTCACGCACTTTCCGTCGGGCAACGAGTCACATGAAACAATGTTTTATGTCAGTGACCTAAACAAGCCCTTTTAGAGGATACAGAATGACATGAAGCAAATCAGGGAAACCGTTAAAAACCCTCTAAAACAGCTCGCTTGGATCGGTTTGTGGGGCTGTAACCTCAGAGACCAGAGGATGAAGTCACATCAGTCAGTGTTTTTAACATACTGTATCGCTAATGTTTCAGTGTGAACGTCTCAGAGACAGATCACGGCAAAAAAACAAAAACTGCATGTGCTCAGCTGAACCCAGATGAAGATACCCAAAGAGGTTCATACCACGACGAGTGCATTTAAATAGGAATATGTTAAAATGCTTCAACTGTCGTACACGCGCCATGTTTTCTTTTCTTCTACCTTGTATTGCGGATCTGCCGCCTCCATCTTCCCTCCACCCCTCACACCGCATCTGCCTATGAACCCCCCACTCCCGCCCTCGAAACCCTCACAGCGGTCCAAAATCGCCGTCTACGAGAAGATGTGGGGGTACATGAAGTCGGCCGAGCCCACCGTCTTCACGAAGACCACGGCGGAGGGCGTGGCGCGCGTCCGGAAGTCCAAAGGCAAATACGCCTTCCTCCTGGAGTCCACCATGAACGAGTACACCGAGCAGCGCAAGCCGTGCGACACCATGAAAGTGGGAGGAAACCTGGACTCCAAAGGCTACGGAGTAGCTACACCCAAGGGTTCACAGTTAAGGTGGGTGGAGTAGTGTAACAATATGTTCTACGTGTTGTTATGGTATTCCACCTTCCCTGGTGTGCCGCCTTTTTTATCCTTATCTGTCTCTTAGTCTCTTACTTTGCTGAGTGTGTGTGTGGGGGGGTCCTGTGTTGGTTTCAGGGCAGCAGTAGCAGCTTTTTGTCACTCATGTTTGGTTGCATGCATGTGGGAGTCATCGTGATCATGCAGGGGTGGTTATTATTTCACTGTTCTCTTCTTCGCAGCTCTCCACACCAGGTAAATCTTTGTGCTCGTGCTTTGCCTGTTTGGGGCAGAGATGTTGGAATGGCTTGCTTGAGCCGCTGGTAAACTCCCTAAAAATGCCTTATTTGGAAAAGGAAATGTGAGATAATCTGCATTTTGATACACCAGTGTAATCGCTAAAGAGTCTTTTGCTAATGCCACTTCAGCTTTTCTTCACAGCTGCCTGGTTCTTCCTTGTCAACCGAGTGACTGAAATAGTGTTTTGGGAGCCATGTGAATGCTCGGCGCCGGGTAACGCCGCCAGACTCACTGCCTGCCGCACGTGGCGGGAATTCACAGAATTCGCAGTCGTTACCGCGGGGAGATGCACTTTTCAATCCGCACGCTCATTGATCGAAACCCGCCGGATAGAGATTGGACAAAGACACTAAAGGCAAACGCTTCAAAAGGTGTTTGTGTGCGTGTGCGTGTCTGCAAAACAGTGGAGATCGGCTGCACCATTCGTTCATTCGTTGCTGAGTAAGTGCGACTGTGTCGGGAAAAAAATACCAGCGAGAGCACTTTGATAGGGTTGCTGCCATTGATCAGGTGTAATTTGAGAGGACGTTGAAAACACGAGGCGGAGCTCGCAGGTACCAACAAAGTGAGAGCGTTTCAAAGCACCACACCCTGCTGGTGGTGTTTCCTCTGCACACGGGGCCTGAATTGGGCAAAAAGCCACTGGTGCCGGTTTTCAACCACTGCTTTAACCGGGAAGAGACCCTGACAGATGAAGGAAGTCCCCCCGCCACCCCGTATTTTGTATTTTGGGGGGGATTATCATCTTCTGTCAGTCACTTTTTTCCGGATTCCAGCGAGAAAACGCACCAGCGGCGTGGCGAGGAGGCGGCCGTGTTGCTCAACGCTGCGGCTTCACATGGCTCCACTGACGACGTCAGACCAAATAACCGCTGTGTCGCTTTGTGTTTCTGATCCATTTCCATTTTTGACTGTTTTTTTTTTTATTTTTCATAATGATGCAAATAAATTAAAAGGATCAAAACACATCCTGATGCAAATCTCTCTCTCTCTCTCTCTCCACACTATGATAATACATCACCACAGCAGCCTTCAAAAGAAACCGTGAAATTAAAATGCACAGTTATTTTGGACCGCTTTTCATGGGCATTCTGTGCGAGTCGATCATGATTTTCCAGAACAGCTTAATGCACTTAAATCCTTTCGGCTTTGAATTGGCTGACGTAGACAGACGACATGCGCACGTAAAATAGAGCCAAATTATTCGTTTGGTTATCAATGCGCTGGCTGGTGCGTTTGTTTTGTGACTTTTTCCAACGTCGGTGTTTCAAATTGGACCATTTCTGTGTCCGAAAAAAAGAATATAATTCCGACAATCCACAGTACGGTTTTTAAATATGCTGGATTAACACACACATTCAACTCTCTCGCTTTTAGACAGCGTATAATATTAACATAATAATAAATAATAATAATAAAGGCAAATGAATAATAAAACTAGAAAATGAGAACAAGCTTATCAACTAAATAATTTAATGAATAAATAATATTAGAATTGATATCTAACCAAATGTTTTTTGGTGAAGCAGCACATTCAAAGGGGAGGGATTTGTGTTCAGTGTGTGTTTGGGTCCTGGAATGTAAGCGTTTAGAGCATTGATGCACTTTTCCACCCTTGTCCCTCTCTTACTGCTACTCCCCCCCCCCCCCTCCCCCTTTCCTTCCCTCCCAAATTGGACAGCATACTCACCCCCTCTCACCAAATATGTTTTATCGTTTTCAAGAAGCGCAGTTAACCTGGCAGTGTTAAAACTCAATGAGCAAGGCCTGTTGGACAAATTGAAAAACAAGTGGTGGTACGACAAAGGAGAGTGTGGCAGCGGAGGCGGTGGCGAGAAGGTTAGCCGCTATGTCGCTATGCCCATGTGACCTTGATGTGGGTAAAAGAGAAAATGTGTTGTGTTTGGTAACAGGCACATCTGCCGGGTCGACCTCCACAGAACGGTGACACGGAAGCTTTCAGTCCCGAGAGGACAGCGAGTGCCGTCGAAGCAAAGACATTCGCTTTTGCAGCGATAGAACGGAAAACTTGAAACTACTGATTGAAATAAGGATGTTGAAAGTCTCTCCTTCCCGAGCCAACACTTTTGGGCCTCTGTGATTGTTGCAAGAAAGGTCCCGGCAGTATGTGCCCGTTCCAGGAAAGCGATGCAGCCGCGGGGCCCCCCCGCATATATGTCTGTTAGCTCGCCCCCCCCCCCCCCCTCCATAACATCTCCCCATGAACCCGACCTCGCAAACGACTACAGCGACCAATGAGCAAAGAGACATGTAGCTCAGGCGGGGCCCCTTTGCGGCTGCGTCGCTTTGAGAGGAGCACTGAGCTGCTCTTGGTGGGCTTCTTTCTGATTGAATAACATAAAATAACATGTCCTATGATGTTATTTATGTTATTTCCCCACCCTTCCCCGTCCCCCGTGATATGAAGAACGCCTGTAAACCTTGCCGTATTGAAACTGAGTGAAGCAGGAGTCTTAGACAAACTGAAAAACAAATGGTGGTACGATAAGGGGGAGTGTGGACCCAAGGACTCGGGAAGTAAGGTCAGTCTCCAGCAGCCTGGGAGCCTCCCCTCCTCTCTTTGTCTCTGTGCACACCTTTATGACAGCAGGCTGGCTGACACGCGCGCACACACGCACACGCACACACACGTATGATACTCTGAGACAGAGCGAGTGGCAGACGTGCAGGTAGAGAACTGGAAGCGCAGCCCTAAGGGATGCGGCATGACAGACACGCGGCATGGTGCAGCGCTAACGGTTTCCACGCCGGCTACGCTACGCGTCACACGCTCACATGCACGGGCCGTCGCCTCAGACGAACCCATTGGCATGAGATGCCAGCATTGTTTGGCTGGGCTGCGGTATCGCACACACACACACACACACACACACACACATGCGTGAGGCAGGTTTGTTGATGCACTGCAGCATGGAGAGAGCTGCCACCTATTAAATGGAACAGCATGCACCGTACACATCAGTCATGTTCTCTTAATCAGACCCGTGAGTGCAGGATACACACACGCGCACGCGCACACACACACACACACACACACACACGCTTTCACCTGCAAATGAGACTAAGCATGACAGGCAGTCTCTTTGTGCCAGGGTAATAACGTCGAATGCCCCTTAAGGCCGTAAGTGATTTATCGAAGGGAGATAAATGGCAGGGAGGAGCAAAGAGTCGGAGCTCAGAGAGATCAGCTGCATGAATTTGAATGAAAGCGTTTAAAAGGTGAATGTCAGAGCTGACAGACGAGACAGGCCGTGAAAGTATGGAGGGAAATGAAAAGGCTATAGTTCATCCAACTTACAAAAAGTGATTTTCTCATTTAGCTCTAATTATGTGTGGCCATGCAAATCATTTGAATTGCATTTTTAAATATCAATAGCAGCGTTTCTATCCAGGAACAATGTCATTGTTTCTAAAGAACACAGATTATGGTTGGAATTGCTTTTGAAATAATGAATGAAATAATGTTTTCCATGAATATGAATAAAAACAACATATGAAATAAACTACTGTTTTTTTCAAACATCCATTGAACAAATTGTCCATGACCTCAAACTGTGGTCATTGGAACCAGTTGACCAGGATCATACTGGGCTCACAGATTGTTATAGACTATATATATATATATATATATATATACATTATTATAGACTAAACAGGCAGAGCCGGGTTGAAACACAAGCAATCCTTTAAGATTAAACAATCTCAATTTTCAATATGTTAAATACGTCAGGATTTGGACATTATGGCGTCCGGCTCAGGACCCGGCGGTCCGTCCATTTCTATTAAGCAAATGCCCACATCGTTTCTTGACAGATAAATTGCTGATTCATTTTCAGTGGTGTGAGGCAAAAAATCCCAAACTGTCCTCAAGTTCGGCAGCCCTAAGTGAGAAAACCCTCTTTTTTGCACTTTGGTTGAAGGTATTCTTAAATACAGTCTGTTTTTTTTAGGTATAGAGGATGATAACATAAAGCTTTAGAGCAGCAGGTTGAGAAGTGGTCTATGTTGTGTGTGTGTGTGTGTGTTGATGTGTAGTTTTTCCACATTGTCTTATATATAAATGTTGAGTGTTTACACTTTTTTGCTGTTTCTGCTAAAGCTTGCCCTGACGTTTGTGTTTGTCCCCCCTCCCCCCCCCCGCCGCCGCCGGCTGTAGGACAAGTCATCCCAGGCCCTAAGTCTGAGCAACGTGGCGGGGGTCTTCTACATCCTCGTTGGGGGCCTGGGCCTGGCCATGCTGGTGGCTCTCATCGAATTCTGCTACAAGTCGCGCAACGAGGCCAAGAGAATGAAGGTGGAGGCCCAGTCCCAATCCCAACACCCCCATTACCACCATCCCCACGACCACAGCTACCCCTGCCAGACAGGCGGCCCCCGCCATAGCCCCGAGCCTAGCCAGAGCCCGGCGCTCAGCCCCGCCGCCCACGACTTAGCCCAGTTTAGCGAGGTTTTCAATGGGTGTGGGAGCACCGGGGAAGCAGATAAGATGTAGTTGGGGTTTCCATACAAGTTCCGCCTAAGCCCCGCCCCCAACCCCCCCCTCAGCCCTCACTAGCTCCATCCACAGAGACTGTAAGTGAAACCTACGACATCCCCGCGCTAGCTTTGCCATGTCAAGTGACTGTCGTGACCAGTGGCAACAACGCTTCACACTCTCTGTCTCCGCCGCTCACCATGTGGTCATGTGACGTCCTGGTCTGCGTCGCAGCTCTTCCCCTCAATGTGACAAGAGGCGATGAGTCATCCTCGGAACGCGACGCCGCCCGCCTCTGCCGCTTCGCGGCTCGTGTGGCCGCAGACTGTTGGCCCTCATTTATCAGGCCAAACGGGCCGCGTGACCCATTTTGCAGGCTGCGTCCAAAAAAACGCATCACTCGTTCTGAACTCGTTGGGAGGATGACGATCAGACGCGCTATTCATTAGAATTCAGCGGTGATGAGAATATACAATCCATCCCACGATTGATCACCCTTGTAAAATTCTGCTATTTGATTAGACACCTTAATGTCAGAATGAAAACACCAAATTTACACAAAATGAAAAAGGGTGACTCCTTTAATTGGCGTAAGAGAGATAGGAATGGTTATTTTTCCACTGCACCCGTGGCGTTTCCAACAGGTGGGAAAGGCGTGATAAATGAGGACCAACGTCTTACTTGTACACATACGCACACGTCTACACTGGTGAGAACATTTCACAAAACTGCAAAACCTCAAGTACCGAGTTTCTCACACGGCGAACCATCCAAACACACACACACACACACACACACGTTTGTACCTGAGCATTAACAGCTGGGGGTCTCGACTCTGTCCGTTACAATAGAAGATCCATAGTGTTTAATGAGAAACCGACGCTGAGCACAGAGGAAGCCCCGAGCCCTGTTTAAACACTGTACGCTGTAGGATATTTCCCCCGGGTCCTTGACCATCAGTCTTTCACATCCGGTGTGTATCTGTCCAACGTGGTTATGTGTCCCCCATCAGCACTTCGACATTAGCTTGAGTGTTGCTCAGTCAGCTTCCCTGTCCCACCGCCTGCAACTATCACTCAGTGTGTCGCCGGTGGATTCACGTGTAGACGAGGCTGCCTTCATACTGTACTGAATGACTATCAAACTGTTTGTTATCATACGTTAACAGCATATTGGAGTTTTAGTTATACGTTTTTGGGGAGAAGAGCTAAACAATATCTGTGGGCTGCAGGGAGGAAATATTTTTGTAAGCCGGCTAGTTGGCGACAAATAAGCCAAATTGATCTTTAAAATAAGCTCAGTGGCAAACAAATGTTTAGTATACTTACACGTTTGATACGCAGCTGAGCACACAGGAAGAACAAAATCAACACTAAGCTTATTCAAATGTATCTCGAAGCGAGGATCATATCTGGAATGAGCACATCCTAAAACTCCAACCTGCAAACCCACTCGTTTGTCTATTGAGTCTGCTCCGACACATCGTGTCTTTATCTCTCTCCTCAGCTGACGTTCACAGAGGCCATGAGGAACAAGGCGCGCCTGTCCATCACGGGCAGCGTGGGGGAGAACGGACGGGTGCTGACGCCGGACTGTCCCAAGGCCGTCCACACGGGGCCCCCCCTCCGCCAGGGCTCCGGCCTGGCCCTGGTCTCCTCCGAGCTCCCGTGAAAACCAAAAACCTCTCAAGTGCCTTATTCCAATAGCAAGAAAGGAAACCAGTAATCACACCGACGCCCACGAAACAAGCAGACACTCACGGAGCAGGATTTACACAGCTGACGGGTCATCGCCGGGGGGGGGGGTGCGGGCAGATCCCGCTGTCAGAGGTCGCGTGACCTGTTGTGAATAAAAGGATTCCTCCCCCCCGAAATCTGTGGAAACCAGAGGCAGAAAATCTTAGAAAATGTTTCTAAATCAAATGAGAGTCCGCCGGAGACATTCGACCTTTACCTCCCCCCCCCTCCTCCCCCCTGACGTGAAGAGGAGCAGCGAAGGATGGAAATGAATAAATATCATGTTATATGATAAAGATAAAGACCAGAAAACTGTAAACTTGAAATTGATGAAAAAGAGAGAAAAAGAAGAAAACGACTGAACCACAATCAAGATTGTTTTTGAACTGTTTGCTACGCAGACATTTGCAACATTCACAATCTCACTAAATATCAGCAAGTGACTCGGGTCACTTGAGGTCCCGGGCCATGAAAAACGGTTTGTATCCATAATTACAAAAATGAAATCTACTGATATTGAATATATGAACAAACATAGGAAACTGTGAAGATTAGTAAATATGTATATTCCACAAAAAAGCAGAATAATAAGTTAGCTGTACATAGGGGACGACTGTGTACCATGCTTGCTTTTTAAACAGATGTACATAGCAGATACTGTAGTGGACAGAACGTTCTTTTTTTTTTGTAAATCATCTTTAAAGATCTTATCTTATTCATCGCAATAATGATGATGCCACTTAAAAGAGGAGAGCAGTGTTAAAGTCTGTTACGTGTTGAATACTTAACTTTATTATCTAGGAACATTCAAACTCTTAAATGTGAATGGGGTATCAACTGCCCAAATATCCCGGTACCTGTTGCATACAAATTCATTAATATATTCAACGATGAATGTTAAGTAGCTCCACCCCCCCCCCAAATCCTTAGACCGCCCCCCTCACTGTGCAGACGTAGACCCGGAGAGACGCTCGCCAGCAGAGCTTCACAAATCAAGTTTCCGCTGTCAGAATATGAATATTTTTTTCATTCTCTTTGATCTATTTTTTGTACGGAGAAATATTTGAAAAAAAAGAAGAAACTGTGTCCTGGTTTTAAATGTCCGCAGTCCGGTAGGACTTTTAAGGCCGTTATACGTGGGTAGACATAACGCCATATAGAAGAAAAAAAAGTACCATTTCTCTCATCATCACGCGTTATTTGGAGTGTCGACGTCGAACCGGAGCTCAGAAGTTCCTTCTGGAAACACTGTGGATCGTCCAGGGGGGGAGGGGGGGTCGGGCCCTCTGTAGCAGGAGGGTCACCGGCGTCCTCGTCTCCTCGTTTGGAAGGACAACCTGCGATAGGGTCTCGTCTTCAGCCGCAGCAGCGCGCCTCGGCGTTGCTTCTAAACGGTTCTCATCCGTCTCCCGTGCACGTGGCGCGGCGGAGTTTGCGGGAATAATTTGTTTTTTTGTTTGTTTGTTTTTTGTTGTCCTGCAATCCGTCTGAAGAGCTGAAGTGTAATACGGCGTCTCATTTCGGTTCGACTGTACATCTTTATTTTGACTTTTTTTAAGTAAAAAAATAATTCAAATTGCAATGTACTGTGTCGTTATTTCATTCATTCGTCTGAAGCTTTGCGTGAATATTACGGGCCTGAGAGGAAGAATTCTGAGCTCTTTGGTGCTTTATCCAACCTTTAAATTAGGATTCAAAGGAATACTTGGAGGTGTAATAATGTGTTTATTTTTTACAAATTGTCACACTTCTCATGTTTTAGCTACTTTCCACACTATAATATCACTGCAACATTTCAGGAATCTTTATTAAGATACGATGATTTTGCCTATTACATTTTGTCATGTCATACGGAATGTCTTTATATCCAATATTCTAATAACTTTTCGCTCACTAAAACTCTTTTTGTATTTTTATGTACTCAACTATGTATTTCTCAACATTCTATACGATAACTTTACAATTGATGTCCTAAATATACTAGCTGAGAGGTTGGGGGCATTTTGTACTATTGATCTGTGAAGAAGAAGTACTTCCTTCCCATTTGATATACTATGCGATTCTTTTTGAATGATGACTTTATTGACTTAGTGTGCTATGAAATATTTAACGGATTTGCAGTTATGACAATTTTTAACTTCCTACACTTGTTTCTTCTTTTAGCTTTGCATCATACTAAAGTAGCTCATTTTCTCGTGACTTTTTTTCAATAAGTTTCCCTTTTTCGGGACTTTTTTTTTACATTCTTTTTCAGGTTATTTTTTATATTACGTGCATTAACTTTTTGTAACTATGCATTTTAAAAGAAAATGTTGACATACTATACAACTTTTTCCATATTTTCGACTTGACTTCAGACTATTCTATGAATTTCTGAAACAGCATTTTTCAATGACATTTCTTCATAACATACAATTTCTTTTACCTAATATACTATTACCATTTAGGATATAGTACTTTGACTTTTGCAATATTTTTTGACTTACTATAAAAGGCGTTTTAAAGACTTCCTACTGTACCTTTTAATCACGGCTCCTGATATTCTAAACTAAAGGGACCAGAAAGCCGTGTGGTCCTTTACGGTTTCTATAATAACGCATCAACATATATAGTGCGACGTTTTGGACATTCTGTATTATTAACTTTCAATTGTATTGAGTAACTTTTGTCTAAATACATAAGATACATTTTGAAAGCAAATTTGACACTCAATTATTTTTGTGAAACTTTTCAGAATTCTGTATTTACCAGAATACTATACCATGACATCTTTTGACATACTGTACGAAGACTTTAGTTTAAATACCATTGACATTTTACTCCGGTTTACGATGTAAATAGCTACATTACGTTATAGCGCTTCATCTAAAAGTAGCTTAACCAAATGTTGGATTTTATAGAATATGATTAGACCGCTTGTACTTCATTTGATCCGATCAATGAATTCCACCTCCGGGTGGACGTATTCTGGCGCTGCGGACCACCACTGCCCTCTGGTGAATGAAATGAAACCAAAGCACCGGCAGGAAAAGACACCTCACACAACGGACGTCGACACGTTTCAATTTGAAGTTTAATGTTAGTTCCATGCTGCGTTTCAGTAAGAATACAGATGGTACTTTGTGGCTCCGCCGAGAATTTCTAGTAGTACAAATCAGATTCACGTTACACATACCGAAGAGAGGAGGAAAAAGGAAAGGCGAGGAGAGTCAAGAGGAAACCTGAAATAGTTAGGACAGTAAAGAGCAGGTCTTGATTTCCCAAACTTTTTTTTTTTTTTTTTTAATATGGTGCGAATGCAAATCTGCATTATTTTACAATCAATAGTATCGAGCATTCCCCTCCCACGCACACATACACGTTGTCTGCTAAAAAGCCATTACCTAACTACCTGCTACAGCCTCGCAGCACATCACTTGGTCCGAGAATGGACAAGAATAGAGGTCAGAGCGACGCTTGAGGGGGACATTCTGCCATTTGCCATGAAAAGAAAAAAAAAAAAAAAAAGAACTATTGAGGTGTCAAAGGAGCAGGTTTGGTAACCACAAAGTAAAGAGGGCACTTGGTTCCTCCAAAAAGCTCTCACAGCCCTTTTAAATCTTTCATCACTTTATTTCCTCAATTTGCAAACCGAAATGTTTCAAAACTGACCGACTGCATGGACAATATATTGTTTAGAAACACACAAATACAGGAAAAAGTTGAACAGCTAAGTATTGTCTTTAAATAAACTCTTGCATATGTGTGTTAAAAATACAGGCAAGCGTACTTGGCTACAGATAATCCAGCAAAGCAAAAAAAAAAAAAAAAAAGGTAAAAAAGAACCCGTAAAAGAGGACATGAACCTTAAAGGGTACAGGCTTGCAAAACGAGTCATCAAAAATAAGGTGAAACTCCTGGGACGTGGAAATGGAGACCTGAGCAGGCCCTGTGTGTGTGTGTGTGGGGGGGGGTGGGGGGGTGGGAAGGGGCGGCATGACATGCATATGAGGAGGAAGGGGGAGACGGATGGGTAGAAATGGAGGGAGAGGCAGAGGAAGGCTTTGGGCTGCAGTATAAACCCAGTGGAAACTGTGGCAGGGGACAGAAGCTAGTGCTGAGAGGAGGAGGAGAGGAGGGGGAGTCGTGGGTTGTTCAGTCTCCCTGGGTCTCTTCCTCCGCATCTTGCGGTGGTTCTTTGTTCGGTTCTTCACCTGAGACAACGACAGGAACAGAACAATGTTGTTATCTCAGCACACTCAAGTCTTTTTTTTTTTTTAAGAAAGCTAAATGGAAATGAAGTTCATCCCTGGTGGCTTTGAGCCTAATTCCCAGTTTGGGCTCAGATTATTGTATTCTCTTGCAGTTACAAAATGGGATGTTATTGAGGAAAGAATCATTTATGCTTATATTATGAGCAACAATTTAACAGGGACAATGCATCACAAGACACATGAGTCGGTGGCTTCAAAGCGCTAATTTTACCCAGATGCAAGTGGTTTAAATAACTATTACAGTTGGAGGTTTTGATAAAGTCTTTAAAGTATTTAATCTGCCAATTACATTTCTTTGTGAATCAACTGATTGCTTTGGAAATTAAAATGTTAGATAACACTGTCTGAAAATGGCAAGAACTTGGTTTTGTCTCTTCAATCTAAAATCAACGATATTCACTTTGTCACGCGAGATGAAGAAACGCTGCAAAGACTCAGGTTGTTCTGAACTGTTCAGTCAGTTCTATCGAACTCTAGAACTGACTGAACAGAAAGTAGTGAGTGAGTAAGTGAAAGCTGGGACGCAAAAAGAATACACGGAGCGAGCGGTCAAAGTCGTTACTTGGTGCTTTCTAAAGAGTCGAGACACCCGTGAAGACGAGCATTCCATCAGCGACGACGTGGATCAGGCCGGGAATGTGCGGATTCGGCAGTCATGCAACAAACCAGCCCGTCAATCAGACGGAGACCACGGCGTTTGCCGCCGCCGGGTAAAAACAGGCAGTCCGGCGGGCGACAGTTCGTCCACGGCGCCGTCGGAGCCAAATGCCTCGAGAACCCAAGGGGGGGCGGTTGCTTGGAAAGGTTACCATGGAGACCGCACGGCCATCCGTGTAATGAAGAATTAAGGGGCATAAATAACAAAAGGCTGGAGAATCCGTGGTGATTAAAATAGAAGCCGCTGCAGTGCTCATCAGCGCCACGGCCAACTGGGACGAGAGAACGAGACGCCAGATCGATTGGTGCCCTTTGGCAGATATTGTTCAACAGCTAAAAGAAAATCTACCCTGAATGTGATTTCACAGGTTTTCATTTCATCTCAACTTAAACTGATGTTTTGCTAGCGTTCCCCAGTTAAATGTCCATCATAGTCCCACAGGACTATTAGGGGTTAATACCCCAAAATAACTGATCACCAATCAGAGAGACATTAACTGCCACAAAGAGAGTTTCTTTTACCCAAACAGTATGTTGATGTTAGGACTGTTTGCATTGACGGGGATTGTAAAGTGCAGTATCATTCGATTATCTGTTTAACACAAAGATCACTGGGTGATTAGCGTTTAGTTTATTGATAAAGCATCATGCATTTCATTGGATCAGCTAAAATAAAAAGAGCCACAATAACTTAAACTGCTGTTAGCTTCTGATAAACGTTATTCCCGTGATCACTGGAAGCGTGTGAGAAGCACAGATGTGTTCAGGGGGGACGTATTTGGACGTATTTGAAGAAAAATGGAGACAAAAACCTCCATGAGACAGAGGAGCTGGAAAGTGGCAACTATCGGATAGTATTATGTAAACAAAAACCAAGCGAGCACGATCTCAAATTCTAATAAAAAACACAGCACGCATGTGCACTCGTGCAGGAACAGGTGGATAAGAGGTGAAAAAGAAAACATCTCAAGCAGCAGCAGCTCTGTGATCAAACAGGAGGACGCGACCTCCTCCTAACGAGGCCGGACTTCCCAGCGTGAGGAGGTTAGTGCGCCGCGTCAGGCCGGTGACACAGGAAGTGAACGAGCCAGAGCGCGGCAGGAGGAAAGACTTACAAATTAGACTTCTACAATGGACGGAGGAACGGCAGCCCTTAAGAATCTACAGAAGAACGATGGAGAGATGAGAAGTCAAAGCAGTGAGTGAGGACTGAGGAGGAGAGGCGAGGGGGCTCCTGAGGAGCAGCTTAGAGGCGACGAGGATCCGACCGACTGGACCCGGCGCCCCCGCCTTAAAAAGCAGCGTCTCTCACCGTCTCCCTGCACGTCTGAGGTCCATAGTGTCAAGTTGTCCCGTAGCAGCTGCATGATAAGTGTCGAGTCCTTGTAGCTCTCCTCGCTCAGCGTATCCAGTTCGGCGATGGCGTTGTCGAACGCTTCCTTCGCCAACCTGATCGGCAGAAAACAGCACAGTTACACACCATCTTATAAAACATTAAAGAAACACACACACACACACACATTAGTTAAACAGGTAAGACTTACTTGCAGGCGCGGTCTGGCGAGTTGAGGATTTCATAATAGAAAACAGAGAAGTTGAGGGCCAGTCCCAGGCGGATGGGGTGCGTTGGAGGGAGTTCGATCATGGCGATGTCGCTGGCGGCTTTGTAGGCAACCAGACTGTTCTCGGCGGCCTCCTTCCGGTCGTTGCCGGTGGCGAACTCCGCCAGGTACCGGTGGTAATCTCCCTTCCTGAGCACGGGGAACGGCAAAGACGGGCAGACGCATCAGCCAACCAGCCGGGCTGAACTTACTGCACACAACGGTGCATCAACACGCCGAGCTCCATTAAAAAAAAACCATCATACAAACAAACAAACACTCCAATGCAAGCAAGAAAGCCGTGTAACACAGCATCTTTGGGTTTAGTCCCTTCGCCAAACTAAACCGTACAAACATGTTAGACTGAAGCAAAAGCACAGTTGTTGGATACGTACATCTTGTAGTAGAAAACCTTAGACTCTCCTGTGACTGCAGCTAAGATGAGGTGCTTGTCCAGGACGTCCAGAATGTCGTTGCAGATTGATTTTAGCTCTTTCTCAACCTGCGAAAAAAAAAACCCACAAACACTGAGGTCAACGGCTGGAATGGTCCAATGATACCTGACAGGGACCAGGTGCAGCTTTCCTCTCATCACTGGAAACCCAAAGCTGGGTTGTTATTTTAGTCCTCACCTCAGTCTACCGTACATCTATATTGGAACTACAATGTGCTCAGAAGACTTTGCCACACAGACTATAGGTACGAGTGGACAGTGATGCAGAAGGCAGCTTTTAGGGTCACATATCTAATACAATATGACGTTTATTGTCACTTTATGGAAGTGCTTGTAAATAAAAACAGCCTTCTGTTTTTATTTACATAAAACAACGAATGAATTTTGGTAGCGTCAACTTTTTCCACCTTTGTTTTCTGGAATGTAAAGCTCCCGTATCACACAAATCAAAGGAAAAAAAAAAGAGCCTCAGCCACAGCTGTGGTGTCAGTAAATAGAAAAACTCAAAACTTCAATTTCCATTAAATCGTCACTGAAGATGTGAGCACATTGGCCTTCGAGGGAGCCGGTCAATCAGCTCCCTGCACTGTGAAATAAAATGGTTACCAAGGAGATCAATGAAACTGCTCCTGCATCTCTCAGCTGTGGGAAAATACAAGCGGCAGTCCTGGGGAAGCCACAGGTGTTTGCTCTATGAACCAGTGGGAGAACACGTGTGAGTGAAGGGGGGGGGCGAACAGGGACTACGCTGGTTCCCGCTGGTTGCAGTAGGAAAGAACGAAGGAGCTCGTTTGGAGACCTCAGGGCTTTTACAAAGTGCAGTCCTTAGCAACACGATGCAGTCATTGGGGACAATATAAATTAGAGCATGCTTGTCATTTCGTTACAAATGGGACTTGTTTCAATGAATCAACGTTTAAAAAAAATGTTGCATAAAGCCTTTTAAATCAAAACCACGTAGCTTTGAAACCTTGAATAAGATACATCGCCCGTGTTGCTGTGGAGGAATTGAGTCATGAGCAGCGTCTGACCGTTTTCCTATATTCCCGGATCATCTTTAATTTGTCTTCTCCGCCTTTGTTTTCTTCCTTCTGTTCCAGGCTGCTGATTATCCTCCAGGACGCTCTCCTGGCGCCGATCACGTTCTTGTAGGCTACCGACAGCAGGTTCCTCTCCTCCACCGTCAGCTCCACGTCCATGCTGGCCACGTTCTTCATCGACTCCACCATTTCTAGGAGACACGGGGAAACATGCGGCGTGAAGGCGCCGGGTTTTGGACCGGCGCAGCGACCCGTATTGAGCGTCTCAACGTCACGTTTGAGTGAGTCTCGGTCTGACGGGTCACTGCTCCTCTCTAACCTTTTGCCGCAGATTGCGGCCTCCTTCTTGTCCCCCCCACGCCGAGGGAGACCCATCAGGTCTCTGTATGAATAGGAGGTACTTTCTCAGAGGTCGGATGGCCAGACAGCTACGACATCTCTGCCCCCCCCCCATTTGGGATAGAAGACCATCAGTGAGGACAGCAGGAGAAGATGAGATGTCATTTCTAGCCGGGGACCCGGGTATCTCTGTTGCATTCACTTCAAACCCCACTACAGTAAACAGATGCATCCACACGGGTCAATGTTCTCGAAATATGAAAAGAAAGTTCTGTAATTTGGGGGACTATTTAAAAACCTTTTTGGTATGACGAGGTACGAAAAGTGATGCACATTCATTCTCCATTAACGACGACTTTCACCCTCAGCCCCTGTATTTTATTAATGGGCTTCCTGGACTATTGCCCAAGTACAGAGGCTTCTAATGTGGAGATTCACCACCTACAGACACCAATGAGAGGAGAGAACCAGCGGCGACGACGGAGCAGAAGGACGAGCGCATGAGACGCCTCTCTTGTATTTTCACCTCCCGCGACATCAAGGTGATTCAGTAGGACGTGTGCTTGATAAATAATCTACAGTAAACAACATTTTAATACTGTGCATTGGAGGAGCCACTAATTAGCCCAACAAGCCGTTTCCCTCGGGGGGGGGGACATCAACAGACACGGCGTGGGCCCCCAGTCACCAAAGCACAGAAGAGCAGTGTGCCGGTCCCGCGGCCGTGCAGACCGGGTGTCATCTCAGGGTGCTGCGCAGCACACTGGAAACCCGATCCACGGCCGCTTCCAGCCGGGAGGAGCACTATGCTGCTTTGATCGTTTTACCCTGCGGCCCGGCGCTCTCCAACGAACTCAATGACCTCTCTGTGCTTAAAAAAAAAACGTAACAAGCTCTATTGAACTGATCCGTCACGGCTCCTCCTCCAACCGGGACTTCTTTAACCCTTCTTTGGACACTTGTGTACCAAGCAGTACGTACTGAGAAATGACCTTTTCCCCTCTGCGGCACAGTGAAGACCAGGTAGCATCATGGACGGCTACGTAGCTACTAATAACGTCACACAACGTCAAGGGCCGCTCTGAGTGATATTAATTTCCCTTTGTCTGAATTACATATACCTTCTACCGAGACTCCACAATGAGAGCTAAAAATAACATCCAGCAGCATGTTTTTATTTAACCCCTAAAGTGCATGGTAACTTTTTTTTTTTGTAATTTCAAAGCCACGGTGTCCTCTAAAGTCAAAAATAGAACAGAGGCACATAGAAACCGAAGCAAATAAAGTAGCTGTTGGACAGTAACCAGCAGCTGAAGCGCAGCTCGAACGCAATGCCGACCAGCGCGGTTATGGGAGAACAACACACAGAGAGCAGCGACTGTGGCCGCCAATCACATGTTGGCTTTTGCAAAAGGTGCAGTGACATCGGGAATTTCCAATTCATTCCAGGTCGGAGCGAGTCTTCAATGCGCTTAGGTCTCTGTCTAAGCCGCTCGTCTCGCTCTCTCTCTCGCTCTCCTTTGTCCTCTCTGCGATACACAACAAGGTTGTAGCTCACACACTCACGCAGAGCTCAGAGACAGCAGTTTGCAGCCGCAGTCCCCCAACTTGTTGTCCTAGCGACCGACATTCCACGGCATTGAGGACTCACAATCCGACAACCAATTGTGTATTAACAAGACTTTTGAGTTCCATAACTGGCTTTGTGGTGAGACAACACCGGTCACGGTTGGCGTCTTGCCACGATCACACCTGCAGTGTCCCCCAATTAAAAAGGTATTTTCACGCTGTATTCTGCTTGTGTACACGTTGAGTGTGCGCGGTCAGGGTCTTGAGGGGTCATTTTTAATAAAGGATGTGCTGCAGCAAGCGGCCGTGCACATTCGCATCTCCATCACAAACCGGCTCCTGGCCAAGCAGGTTTCAAGGGTTTTTCATTTGGCGCATAACATTGTTAACAGAACATTACATGAAACAATTTAAAAAAACGGTATAAACGGTAGATTTAAAGTATAAATCTTGCTATAAAATGTTGACATACTAAATATGCAAACGTAGTCTCACAAATATGGGTTTACATTAATGTGACATGTCCGGGGGGGGGGGGGGGGGGGGGGGGGGGGGGGGGTCCTGGGCTTTGATGAATCAGCCCAGTCGTGCAGATCAGAAATAATACAATGCAAATGCGTTCCTATGTTGCATGACGAAATGGTTTGGTGCCATGGAGAACAAAGCACATGCATGGAGGACGGGCTGTCAGATCAGAAGCGGAAACGTGCACGCAACTCATCTGTCGTCACTGGAACGTTTTGAGAGTTCTGGCAGTGTGAGAAATGGACCCCGACTAAACCGTCCCGGTGGGGCCGGCGTGCACCACGGCGAGGACCGGAGAGTCGTGATCGAACTACAACTGTGCATTTATCAACCGACGTTGCATCGCTACGGAAGGGACAAGGCGATGACGGCAGTGGAGAGAGCGGCCTCACGGTGTCACACCCGCGGGTTAAATAACGCACGGCACCGGGCAGCAACACGGACCTCACGAAAGCACGGACACACACACCAACACAAAGAACTTCACAGGTCACGGTTTTCTTGGTCTTGCCCAAATGTGGCTAATTGTTCAGGCTTGAGAAACATAATGCAGGCATTAAACGAGTTGGAAGAGAAAAAGCAAAGTAAATTCGGCTCGAATATTTTATCACATTGTCCTCTGGTTGTTAGACCGACTGGATCTGGGTTTTCTCAACACACAGTGTGTGGGCGGTGCGTTAGCATTAATGTGCACGGCGGTGAGGATACCATTTTTGGGGGGGGGGGGGGGTTAAACTGCAGCTCGGTGTGTTCAGATATAATTGTGTTTATTCCAACGGCAACAACAGACCCAAAGAGGGCGAGGGGACGTGGACGTTTGCTGTATTTCTGAATGGAGTTTGGTGTGACGCGTGTCGGGGCTAAATGACGGCTAGCCAGCTAGTTAGCGATAGCTAGCTAGCGCTGGCTAACTAGCAATAAACTGACTTAGCTCACCGGCTAACGTGAGTACCAAGACGCCAGGCCACGCGACGGAGCGCGCTTCTCCCCGAGCGAGCTGCCCCTTCCCGGTTAACCGCAGACCATTTAACCGTTGGCCGATTCATTCGGCTGAAGAAATCTCCGCCATTTTGTCCCTCACCCAACAAATCCATGTGTAGTGCTCTACCTGCTCCTCCGAGCCCCCCTCCCCCGCCTCACCCCCCTTGCGCAGGGAGACCGGAGGGGCAAAGAGGGGGCCAGGCGTCCTGCGCTGACCGTTACTCGTGCGGGGGTCTTACCGTCGTATCTCTCCGCTTGCTCGGCGAGCTTCGCCTGGTACACTAAGTTCTCTCTGTCCGCCATGGCGCTCGGATCGTTCGGGGCTGCTCGCAGCGTCCCGGTAGGAGAGGCAGGATTATCGGCTGCTCGGTTGATTCCTGGTGGTGGATCAGCAACAGCACCGTTGCTCCGCTGAACTGAACACCCACCGGTAGCACACTGGCGTAAAGATGGCGACGCTCCTCCATCCGGGAAACCCACGCAGCGGTCCCATTTACGCCCACTGCAGCCCGAAGCCAAGTCGCGAAACACACCGCTGTCCGAGATTACTTTAACAGACCCCATTCAAAGAAGGGAAAACCCGGTGTTAAGTCACTTTACAGTACATTTAAAATATATCTACCATATTGTGTTCGTTGGAGTATATACACTCTTCCATTCGGCATAGATATAGTTCCTAAATAAATATTTATTTCACCATTTTAACTTATATTTGGCTTACAGCCATGTTACTGTAAGGTACGGTGATGTAAAGCCCAAACTCATAATTTTGGATATTTTTATTGACTACTACTTTAACTAACACTTATATATAAATATACCAATTTATATATATTTGAATCATCCTGATTTTGCCTGTTCTGGTTCCCTTCAAAGTGAGGTCAAAATAGCACAAAACAAAAAATATCTGATCGTTGGAAAAAAAAATCTGAAGGAAGAATTTTATTTTAGACTTTTTCTTGAGCTGGTGACAAGATAAGTGGCACATTGTAGGATCATCAAGGTATCTTCTAAAAAGGGGTCATTGGTCTACAACTAACTGCAGAGTTGTCACATTAACAAAGGTCCTTGGACTATTGGGACTTAAAACTATTGTTTTATATACAGGGATACAAATGAGCCACAGGTTTAAAAAAAAGATTAATATTAATTATGGAAATACTAAATATTGCATTTAATACAAAACGCACTATTATATCTCAGCCCAGTTAAATGATGCACCTATTTAACAAAATATGCAGAAATATTCATTTATTATCACCAAATTCAATCATCCTTTCTTCCTTTAAAACAGAGCATCAAGTGAGCCCATGTATGCTCGTACCAACCAACTTGGACTAATAATAACATGACATTCATCCATCTGCAACTCTTGGCAAAGAGGGAGGTGTGAGTGGAGCAACAGCCCTTTGTCGCTCAGAGCTGTGCTCACTTATAAGCAGGCCTTTCTTTCACGGGGACCGATAGATGTTTAGAGCTGTGCCTTTGATTGCATTAGGATATGAAATACAGTTGGTTGCAACAACAAGTTGTGCAACGGTTGTGCAGATTATTCATTCACTCATCCAAGGCACGAGATGTGTGATCTGAAAACAAAGACAACGTGCCTCCTATGAGGTAAAGAGGACCGAACTCTGCAGAGCCTCCCGCTTACTGACGACATGTGCAGCCGAGGCTCATCCCTCCTGCTGCAGTTTGACATTTCCATCACACAAGCCGCATTGATGTATCAAGGGAAGGTGGTTAAATATATGGTTTACGATAATACATATATACAAGACTGTTACCAAAGAATGATTTTTCTTCTTAAAAACACTTTTCACTGGCAGCGGCATCACATCACAAACATTTGTTCGTCGTCTGAAAATTACGATTTCACTGAGGAAAGAAGTCTTGGCCCATTTCATGGTTTATTTTCATACGGACATGTTCAATAACAAAAAATAAAAAAAGCAGTTTGTAATAATAGCATGTGACTGATGAGAAACAGGTAACGTGTGAACCCTGGCCCAAATAAAAGACAGTGTGGCAGGTTTGTTTCACAGGTTATACATGACAATGCTAGAGGATTTTAGTATTTTACGGTGGCTTTTATCTCAACATCCCCAAAACCCCGTTAAAAGATGAAAATAAAATCCCTCAACTTTCTCCTCTGATCTTTTAAAACGCCATCAGTGGATCTCGCCAACCCCCTGGGGAGGGCGCTTATTTTGTTTCAATGTCGGCGCTGAATAGTGTTTCAAAAGAGAAACATCAAATAAGTGTCTTGCTGGTAACAAAGAAAAACAATTAAAATAAAAAAAATGACAGTATTTAGCATGTAAGGTGTAAATATATATTTATATAGAGTCAATCATTTCATAATATTTTCCACTTTTGGTACAAAAAAAAAAGGAAGGACTTTGTGTGTAGCGTGGGATTTAATACGTTCGTGGAGGAGTCTTCTCCACAAGACCGAGTCTCCAGGAAAAGTCTTTGCTCGTTTCACAGTCTGGCCCCACAGAAACTCACGAGTCATGATTCTGAGAGAGAGGAGCCGAGTGTTTCGTCTCCGATGTGCAATCGATCATTCCCTGCTGTGTGAATCAAACGCAGCGGCTAACACACGAGGGGAGGAGTGGGTCGACTCTGGTATGTGTGTGTGTGTGTTGACTTAAATACTGGATTGGAGGTGTGTAAACTACGGTTCAACTGATACCGGTTACTGCCACCAAATGCTGCCCGTTTTGGATAAAAACTGACATTTAGTCTTTTATTCACAAAAAAAAAAAGGATTAATATTTTCAGGCTAGCAGCTGCTATCAAGACAAGACTCCCCCACACTAACTGGGACAAGCACATAGACCGCCAACATGAAGCGCGGTGGACTGACAGGGAACTCATTGATTGGCCGGTTCTGGTGTCTGCATCATCAGCGCTTCATGGACCAACGAGGAGAAATCGATACCCAACGGCAGGTCTGGATTATAGGTAATGACTGCAACTGGACCGTGGGAAGTCGTAATCGAAAAAGAGTCTTTTGCTGTATCATTAAGCAGGGAGGGTTGTTTCGTCGTTACGTTTCATGGAATTTTTTATTGAATTGCTAAAATACATATAGTGGGACATAAATCCTAATCTTCAGCCATTCTTTACAGAGGTCAGGTGTCTAAAACTCTAAAAAGGGTCTACTTACTACATGCGTCTAATAAAACTGCTGTTGTGGCGACTACGCTGAGATGAAACCGGTAATCAACATTCTCATCTGGTTCAGACATCACACGACTGCATCTCTATAAATGTAGCATGAATAAATACTAAACCAATAAATGCTGCCATCCATCTTAATGCAAGCCACGTTTAATTGAGAGTTCCAGAAGAATATTTAAGCAGAGAGAAAAGAACTTCATCCAGGCGAACCGGTATCAGTCTGACCGTAGTGTAAACTCTTCAAAATGACAGCAGGCCCGTCTCGTGTTGCCGTGGTAACGCTTGAGCTCATAGGTTCATATATTGTGTGCTTGTATAAATCCTTTTCTTTCAGAGCGTCACGTGAGGACCAAAAGAGAAGGAGACGTGCTGGAGGTGAGGGGGGGGGGGCTCTCAGCTCTCGTCGTCCGGATGGTTTAGTTCCAGCAGTCGAACGTGGGTGAAGGGAAAGTGGCCCTGTTTGCCTTTGCACTCACCCTCCCACTGGCCGTTCACGTTGATCTTGGTCACTTTTACCCTGTCGCCCACCTGCAAGATGACAAAGAATACATATAAATACACACACACACACACTTCCTCTCTCTGACACTGACTGGTAGGATTCAGACTGGTAGGATCGATTCATGCACGTCGAACATCAATATGCGGGTCAGACGTCTGTCCCCCCGCAGAATAAACCGCATTGACTTAAAATTACTGACCCATCTTCATGTGTACAGCTGCGGAGCGACACACACAAGTAAGATTGATGAAGGAAAAGACGCTACTCGACCAATTACTTATTTCTTGTAGAAACGTTTCAAAAAGCCCGACAGAAGTCCTTGCATTTTAGTGGAGATAATCACACTGAATTTAAATGTGTTACATTTAAAACGTTCAGCCCGACATCGTGTCCGGGGGAGGGCAGCCTGTTTTTGTGACGGAAGAATTTCAGAATCATCAGAATTCACTGCATTTTTCCCCCCCACACGGATGTAGTGAAGAATTGGTATCGCGTAGAAACCACAATAAACACAAGACCTATTTAAACAGCTGAACAAATCAGAGGGGAAGCTTCAGTAGACGGCTTTAAAAGCAGCAGGTTCATAAACCCAGCGTCCTCGAGTCCACTCCAGCTCACAGAAACACACACGTGGCACCTGTGTCTCTGACATGAGCAGCCCGCGAAATTTAAAAGTTGTGTTAAAAGTTGGCACCGTGTGCGTATCAGATTGATCATTTGATTCAATTCAGCTTCTTAATCTCCTGCTGCAGCTCTTATAGTTCACAAAGGCACAGCTCACTGTGAGGCAAAAAGGTTGTGAGGCGACCCCACCATGGTGCCCTGTATCAGAGCGATAACCAGCTACTGGCTAGCGTGTCTCATTGGCCATCCGCTTGTTGACAGCGAGACGCTCAGTGAGTTTAGATCACGGTCTCAGGGACACACACACACGACATACCGGATTATATCAACTTCTCCTCATTAACCTCCACTAGCGTTTGCGTTTCCATACTAATCCAACCAAAAACGGTTCATCTGTTCCCCAGGAGACTAAAAACAAGGCCACTTGTTTCCGTGGGGATGAATGTACAATGCAGCACTCATAGTGGCCCAATGGGCCACAGAGAGACGTGCACATGGGTTGACCCCAACCCATTGTAAAAAAAAAAAAGCATCTGCGTCTGTCTTTCACTATAGTGCCATCGCCGCCGCCAAGTGTCTTCACATGCGCCGTCAACTTGCATTTGTGAAGACACTGTGTTACCATCACACGCCTGAGTGAGCCAATAACTATCCGGACAATCTACACCGTCACCGCTGAGGCGCACATGGAGGAAAAACAAGAGAGATGGAGGCAGTCGACAGTGAATAGCAGGAAAGCCATGGAGTACATGAGTGGTGGGTGGAATTGCTACCTCCAGAGCGAGCGCCGTCTTGTCGTAGGCGTTGGGCACCCTCTTCTGAATGGCTCGCGCATAGACAGGCCCGTTCTGTAGGTTAGGGAGCTGGGCGTTGACCACAGGCTGAGCGTACTGGCCGGGGTCCCCGGGGTTGGGCTGAGGGGACCCCGTTGGGTCTGTGCCGCCCGCCGGACCCCCCTGTCCGCTCCCCACAAGAGGGGGGCCCAGGCCGGCAGCGGTGGGCGAAGAGGGCCGGTACTTCTCCACGTAGGGCACCGGGATCATCCCGGCTCGGCCCTCCTGGTTAGCTGCGTTCCACCACTGGTCTTCTGGCTTCTCCAGCACCCGCAGGATGTCCCCCCTGCGGAAGGGGAGGTCCTCCTCGTCGTTACCAGGGAAGTCAAATAGCGCGCGGACAAACTCTGCCTCGTCTGGCTGCGGCGGGGCGCCACCAGAGGAGATGCTGATGAAGCCCGTGTGCTTGGCCTTGTTTATGGGCTCAATGAGTGTGGTGGTGTCCAGGTAGTGGATCTTATAAAACTCCAGCAGTGCTGGCAGCGCCTCGAACTCCTGGTCCCCGATCCGAAACCGAGGGGGAGCCAAACCTGGCAGAGGAAGAGTGTGGGGGGGGGGTTAGTTTGTGTACAGGCGTGCTTTGAGTTTTGGGTGTACACAGCACATTAATTACACGTCAAAATGAAACACTATCGAATAGGCCGCTGTGTTTGGGAAGATTATTGGATCATCAATCTTACCAATGTACTTAGATCCACTTTTAAACCATAAAGTAAGCTTCCATCTAATTAAAAATGGATACTCTTGCTGTAAATCGATGATTTATTATAGCGGGAGACCGATTTAACAACAAACAAAACAAAAAGGCCCAACATTATGGAAGCCCTGAAAGGAATTGCGCAGCAGCCATAAGGAGGCACCATTGAAGCGGGAGACGTGTCGGTAGTGCACCACGTACGTGCACCACCACGACGGGGTCACACACAGTCACCCTCCGGTGGTGACAGCCCGGCCTGCCCCGTTCCATCCGGACCGTGCAGCCCAGACGGAGACAACGTACCGCCTCCTTCCTCGGTCGCAAACAACAAATAAATCGATCGCTAGCTTGATGGCTAATCGGAAAAGTAATAACTTCATTTAGACATCCAACCGTTACTGAACTTTACACACGCCAGACGCGATTTCTATCACTTTGTCGTTACTCGGTTATGATGTAATATCACTTTATATCGTAGTGCAACTTTTGTTGTCACGTTATTTAACGAATGAAAGAATTTCCGGCAAATGTTTCAGCACTTCGGACCCACAGAAGCTAGCCCGTTAGCTAATGCTACACGGTGCTACACAGACTTCGGGGGGGGCGGTATCGAGCAGCTTGAACCACATGTAAAAGTGTTCCTTTTTGTTCGCAGGAGCGAATATTATGCGAATACATGTAAGCAGAGTTTATTTTAGCATCATCCAAAAACACTGGAAACACAAAAAAGGGGCACGTACAAGTTAAACTGGAGAACTGGCGAAGGGCGTCTGGCGTGGCTCGAGAGCCGCACGCGATGGGGCTAAAAATCAAAGCTATTCACTACTGGATGGAAAATACACATTCTAACGTTTGTCCTAAAAAGAAATCGGTGAGGATTCGGATCAGACGCCCAGCCGGGCGACCCACAATTCAACGTTACCTGAGCCAGACTGCCGGTTGTTACTGACGCTGTTGATTATATAATGGGAGACTTTGGAGTTCTCGGAGACGGACAGCACGTAGTCGCCGGGGCTGGTGATCGAGTCTCTCACCAGGAAAACGCCGTGCCGCTGCCCCTGGAGCAGGGAGACGGCTTCCTGGCGGCTCAGCCTTCCCCAGTACCAGCTAGAGCGGTCTTCGGCGTCAAAATTGCCGGCCATGGCTGTGGAATCTCGTCCGAGGCTTGAGGCCTTTCCCCGTCGCCTCTCCCTATCCGCGACTCATACACAAACTTTGGTTGACTTAACGTTTCCCGTGAGAATCAAGAAAAAACAAAAAAAAACGCTACAACAAAGCGCAGTTTTCTGAAACTTCCACGTCTAATTACAGTCGAGGCGTTTTAAAGTGGACGGGCTTTCTGTTCGCACCTCAGAAACTCCAACGCTTACACGTTGAGATGACTGAAGAATGAATTCTAAACTAATGTGCAACAAGAAACTCCGGGACTGAAATGGCGGATCTGGGGAAAAGTTGACCTCATCTACCGGAAGGGATGCCTGGTCAATGGGAAGCGTTGCATTCACGTGCCTTAAAAGAAAAAACGTAGACACGATACAACGACTCCGCATCTTTTAAAATGACTGCTCTTAACACGGCTGACATGGTTTATTGCGCATGCTTTAGTGCCGTAGTAGACTAAATAAACATATTTTAAAAAAACGTAAAAGTGCGTGGTTGCTTAAAGAAATCATACGAATCCCTCTCTGTAAATTATGCAACTAATTTGAAGCCTTAAACGCATCATGTTCAAACTTTTCTGAAGATTTTTGTTGTCTGTCAATTCGCGTTTAAGCATGTTTTTGCAAACATGTATTTTGTGAGACTAGTCAAGTTTTTTGTTAAGCAAACACACACCCCAACAAGGGATTCAGTCGTGACGTGAGACGAACCAAGATACAAGTTTTACAACCGATGTGACCATTATTACGTTATAGTAACATACCTGAAATGATGTCAACATGGAATAACATTATGTCATATTTATCAGGGGGTAATTTATTACATTATACAACTACAAATGCAGGGATGGGGGAATGACAGTCAATATTAATAACATGTGTTAACTAAAATACATTTAAAAAACATTCTGTGGCGATCTTCACCACGTGCATTGTACCACTAGATGGCAACATACATTGTAAAACAGCGTGGAGCTTCGTTCAATTGACCTGTTATTTCTGACACTGGAAAACATAAAATAAAAAATTGAATGGGCCATGTTGGCCAAAAACCTCATATAAAAGAACAAAATTATTATTGTCTCTGCTCTTATGCAGTTTCATACAATTATAAGTTACTCCAATTCCTCCAACTCCTCATTTATTATGATGATTGACCTTATGTCATTATAAAAGCACTATTGTTATAAAGCATTGTAATCAAGCACAATGAGCAGAATGTCAAACATGATCTGTATTGAATAATATATAGCATCATAGAAAGTGCTACCAAAAATTACCTGCAGTCTTTGTTAGTCTCATGCCAACTACTGTCTCTAAAAATGAAAATTATAAGAGAATGTTATTTATTTTGCGCATATTTTCTTCACAACTATTTGTATTGTAAATATTTCTCATGTTGCCAAACAATGATTGGTCAACAGCAGCTGCGATCTATCACCAGCTAGTTTTAAAAAGAGGGTTAATCCTCCCTTCTTAAATTACAGCATTGTAATAAACCATCATCCATCCTGTAAACCTCACATGTCACAATGCATGTTATAAGAAACTATATTTTAAGGATCAGTGTCAGTCAACCGCAAATTCAAAAGACAAAGGGGAAATCTGGTGAACGCACAAGTGCAGTACAAACAGATTTGGCCGAATAAAACATTAACGTCTACGTTTGTGGGATTTGACAGTGGTCCTCTATTTAATTTGGCTTGGCCAGAGGCCAATGTTGTGCTCACTCAAGGTGTCATAACATCTGGACCGGGTCGTCCGCTCTGATCCGCGGTCACTCAAACGGCTTCAGGTGGTTGTAGAGGGACTGGACGTACGTAAACACACACATGGGGTCGGGCTTGTCCCCCATGACCATCATGTCCTCCACCTCGATCAGACGGAGACAGTCAGCTTGCTCCCTGAAACGTAGACGGACAGACGTGTGTGTGTGTCAAGTACAAGGTCAACTTAAAGTTGCAATCGCTCAAATCTCGTCCAACCCGTCAACTGAACTGTGGCTTCTTTTAAAGATATTAAAAATATCCCCCCCGGCTACCTCTAACTTTAGTGACGCGTTTCTTCCCTGTAATCAAAGCCCCTCGGCCAGCTTACTCTGCGGTGGTGAAGGCCAGCTGGAGGTTGTGTTTTCGGTTCGCGGGGTCCAGCGTGTTGTAATCAAAGTCCAGAGGGAAGAAGGAGTGAACCAGAGCACAGAAAGCCATCCCGTCACTCCAGCTGGACGAGAAGTTCTGGATGTCTATGTTCTGGAAGAAAGACGGCAACGTCTTCACATTAAAAACCCTTCATTTCCATCCAGTTTGTGAGTCACACTTGTATTTCCTTATAAAACCCTTGTGTCGTGAGGCTGATTTCACATCATTTTGTGCCTTGGCATGTTTTGTCTTATATTCTGACAATTACAATCTTGCGACGATGATCATGTGACAGAAAAGTGGATCGCCTGTAGAATTTCTTGTGACACGTTCGCGTACATTTAGGGAGCAAATGCATGTTTGCCGCTCTGAGTATCGCCCTCGGAGTCCTACCTGATAGCCGATGGTTTTTGAGCGGCACCACTCCAGCAGAATCTGTTTTATACCGCTGGCGCTGGAAACTCCAAAACTCTGAGAGCGCTTCAGTTTAGGTTTGGAATCCTTCGGTCTACTCAACAGAAATGCAAACAAGACGACGCGTCACCGCTGTGAATCAGGGGTGATGTTGGAAGTATTCCAAAGTCCCTTACTTGACAGGCTCGGAGTTCATCCTCTCAAACAGGGCCCTCTTGGCCTGAGCCCCGTTGGAGCGCGGAAGCGTTTGGGACTTCATCACGTCCTGTTTGAACTCAAACCCCCCTCCCTTGGTCACCTTCCTTGGGAGGAGCAGTGGAGAGCAGACGCCATCACATTTCAACTTAAACACACGGCACATTCACGAAACGCTGCACCCCTCTGGCTAAAAAACACGACTCGCTTACTTGTCCAAACTTGGTGAGAAACCAGATTTTAGGATTGATTTGGAGGGAAGTAGTTTTTCTGTTGAAACAGAACGTCATGGTGAAAAAAGGGGGATGGCACGAGTCCGAAACAACGCACAACCGCACACGAACACAGGAAAACAAAATAGTTGTAATACTTACTACAAACAAACTGGATGACGGGACTTTGTCTTACCTGCAGGCTGAGGAAAGCTCACACTTCTCTTCAGACTGGGACTGGGCGTCTTGAGAACTGGCACTGAATAGATGGGGCGACACAAAAACAACAACAGATGTTAAAAGTGGAGAATTTTGACAAATCTTAAAAAATAGGAATACTGAAAACAAGCAACTCCCTGAGACAGATCCTCGTACCGCTGGTTTAACTCACCTCGCTTAAAGGGATATTCCCCCGGTTTGACGATCGGCTCTTGTGGTGCTGAAAGACTCGAGGTCGGCCCCGTTGTATCGGGCGATGCAGACTCTGCGTTGGGTTTGCTCGCGGCCGAAAGCGGCAAACAAGGTCTGGCTTCACTGATCTCTAAAGAGAAAATGCACTTGAACAACCATAATAATTGAGGGTGGTCCTTGTTGGATGGTTCTCAGTGGAAGAGACATCTCCATCAGGCCCCATAATAGTCTGTAGTGACGTCAAACAAAACACTTTCCCACTGCTGCACCTGCTGGAGTCTCTAGTGTAGAGTGACTGGCCGCTTTAGGCTCAAATGCCGGACGCTGGGTAGGTTTGGTAGCGACCAGACCCTCTGGACTGGGTTTGGTCTTCGTGGCGGTGACAGGAAGATGGGGCTTTAGTTCATCAGCGTCTAGGAAAGATAATCTGAATACTTGCGATTCAAAAGGAATGGCCGTGGTTATTCTAACCAAACAGAAGGAGATTTCCCTCTCACCACGTTCAGCGTGAGACTCCTGTGTGGCTTTGGGTGCTGAGGCAGGAGACTGTGGGACAGCCGGAGCGTCACAATTGGGTTTCAGCATCGCAGAGAGGGGATGGTGGCGTCTGGACTGAAGGCCTGATTCTTCCTGGTCTGGGAGGGAAGAAGATCAATCGAATGCAATCGTCATTCAATCGCACGCGTTCCTCAAACAGAAGAGCTCGGACCTCCGCCAAATAATTGGTGCATCCACTTCGGACCAAATTTAATGGGTTCTCCATTGGGCAAAGTTTCATGAAAATCAGGCCAGTAGTTCATGTTTCGTATTGCAGACAAGCCCAGAAGCTCTGGCGTAAAAACAACTTTGGTGAACCCGTCTAGCACACAAAACAACAACATACAATTCACTTGTGAAACGTGTAAAAAGAACCCGCTGACCAGACACGTTGGGGATTTCCACGCTGTACTCAGGGGGGTCGGCCTCAGCACAGGACTCGGTGCTCGGTTTTGTGATGGCGGTCGGAGGCTGATGGGAGATTTCTGAGGCAGACAAACAACAAAGGTGAGACTTGCCGGCCTGCAGGGGTTAAAAACTACTCAAATCGTCCACCTACCTGCGTTTCCATTCGCTAGTGCAGCTGTGGCAATATGTTTCTCTCCTTTTGCACCGCCCTGTTCAGTAAAGACAAGTCGTACAAAACATGCGATTCTATTATTATTATTGTTGGTGTCCTTGCAGGGATCCAAACGTGCTATGTGCTTTTAATGTGTTCCTGACACGGTACCATCTTAGTCATTTGAATAATAGTCAGATAGAGGCTCATCATAGAGTCATGGGAGGATGTTTCCTGCTGGTTCTGAACTGGTGCCAGTTCAACTTTCCTGTGAAAACAACACGTGTCTAGTGTAATGGGATGAATGCTGTATTGTGCACTTATAGTTGTGTAATTCATTTAAGTGCTATAATAATAGCGGCTGCGGCTGCTGCAGGTGGGAGGGGATGTTGGGATAATATTATAAGCGAAAACTCTGTTATTTCCTTTAAAAAAACACTGGTTAAACACAACAAACGCAAATGATGAATTGAACACAGGATCATATTTCCATCCATTATCTCAGGACTTACGCAACACACGACACTATCTGTGCCTGTGTCTATTTATACGTTTGTCGTAGCAACATCACTCACCGCATCGCTCACGGCAAACAAACAAAGAAGATTCTCTCAGTCTCTCAGACTGCTGCGGAGCTAAATTTAATTTGGAGGCCTTTATCCTCGGTGGTAAATGCGTCTGTGCGTGTGTGTGTGTGTGTGTGTGTGTGTCTGCTCACTTCTCTAAATCTAACGTGGGTTCTTCAGCTGTTAACTGCTGAAAGCTTCTCCTCAAATGACAGCTGAGGCCAACAAACGCATGTTCCCGCTGAGACGCTATTTTAGTATTCTGCAATCAGTCCCTTTGCAAGAGTTTCCGCTGCACTCTTCTTACGTCCCGAAATAGCCCCAAACGGAGGCTCCGGGCCCCGGGACGTTCCAGGGCATCAGAGGCTGGGCCTCTATTTGCCCCTTCCTCAACCCCTCTGCCTCTTTCTCTGCAGCCAGACAATGGAGCCGTGTCAGCTGGGCGTCCAGAGGAGGATTAGCACCTCAGCGATCCCCGGTTATCACAATAGCTCCTGTGGGATATCACGGTGTGACTCCGTTTGGCCCAATAAGTCCTCTCAGCCCCCGGCCGGGTTTATCTCTGTATCATTTCGGCTGTTTCTTGGAAACGTGCGATCCTTCCTTGGTAGGATTCTGACGAACGCACCAGGCTGAGTATTTGTTTTCTTCTTTGCATTCCCATTTATGAATGACCCCGGAAGAGTGCAGTAAAACAAAAAAAGAAGACAATCAAGTAACCACACGTGGTACCTCTTATAATTGTATTAAAGATGGATTAAACTTGCTCGTTTGTCAGAGATGTTTGCTGCTGTTTTTCGCACCGCTGAGTTCGTTGTTTTAGTTGTAGTCTACGGTTCACAACCTTCCCACTCGATTCGATCTCACCGGTTGTCCTCTGAACAGCTGATAAACCCGACTTTGAAACTCACTCTACCAGTCCAGCATCCAACGGCAGGCAGGAAAAAGAACAACACAGGGGAGCAGTCATCAGCTAAAGAGCCAGATCCTTCTCCAAAGACTAAAGAAGAAGAGTCCAAAGAAGAGCGTGTGAACAGGAAGTCAAATTAGAGTGTTAAGTGATTAGAAGGCTATATTGGTGCGAGGGGGGTTGAACTGTGGTACGCCGTGGGGGGGGGGTTGGAGAAGACCTGGTGATTTCAGCGGAGAGGAATGCTGGCCGGGTGTGCGTTTCTGTCTCAGGGTGTGGGCTCCGGGTGGGACTGAAGGGGACGCAGACGCAAGTCGACTTTCCATCGGGAGGTTGGAGACTGGTGGGCTTGAATGGCGAGCGAGTACTACAAGCTGGGCTGGCAGCAGGTGGTTTGGGAGGATACGACTTCCCTCCCCACATTCTCAGGCCTTCACTGCCCAAGTAGATATGGGCTGCAAAGAGCTGCAGCTGAGTCCCAAAGCAAAGCCCCCAAAATACACATGCCCTTTGGAAGACCTGCTGTTATAGAAGCAGCTCATGAGCGCAAGAGTTGGAGGGAGGGGTGGCAGCATTGGGGTGTGGTGATGGGGTTGTTCCTTGGGCCAATGCAAATTTACAACCCTCGTTGGGTAATGATATGAATATTCAATGTTAATGCTTTTTGACACACATGGGACACAGTTGCTTGGGGGGATCTCTTGTGGCAGAATGTGAGGAATTGTACCTGACAAAAGCGAAATTTAGAGAAGTTTTGACGAGCACCCTCGACCTGGGAAAGGAGGTTGGACACAGTCACAGAGGGCCGTTGTCATCCGTTTTGTGGTTTTAGAATCTCCCATCTGATTGGCCCTCAAACTCAAAAGGTCTCTCATCCAAACTGTCGTAATTCAATGTCCTACCTTTACCCGAATCAACCACCCAATCCGAGTGCGTGTTGTCCTTCACTCGGTGACCAGGCTACACCTCCGGATCATCCGATAGTCATTGCACTCTGTAAATTGTATTATCTCATGAAAAAGTACTCACATTCATTTCTGCTTGTCTCTTTGCTCTCCATGGAGGAGGCGCTGGGGTGCTGCTGGGAGCAGCAGCAGCCGCCGCCGCCGCCTGGCTCGATGGGTGCGTGGACATGGACTGACTCTCTGACCCTCCAGAGCGAACCGGTCCCCTCTGCTCTCCTGCCGGTTTCCCGTTCCCGACACCGCCCTGCGTCTTCCCCGCCTTCACGTCGGCGGGACTCCCGTCCCCCCGTGACCCGGCGAGACGCTCCACAATGCGGCTGAGGGCCTCCAGCTCGGACCTGAGCTGCAGGTTCTCCTCCTGCAGCCTGCTCACCGCCTCGGCCAAGGGTCCATTGGAGAAGCACTGCTCCTCGATCCTCCGCTCTATGCGCTGCTTGAAGGCACTTACGTCCACGTGCACCTCCTTCACGGCTGCCTGCAAAGTGGCCCTGAACTCAAGCAGAGCCTCGCCGACCGGCACCTCCTGAACGCCCTGCGTGGCTTCTTCCATGGCTTCTTCAGTGACCCTCACCACCCCTGAGGTCGGATGAGTAATGGGGTGTTTGGTGCAGAGCTCAGAAACCCAACCTTCAGTCTTTTTACAGTATCTTCTTCTACGATTCACGTCCTCAAAATTCAATCAGCTGTGTTCCATGGAAATCTTTCTCACTCATTAAAGTCCCATCAAGCTCCATGGAGGACTTCTCTCAGTGTGCGCCGGCTCTCACCCTCTCCTCTCATCTGGGCGAAGCAGGTGTTATTTATAAGTCGCTGGAAAACTCACGCACAATGTCATCTTTGGAAAAGAGATCAGGGACGTCGCTGGCAGATCGGGTTCTCGGTGCACGCAGGAGCCCAGGAATGATCAAACTAACCTTTCGGAGGGATCCGGTTGAAGTGTCAGACGACCGGTGGAACCGCTACGTGTTTGCTGGATGCTTTTCCCCCCGCTGCCTCGGCACAGGGAGCTTTCTGAGCTATGTTGGAGCCTGGGGTCAACACGTTGGCCTTTGTATTTTTGGACATGAAGGGGGCTGGAAACAATCAAATGGGGGGGAGGAGCCAGGATTTAAAAAAAATGTAAAAGTTTTTGTCTTTGCTGCAGGTTAATTGTTACTAGATGGAGTGACTTGAGTTGCCTACGGGTCAATTTAAAGGCGATCACTATTATTGTGACACTGACTTAAACTAGAGGAAGATCAAACCGGTAAAGAGGGACAAAATATAATACAATTAGATTAAAGACAAATGACAGCTTTAATTTGACTGCATCCCAACAATTTTTGTGTCCACCACCCTCTGGATGATCCCTGCAAAATTTGCATGAGAATAATTTTTTCAAATTTTCAAACTCAAGCTCAAGAAACATGCATCGAAATGTCCCCTTTGAATCTAAAACAAACATTGCAGCTGTCTGTTTAACGTTCTTTTCTGCACACCAAGATGTCTAATGTTGTCGTTTCCTTGTGTTTCAATCATTTCATGGTACTTGCAGAGCGTTGAGCTTTATTTGTAGTTTCTATCACAATACCTGACAATAGGCTATTTCCCTCATTTAAGCACTCCTTTCTTTCTTTCTTTTCATATTGCATAATAATATTCATGAATGTAATAAACTAGTAACAAAGTGAAAGAGCACCTTAAGCATTATACTTAATTTCGATATAGAGGCTCATTAAGAAAACATCACATTATGCTGATTCCTTTGACGTTGCTTTTAGATAAATCAGAAAGTGATTTTAAAAAACAAGTTTAAACTTTAGCCGTGAGTTGTGATAAGCGTTGAACCGGCTCAGCTTGAGCCAGCAGTGCCTCTGGGTGGCCTCCACTTCCCATTACAGCTCCGCGACCCGTGACCATGCACACCGGACACGCTGCACAAAGAAAGAAGGAGCGCAAAGCATGAAAGGGAAAGATGTTGATAATCTTTATTCAAGCAGACACAAATGATGACTGTGGTCTGCCGTCGTTACTTGCTGCAAATGATCCTAAAATTCATTCATGTCGGCCATCTGGATTTTAACCTCTCATCCGTTTCTTTGGAAATACACATCTTGACACCTCGTGACCCCACATGTATTGTATTTTATTGTATATCGCTGCACAGCTCCAAGGGGCTGCGGGTTCCTGGGGAGGAGCGACCACTTCCACGTCCTTTGATGTAAAAAAAAAAATATTGGTTATAGCCACTTTTACTCTTTCTAGAACTCACAGGTCAGCTTCCGTGTTAAATGAAACAGATGAGACTCATTATGCCCCGTGCAGACCAGAATACTGTGAACACGATGTGAGGCTAAATACTTTAGTGTGTTCAGTGTCTTTAAAATAAAGATGATGACAATGGCGTGTAAAAAAAGCAGGTTAGAATGGAAACAAAACAGAGGCTTGTTCAAAACAGTCTATCAAATCAATTTATTGAATTTTAAAGGGGTGCTCTGAATTTACAATTTCCAGCTACAGTACATGACTCCGCTCTCACATCAATAGTTTTAAGCTATTTTGTAAAAACAATCCAGTCTATTTTTCAGAAATCTCCTCGATAAAAAGGTCACGCTGCCAAAACAAACAACAAAAAGATAAATCAATGAAGACAGATGCATTGAGTCTGATATATATGTATGAAATGATATCCAAAGATAACGTTGCGCAGGTGTTAAAGATGTAAGTCAGACACACATATCCACTAAAATGACAGATGAAAGGTTTCAAACAGAAACCCAGCAAACCTATTCACAATATATTAATCCTTTAAAATAATGAATTTGCATTTAGAAAAACAGCATTATAGGATTTGCTAATTTGAAAGTATAGATAAGCATATAAACAGCTGAAAAGGCCTTTTGATCAGAAGTTCTATTCTCGTCCGAGCAGTAAATGATGGTAACAACCACTTAATACATTAAAAAAATAAAACAAACTATAAGACTTCTCTTCACGATTAGAGTGAAATGAAATGCGAAATGAATGAAACAGTGATTATGTTCAGGATATGATTTTTAACGAACGTCAGCCGCAACCTGTAAACACCACCTGCCAATTTTAACTGACTTTTATTTTTATTTTTTTTCCTCAATGCCAAATTGTTTTTGCTTGTTTTTTTTCCCAAGGCACTGGAGATCAAAGTCTCCACGGCTCAAAATCTGTCCCAGCGACTGATTCCCGCAGCGCTTTGAATCAAAGCAGTTCTGACGTCTGCACGATGCAAAGGCTGCTTTCACGTCCCGCCGGAAACAAATCAAACAGGAGAATGTCGTTGCTGCGCGTTCAAGAGACACCACTTCAGATCGTAGGACTTCTGACCTCGGCTGTATTTTGCGACCGACCAGAAACATGCCAGACTATCCTGTGGACCTCGACTACGTCACTGCTCCACCTGACCCTCGCCTCTGTAGGTGTGGCTGATCCTTGCTTCTAGGAGGTCACCGTCATGGTGGTTGAAACCAGGTGAGAGGTGGCTTTATTGAGAATGTCATTATGACCGAACGACACGCGGCTGAGACAAACTACACGTCGTGAGCCGAACAATCGGCTCATTGTTGCTTCCGATGCTACAATTTATTGAACCTGTTTTAGCTTCAAGACCTTCAGCTATGAGCCAAAATCATCTGCCAGGCAAATCATCTCAACAAGCCACAGAAACTCCAAAACGTCACACTGCGGAGCAGATTTTGTTTCTTATTTTTGGATGTAAAATAACAAAGGATGATGGGAACATGGATGCAATGGAGCTTTCATTTAGCTTTAACCCAAGTATAATGCAATATAAATGGGATTTTACATCACAGCAATGAGGGCTACAAAGCGAAGAAAGACTCGTTCCATAAACCAGTTTTTCTTGTTCCTGAAGGTTTAATCTAAATCATTTTTCTGAAACGTTTCCTGTGATTCAGTGATTCAACTCAACACACTAAGCGTTCGCTTGGTGTTGCCCTTCGATGCGCTAAAGTGCTGATTAACTTAAGGGTAATAATAACTTATTAGCTTATTATGGCTCAGTAGCGTAAGATAAAGCGTTAGCATGGACTCTGGGACTCTCTCATTGATGCTAAAGTGTTAGTCAAACAAACATGTGAGATGAAGTGTTAGTATGAGGTTTACAGCCTTAACACCCTATTGACATGAAGCTGATATTAAAGCGGTAGCAGGAAGGCGAAGGGTGAGGAGATGCTACGTAGCTTTAGCATTGTACAGCTGAGTCACTCCGGGTGGATGTTCATTTGGTGCCCGTGTTCCCACTCTTTACTTACAAGTTACACAAATATTTGTTTCTTCTTTTTTAACGTTACGATCATTATGTAGGAGTTAAACGTCCCGCTGGCATACAGTAAACGTACTGGGTGTGCATTTAGTGGAGATGAGAGAGGAAACCACCTCAAACCAAACTGTCCGGCCGCTCTCTGGGACGCAAAGAAAAGATGTTAACGAGAAGCCGGTCAATTAATAATTAAGACAAATCATTTATACAGCATTTCTAAAGGACCAAATGAAGAGGAAAATGGTACTCTGTTTTTACAGTGGCTGTAATTAACTGTCGGTCTTTGGTTCACCAACCCTTAGAAGTCAGAAAGCAGGAATACAAGAAAAATAGCTTCGCAAAACAAATTGCTTTAAAAATATTTAGAAAAGAAACCGCATACCATTCTAGTTGTGATCATCTTCAGAATCAGTTTCACCATCTCGCAATAACATCTCTACACACGCGCCCACGCACACGTTAACATCTTCAAACATCATCAAACCCTGAGCAGAGAACTTAAGACTGTTGATAATAAGAATCCATCAAGTGACCAGAGAACACCTGTTAAGATATGTGCATCTCCGGTAATTCTTACGGAGCGATTCACAGGTTCAGGATCCGATGGTGTGAGACACCAAGCAATGGAAATAATGTGGCTGGTTTTCCCTGTGAGAGTTTAAAGAACGATGCAGTGCGGTCAGTGCGATCAGATCAGACCAAATAATCAGATGTCGGTTTTTATTCTTCTCAAATATCAGGTATCAGCAAGGAAGTGTCATAAAATGATATGGGTGTTATTTTTGTATAGAAATTACATGTGAAATTTTGGACAAAGTCACTTGTCCAAACTTAATGTACTTACTGAATATATATTGTTGATTTCTTAATCGCAAAGAACGGCACAATTAAAATAATCAACTGTTTCCATGAAACACATTTTGATGACCAAAACGAGGAAATTGTTGCAGAAATCAAATGCTCTATTTTATTTATGCCATGAATTCAAAGCTTAGCTTAGAGACCCATAAAATCTTATACCTCAATTTCATACTCATCCAAATGGTCTATTAAACAGTTCCCACACATCAATGTTAAATCGGACGGACACAACCATAATTCTCCTGTGAATTCTGCTGGGATGTCAGACGAACTAGCAAAAAAATAATAAAAGACTGGACATTTTTTCCCTGCAAAGCAAAAAGTGTCACAACATGCTTGACTTTAGGGAATTGAAGATCTGCAACTACGCCTCAAATAGTTTTGCGTCATGATGGTACGAAAGCTGTCGCAATGGCTTTTCCACACGAGGTAAAACAAGAATAGATTATAATAAAGCATTAAAACAACGGCATATTCCAGATGGTTCGTGTATTTGGTGGCGGGTGAGGTCATGGCAGGACAATGACGATGCATGTAGCAGACTACATGGGAGACGTGAGCGATTTTTTTTTTTTACAAGAAACTCCTGCAGAGGCCCACTAATCCCAACTGGTGGTGCCTGCAAACCGCCGAGCGGACAATCGGATAATCCTGACGACAGATGGCGGCAGAGAGGAGGGAGGAGGGAACGCTGTGCTCTCAGAAACCCTCCGTCGCTGCAGAGCCGAGAGGCCGAGGTGAGTGAGAAAGGAAAAAGACGCAGCACTGCATGATGGGAGGAGGATGGAAGGGAGGAAACAACGGGCACTCAATTAAGCCTCGGGGGGGGGGTCACCGGGCCATCGATGTGCATCGCCGCACATCTGGAGAGACGGGTCGGGTGCGAGAGGCGGAGGCGTCGGGCTGATGGCAGCGCTTCTCCGGGGAGAAACTAGGCTTTCTTGACACTAATGTTAATCAATACGAAATGTAAAACTCTCAAGTGGTGACAGCTCGTCGTCACAAAACCGGCACACATCGATACCGTCGTCTAACTGACATGACTGAGTCAGTTAGGCGACCTTTCTCTCGCCCGCGCTCGTGTCACCACACTTCAGAATCCGGAGGAGGGGGGTTGGGGGAGGGAGGGGGGGGGGGGGGGTCATCACATAGGCTGGCTTTGAAGTGGTCATGACAGAAGACCATTCGAGTGAGTGCCGTGAGTAAAAGGTTTCAAATTGAAACCAAAGTTAAAAGAGCAAACAGAGATACGGATAACAGGTAACGCCGTTAGTCCCTCAATAAAGTAATTAGCCGCCATAGAGTCGTGTTATCAGGACACCAATACTTGTAAAGCCGTCAGACTTTCAAACTATATGGTTATTAGTTGCATGCAATCTTTTTTTCCGGAAAAGGTGAGAGCTCCGTCGAGTCGTTTTCCAATCCAAGTAAACTCAAGCAATTTGTCTTGTTGGTTTATGCTACAAAAATTGTTTCTTATACACTTTTTTTTTTCTTCAGCATTCTTCAGTTAAAGTTAAATTTAAGATTTAAAGAGACAAGCGTAAAAAGTGAAATGCAATACGAGACCATGATTTGTAGTGTGTAGTCCCAGAAGAAATGTACAGCACAAATAAATGTATGGTCCCAAAAAAAAAGAAATCCCAAATGACACATTAGTGTTGTATACATGCACCGCGGCGGCCTCTTCTTGCATAGATTGAATTTGCAGGACATTTTTAAAAAAAAGGCCATAAACCCACTCATGAATCAGTTAGTTTACTATAAAGCTTCAATGACCAAGAATATTAGAGTTGAATGAACATTAGTGTTGTGCATGAAACCAACCCTGCTGCATTCTTAAGAAAATAATACCTTCTATTTATTCTTTGATTTGATATGAAAGTGAAGCATGTGATTTTCTCTAATATGCCTTGAAGATTAAGGTCTTCATGCAACTGAATACAGAAACACCAAAGATTGCATGAAAAAAAAAAAGAAAATAAAAAGGTCTCGGGTCTAATTAGGAGCTTGCGATAGAGGTTTATGGTTAAAAACTATTTTAGATTCTGTGATGAAACGAAAACATGACGCAGATCTCTAAAAACATTTGGTATATACAGTGTGTATAAATCTATGGTCGACAGTTACTCCCAGGAATAGTCGCTCCCGATATCACTCATGCGTCGTTGTTTATCGTGGCCGATCGCTCCCCGCATCCTTAACATTTGACCGTGAGTCATCCTCAGACTGCGCCCCCCCCCCCCCCGCGCCTCTGCCGGCTCTGCCAGCATTGCAGCGTTGCTATGGCGACGCTCCGGCGTCAGATGGAGATTGCTGATTCGAAAGACGAATCTCTCGCTAGCCAATAACGACCCAACTCTTCGTGCATGCAAATGATAGAAACCTTGCAGAAATTAAAAATCCTTGCCAGTGGGAGTTAGTCCAAATACACAATACTTTTTTAATCTTGTCCCATCATCGCTTTACATTGTTATTTAGACATTGAGAGCAGTCTGGCAATTCTTTTTTCTTTTTTTTAAAGGTTAGTTATTTGAGGTCTTGAGATCTTTGAAGTATCAACCTAAAAAAAAAAAAAAAATAGAATCCAGCACAGACTTGTTTAATGCCATGCATATCATGAAAAAAGAAAAATGGTTTCCACTGAGGCGGAGGTGGAGGCGCCATTCAACACCGGAGATTATTGCAGAACGGAATTCCTGAAAGTTTTTCTTAAAATGTAAGTGAAAGTTTTCCCCAAATCATGACCCGAGGGGGGGCGGGGGGGTTGGGTGACCATGCATTGGGAGCTAGGATGGGGTTGTGGGGGGCGGCGAGGGGCCCTCTGGAAAATAAGTGAGCCAATTGACTTAAAAGCAGTGGAGAGAGAGGGGGGAGGGGGTAGGGGGGGGGGCGGGGACTGTCGCTGCAGATTTGCCACTGTAAGATGCTCTGTGGGGAACTACTAATAAAATGATAAGAGGCGAGACGTCACATTAAAGCGGGTGAATGAGGAGACATGTATGTTTGCGTCCCGCCCGCAACCCCGCCCCCCGTGCCCCTGCCCCCCCCCCCGTCGGCCTGATCGGTGAGCCGCAACCAGCCAACCTTTCACAGCAAAATTATTATACCAATAAATAGAACCTATCGCAGCAGCCACTCACACAAACACTGTAACAGACCAAGTCAGCGGAGGCTGTAAACACGGTAGGAGTGGTGGTGGGGGGGGCGCAGGGCGGGGGGGCGCGTCTCTTCTTCACTTTCTGCCGCTTTTTTAAAAACTCTCTATGTGAAGCCACAAAAAAAAAAAAAAAAAAAAAAAAACTCTTCTCCAGTGTGGTAAATGTCAACGGATGCAGTGTAGCAACAAGATCCAGGCAAGAGCCGACCCCCCCCGACACCCCCTCAAAAAGAAGAAGCAAATCATCAGACGTCAGTAGTAGGGCTGTATCGGTGCGTGAGGTCCACGTAGGCAGCAGATTTTGTAACAGAGGATTTAAAGTGTGCGAACAGCAGGCAGTCCTGGTACACTACAGAAGAATGACGGGGAGGGGATTGGGGGGGGGGGGCCGGGGGACGCCGCTTCGAAATGTCAAAACTAGTGCCTTTCTGCAGAAGTAGTTGCGTTAGTAGCTGAGTGAGCGGGCAAAAGAAGAAGAAGAAGAAAACCAAACAGGTGAACCCGGATATCAATCCTCCTTCGCATTGTCCGTGACGGCGGGCGCGGGGGGAGAGTCCGGCGGCGCCCGGCCGCGCCGGTAGAGACGCCAGCCCTTTCGGCAGAGGAGGACGAACCAGTAGACCTGCGGCCCCAGGATGCAGGTGTTGCCCAGGTTGGCGGACAGCGGCAGGTGGAAGGGCACGCTGTAGAGCGGGATGCCGTAGTGGCGGCCGTACACCCAGTACATGTAGGGGAAGAGGGCGATGCGGAACAGGAAGAAGGTGAGGAGGACCATGCCGCCGTTGGCCTTGTGCAGCCAGCATTCCTGGAGGCTGAGCTGGAGGAGGAGGAGAGAGGAGGTCAAAGTATGACAACACGGTAAAGGGGCTGTACTAGAATTAAAACGGGTTCATTGTTTAATTGTGCAGTTATCTCTTGGACTTTGTGTCAAAATATAACAAAGTCCCTCGTCTTGTGAAATATTCCGGATGAGTCATCCTGAAACGGGCTGACACATCAAATCACAGAGTCAGCTGGGATTCGGAGAGACCAGCTTTCCCGTCCTGAAACACCATACTGCGGATTTCTCGGAGATCTTCCTGGGCTCCATCTCTTCAGACCGCCGCTGAAAGGCTGGATGGGCCCCCGGGCCGGGCCGGGAGTCAACGCGGGCGGCGTAGACGAGCAGCCCCCCCACCTCCGCAGACACCAGGTGTCACCCTGAGTCCTCTTCGGTTCTTTGATCACGGCTTCACCAAAAACACGCGGCGAGTGGCCCACTACGGCGCAGGATTTAAAAGGGGGCGGAGCATGGGGGGGATGACTAAGGGAGGCCTTGACCACCATTAATGTGCGAGAGAGAGAGAGAGAGAGAGAGAGAGCGCCAGGGCTCCTCAGCTGAATGCCACTGACTTGTCTTTTTTTTGGTGAGGGGGAGCCGTGCACCTTAATTATTGATGGGACAGTGACGAGCTGAAACGAAGCTCCTCGGGTTTTTCTGAACGGGGCGAGACGCCCGAGCACCGATGGCGTGGATTGATTCTAGACGGCTCCGTTGGGAACGCTTGTTGACCTTTCTGACAAAGTAACTGTGGCCGTTCTTAACGTGCCGACTCTGCGCCTTCTCAAAACCAGTGGCCGCCGTAAAAAAAACAGGGACAGCGCGCGGTCCACAGCAGGCGGGCGACTTCCCGGTCTCACCTGAATAAGTATCTTCCCCAGGGAGACGAAGGGCGTGCTGAGCTCCGTTAGAAACAAGCAGCCGACGAAGAAATCCCCCTGGTCCCTTCTGAAGAACTGAGGGGACAGACAAACAGAGCACACGCAGTGAGCAAACAAACACGAGCAGAAAAGCACACAGCTGACATTCAAGGACAACTCTGCAGCGCTCTCAGTGGAAATGTGGCGAGACAGGTTTGAAAAAGAGACGCATTTATCAAGGTTTGAAAAACATTATGTATCCCAAGGTTGAAATCTGAGGGTTATTTATGATATTTTTTGACGTTTGTGTGTTGGTCGTTCATGGCAGGGCAGCTTCTCCTCAGTTATCAGTGGACAGCAGCACCTGGGAGGCCTCACTGGGACGCAGCTGAAGCCACATCATATCTTTCCTTAAAAAGGAATCTGCAGGCTGCAGAGGGACGTTGCAACGAGCGCTGTGCAAAGTCAGGATGAAAGCGGATCCCTGTCGTCCCGTCGCCTACCAACCGTCCAGTGGGGGGTGTCTCAATTCAGCCGCTCACCGGCAACGCGCTCAGGTTGGTAACCAAAGTGCTGCTGGCCTAACTTGTTATTGGTAACTGATGCATTCACCAGTCACTGGTAACCACGACAACACACACAGCTTGCAAAGCTGACGAGGTTGTGTGGTATTTCCCGGCTTTACGAGTTGAGCAGGATCACCTGGAGACAAAAAAAAAGGGGCGGAGAACTCCACTCGTGTCCTCCAATCACAGGCAAAGAAGATCACACATCGAACTCGACAAGTCAGTTGAACTATAAAATCTTTGTTTTTCCAAGTTGTCAAAAGGTCAACGTGGGTTTTGCGGTGTCATTAGCAACAAACAAAGCACAAGTAAGTCCGGTACTCGTGCGCAGGCGAGGATGCTCCGATCCAGAAATACATTCAGGTGGATTCGATTCGAGAGCGACATCTTTTAGCGGTCTGTTGGTAATCTACACGCTCCTTTAGTACAACGCCACAACCGCCCCATTCTACTACAACTTCAACACGGCAACCAAAAAAAAAAGGGGCAGCGTGCGGCGAGCCACAGCGGGTGGGGAGGGGGGGGGTAGGCAGCCATGTCCTGTGCATAATTAATGAATGAAGCTTTCAAAATACCGCCCAGCGGCACAGTGCTGCGTAGTCAGAGAGGCCATCCGAAAATAGGTGAGTCAGTCTGGACGGCTAAAGAGACAAAAGGCGAGCGCTGACTGGTAGCTGCGCGATGAATAAAGCATGATGGGCTCGGGACGTGACCCCCCCCCCCCCCCTCCCGCCATCTGTCCATGAAAGAATGATCGAGGGCACAGAGGGAAACTTCACACCGCGGGGTCGAACTTAAACCACGTTTTATCCGCCAAACATTCAAACATGCTCACGCTGCGGAAAGCTCTCGCATGACACTTGACACGAGGCTTCTGAGACGGCCGCTTCCCTCTAAATCCAATAACTGCAGTGGGAGACAAATACCACAGTTTCTACTTATAAGCACTTTTCAAGCAAAGCAGTTGGGAAACTATCTGCCATCCTGCAACATGTCCAGGTGTCATCTGCAAAAAAAGGGCCAATTCAAACATTTAGAGCACCACAAGTTCTACAAACATAAAGTACTAAAGAGACTTTCAACAGGCCGGCTGCTCGACCCCCCCCCGCCACCCGGCTCGTGTGGCCTATCGGAGTGGCACAAAGCTGACGAGTGCGGGAACAAGAGGAGGCAGTTGACAATGACGGGGGCTGAATAATGGAGGGTTATGTGAGCCGGGTCTCAGCTGCCCCTGGCACTGCTAACCTGGGTCCTCCGCGGAGAGCAGGGTGCCGGTGCCACGGGCCGGCTGCAGAAAGGGAAAGGTCCTCCGTGACCGTATCGCGGTGTTAATTGGCTTCCATTCTGACCGACACTGAACCCATCGGAGGGAGTCAGAAAACCGGCAGCACCATTATGAACTCAAATTGTGTTCGTGGGATTAACAGTTCAGTAGGTTTCCAATTTGCAGTTCAAACCCGCGCTGTAAGTCTTCATGGTCCACAGTGCTTCTCCCTGACTGTATATTCTTCCACACAAATCACCTTTTCCTTTTTTCATCCAACATCGAGATCTTTGGCCGGCGGCCTTTTTCCCCTCCGACATTCCACCAACAATCGCAAAGAAACCAGCTGCATCTTTCATCCGGCTTTTCTCCATCCGTCCCTTTGCAACGCTCACAATTCAACGACGCCAAGGAACCAAAATGATTTCTCGCCAATTGTTCCAGGAACGTAATCAATAGTTGCTCCATTTCCTTTCCCGAACTGCCCAAGTGAAACGGACTACGCAGTAAACCAGCGAGTGTTCCTTTCTACTGCACCAACCGGAGTGGCAGTCCACGGTAACATCCCACAGCGCAGCGAGATGACAGATGTTTGCAGAACCAGCTGGATTATCGTGTTTTGCACACTAATGTACTAGTTTGGTAAAACATAGCAGTGAGCACCGGGCCGCTTTTATTGTTGCCACTTAAGTAATCATTAGGAGATGATGCAGCTCAAAGAGAGGATTGATCTGAGAACAACGCACCGCCTCACAGCGGGAACTAACGGCGCATTACTGGCAACGGACAGAACACGTGACTTCTCCCAACTGTATAGCGTCGTCTGCGCCATTGTTGTTTGCTCACACACACACACACGCAATGAGACTAATGGATTTGGTCTGTAAGAAAAAGTAAAGAAAAAAAAAAGAAAGAAAAAAACAGAACAGCGGCAATTATATTTACCCAAAATGCAATGTTGTCCATTATCCATCTCCAGGAACAGTAAATAGCTTCCCAATTCTGACCGTCCTCAGTGAGATGGAAACTGAAGCATTTAACTCTGCAAAGTCAGACATTTTCTGGACAAGGTTCATGGACCTTTTCCCCCCCATCGCATTATAAACTGCACATTTTTTGGTCATGTTTCCTATATTGTCAACCCTTGAGACCCGTGACGGGTGCGGTAACGAGGCGGCGGTCCGTGCTACTAGTCGCTTTGCCGCCAACACCTCAGGCGACTGACCCCTGACCTCGCGGCGCTTTCACGCTCTTAATTATCCGCCCTGACTACTGACAACAAGCTCTGGCCCACGCCGCCTGCGCCTCTCCTCACCAGCGTGACGGGCAGCAGGATGGTGAGCAGGGCGATGTGATGCAACACCAGCAGGAACTCGCGGCGGACGAAGGAGTTGACGGTCCTCAGCGAATGCCGCTTGTAGCTCTCGTGCCCTTTGACGTGGAAGCGGTGGTAGTGGCTGAGGTACATGGCGAAGATGTCGTACGTCATGTAGGGCACGCCGTACCAGACGATGAAGTAGGTGGCCAGCCAGTGCCTGAGGAGGGAGGAAAAAAGAAAAAAAACGACAACACGGCTTTATTTATTCTGACCAGAATCTTCTCGGACAAAGTTAGCAGGCCCAAATACGCCATCTCGTTGAGAAGTTGATAAATGGTGAACACGCAGAAAGTGGTTTACCCGTCGGCCTCGTCTCTCTCTCACGCAGACACACACCGGCTTTAGGGCGGAAGGAAGGAAGTGCAGTGTAACAAACGAGCCGGGTGGCTGCAGCCTTCTAATGAGCCCCGGTTACCGATGGTTAATTATGTGGACAGCACGCAGCAAAGCAGAGCTGAGCCACTGACCTCTGACCTCTGACCAGGCTTTTCAGCTCTTAAGGTCAGTGGATGGAGGGATGAAGAGCAGTCGGGCACAACGAACCACTGAGACTGCGCGAGGCGATTTGCTCGCGTGTATATTTTCTGTATAAAGGCAATGGGAAAATACGGCTAACGGCTATTTTTGTGAGGACAAAAAAAAGAAAAAATTCTCCATATAAATACGCGCACAGCAGCTATACGGATGGAACACGTTTAACCAGGTACACACCTTACACATACAGAGATTTGTATAGAATAAAAATTTAATTACATACACATATATTATTAGGAAGAAAATAATCACGGCCAACCAAGAGGTTAGGTAAAGGTCACCGTGGCGTTCACGGAGGAAAACACGGATAACTAAACGCTCCTTGTGTTAACACGGACTGACATGAAGCTCCAGGCCAAGTAGGGGGATGTTTTTCAAAAAGTTACTGTCACAGAGGCAGTGAAGGCTAAAAAAAGGCACAGATTGTGACAGAGTATTAGAGTGTCCGTGGGTCTGACACCGGACCATGTGTCCCATAAGCCCCCGGGCCGCCGTACGCGTCATCGGACGGCAGAACTGAGCAGCGCTGTGGAGGAATTAAGCCCAGTCGGTGGAGGGGAGGGGAGGGGGGGGTTCTGGAGATTAGCTGCCCCGAAAACTGGGCCTGCCCGAGCACTCGGTAGGATTATAACGCTAGCATTAGCTTAGCACCACACCTCCCAAAACGGCAATGGGAGGCGAACGCTGTGCTAACTTGCTACCGGGGTGCTGATGTGTAGCCAGAGCTCGAGGAAACAAATAAAACAGTCATTGAAAAGAATAAATATATATATTGAAAATATATTTAAAAAAAATAAAGGACAGTTGTTTTGCCAGACTGTAAATACATAATTGTGCAAGCAATGAGGAACCACTGTGGGATAAAGTGTGGGAGGTCTCTACCCAACTGTTTCCAAAACAGACAGGAAGAAATCACCAGCATAAGACGAGCCACCTCGGCCCTTATTTAACAAGTAAATAGGGCACATATTAAACTGGTCCTTCTACTGTTTTTTTCTGCTTATTTTCTCTGTCCAGCCGTGAACAACAGGCGCAAACGCAAGCACCGCCTAGTTTTAATAAAGAGAACACTGACTCACAGGCGGACAAATCGTCTCCCAAGTTAACGTTTGACTTGCCGCTGAATTGGTTTAAAAAAATTAAAAAAAGTCGCGCGAAAGTGAAAACACAAATACACACAATTAGTTATCGAACCTGGCGTTAATGACGCTCTCCCGGCATGATGACACAACGATGACTCCCACCGTGGTTGCCATGACGGCATGGATGGAGGACACCAGTCTGAGGAAAAAGACACAAAAAGATTCAGAGAGAAAGTTATACAAAGTGATACAAGCCATAGGTGGACAGTTGATACACTGCAGCTGCGAATATCACGTGGAGATAGAGATGTTTATAGCCATGGTCACCATGGCAACGTGGCGCCGGCGGGCCAGTGTTATGGCTAAGATGGTCAACCCTACGCCGGCTAAACGTGAACATGTTAGCATTGCCTGTTTGAGCCGGTTAGCACGCTGCAGTGAGCTGCCTCCAAGTACAGCATCGGAATTTATTTCGCAAGTGAAACCTGATGAACGTGGGTCACGCTTTGGGGAAACGTGTCCCCTCAGGTGAACCACACGGGCAGTCGAGTGTAACCTCGTGGGATTAGCAGTGCCGGGCCTCGGCCCTCCTCGTCTATAAACAGCATGTGACAGAGGAGAACACACACACACACACACACCTTAGAAGTATACCCACAAGTCAATGTGTTAAACAGTAACTTTAAAAACTCATTGACCAATGTTCTGTGGGACGAAAAAAGAAAAAAGAAGGATTTCTGGCCATTTCGAACAGGACGTTGGATTATAAACACCAATTTGTTCAAACTATGAATTGCTGCTTTCTGTTCTCCGACTCTGCAGCACGGACAGTAATCGGCTTTGAAACCCGATAAAACATGCAGTTCATGCCGAAGCACTCAGCGAGGCCCTTTCACACGCCGCTGTTTCAACGTTTCCGCTTTTCACCGCACTTTGCGCGCCGGGTTCGCACCCACTCATCACCAAACCACACAACGGTGGAGACACAACACACGAGCAACCGTCGTCTCATCTGGTGGGACTCAGTCACTCCGCTTACTCGAGCCTTTTCTTGTGGTTTGTATCAACTCATTTTACCATCAAAAAAAAAAGAAAGGAAAAAAATCAACCAATGAATGAGGCCAGAAAACTGTGTCCCAACATCAGGTACACAAACCACGCAGAGACCCTGCTGCACACGTAACCATTTAAAGATGTCTGGCCAGTACGCGACATCTTACATCAGTACTTTGATTATAACTGATGTGGTAGAGACTTCCGGACTGTCTTCGCCCAGCAGGACGGCCCGTTATCTAGGTTGTTATAGTGGAATTAGGGAGGGGTGGAGGGGCGTTGAGAGAACTCCTCTTTTCAACTTCACAAAAGCAGCATGTTCATCGGCGAATGTGGCTCACTTTAAAAGAGAGCAACGGGAATGAATAGAAATTGGGCAACTGACTAAAGTTCAGGTCAAGACGGCCCTCATGGCAAGTACACACACACACACGCACACACAAATTAGTGTGAACCCAGGGATTTGTTTGACAGCGCTTATGCATTGGACACGTTGTCACTGAGCCAACGGGCCTGGTCGACACAAGTGGGACCCCAATGAGACCACGTGCACGCCGCAGAACGCGTCGCCTTTTACTTCCTGCTGGACAGAAGGACCAGCTTTAAAAGGGCCGCCTTCTTTCTCGTCTACTTAACGAGAACACGGTGTGTCGCAAGCGGCGAGATTGAGACAACAAAGGGGGAGTTTGTGTTCCCCGCTGGAACCGGCCGTCAGCTTGCACCAATCTCACCGGGAATGCGGCCATGACGGCGCCGAGGCAACAAAGGCCACGTGGTCGGCAACCACAAAACCACAGGCCTGAGCTGGAAATGCCTAACTGGATTGTGTGTCTGTGTGTGTCCATGAACTCTACCCCGAGAAACGCTCTCTTTTTCTCTCTCTCACACACACGCATTTTACCCCCACGCCTCGCTGCCTTCTAGGGCCATATGGTCGCACACTCCATCACAAGACCCAGATTTCAACACAACTCATTTACTGTGTGTCCGGTGAAAGGCTGCAGGTTGGTGGGGTGAGTGGCGCGCAGAGGAGGAGGAGGAGGACGGGGGGAGGGGGAGGGGGGGGGATTGGAGGGAAGAGCGCGTTGCTGCCTCGTTCGGCAACGTTGTCTTTTCTTTCCGCTGTCGGGCCGGCGACGTACTCTCACACTCCCCCCCCACCCCCTCTCTCCATCTCTCGACCGGAGTCTCCCTTCAGTCGGTGGCGTTACGCACGGACGGCTTTCGCTCTCCCGTGCTCCGTCACACGCTCGGTGAACGACCATCATGAGAGTGTGGGGAGGGGGGGGGGTTTAGCTCCTCCAGTAGGTGGGCTACGTAATCCGTAGGTTTGCATTGGTGCTGCGGCAGAGCGCGGAAGGAAAAGTGACAGCAGAGGCAAAAAAAAAAAAAAAGGGAAGCAGCCGGGGTGCATTTCATGGCGGGGAGGAACCCTGAGTGACTGCAGCTGCATCGTCACCACTGTGGCAGCAGCAGAGGGACTGATGAGACGATGAACGGAACGCTACCTGGATAGCTTCGGAATCGCTAAGCGATGAATTGAACCATAATTAGCAGCACCACCCCAATGGGTAAAGGGGAGTGAACTATGACCTCTAGTTGGCCGGCCATTGTGACGCCAACTACAACCAGTAAAGGACGACCAAAGAGTCAACCTAGTTAAGGAAAGGTATCTATTCCGTATTAAACGTTGCCTGTGTGACTTACGCCATGAGCCTAAATAACCCAGATAATGTCCTTTAACTTCCCAGTGGTGACTGAGAAACATTCAGAGCTGTTTATTTAACTATGGGGTCATTTTTAAGGCTCTTACTGATGGCGGCGTCATTATCCTAAAGCCCACCACAGTGTGAGGAGTACATACTACGGCCTTATATTTACGGGGGGGGAGGGGTGGGGAGTCACATGTTCTTATGGAATTACAATGAGGAGTTGAAATCTTATCTACCGTGCTGCTGAAGTAACTCACACCAGTCTGCTCTTTTGCCCGAGTCCAAATATCTGAACGGCCTGGTAAGAAACACCTTTCATGACGAAATCCTAAATGATCAGCTCAGACACACGGGACGCAACGTTTATACAAGTCGACCTACGAGGGCTTTGCTTTGACTAACTGAGTAGGTGAACGCCTTCAGCGGGACTCCCAACCGCCTTCAATATGGAAATGTACCCCCCCCCCCCGGATGTGTGACGTTGCTGTCGGGTTGATTGGCCTGAGCTTCTCATGAACACGTGGCCGGCCCGTCAGTTTCTGCCTTTAGATATCACGGAATACAAATTAGGAGAAAAGGCCGAACACTTCCCGTTGTTGTCAACACAGACGTTTAGTTTCCACTTGATTGGCTTGAGCTCCAACTCAAGCTTGTCGGTCACTTGGTAGCCGAGAGTTCACTTTCAGCCGAAAGACGTGTAGAAACCCAGATCTCATGTACTGAGGGGTGCAAAGGTGATGCCCGCCTCCCCGGTTGGTAACCAGGACAACCGTCACAGCACCCCAGGTAGGATGGCGGTTCTCCTGCCAGGTGTGACGCAATCTGAGAACTACCGTTTTATATCCGTGGTCCACACGAGATTTGACATATGCATTAGGTGTCGAGCCGTCATCAACGCAGGCTTTCACATCGCGTGTCAATCGAGCTTTGCGCGGCGCGGCCTCCTGCCCGCTCAGACGTTACCATTTGCTGACTACACTACCCACTTCTCCCTTTGTCAGACACGCTGGTTACATCAGTTGGGTAGAAAAAAAGAAAAGAAAAAGCAAAACTATTTCATTATTTAAACCCTTGAATGAATTGTGGAAATAAACAGATGTATTCTTGTCTCTTGGACTTTACACGGTTATTGGAAATGTTTTCAATCACAAAAGTGTGAAACAGTCTTAAGCTGTCTCACAGTACTAACAGTGATGTTAATATTAGTGGAGCTGTGCCTTCATCTGTAAACGGGCAGGAAAAGCAGGTTTGAACACAATTAATATTCATACAGGAAGAAGAAGAAAAGCTGTGAATGTTGATCTAGAATGTTTAAGTCAAAGTTCTGAATGAAGCGTTGCACTTAATATTCAATAAAAACGATGTTCTTCAATGTCTGCGGTCACCTAGTTCCTCCTCAATAGCTCTGCATATGTGCTTCTACGCCATATAGATAGTAAACTTCAGATAAAAGCAGTTTTCTTAGTATACTTCTTGCAATAGCGAATAAAAGACAATCACGTTGCATTGTGGGAATTGTAGAGACTTTGGAGCCAAGTTGTATTACGGTAAAGCTGAGTGTTTAAATCACATTTATGAATGTTTTTACTACCTCAATGACTACAGTCAGCCGACTTATTACTTTGAACATTATACAGTAAATTGCGTACATGAGCTCCAAGCGACAGTTAACCGGCGCGTTCTGCCAGTTATGTTTTACCGCATGTATTTGTTGAAGGCCGCGCACACGCATCTATTAAACTAAATGACATTTGCACAAGGCACAGAAAGCACACAGGGACACAAAAACTGTACGATCTCAGCGCGCACGTGAATTCTACCCAACCGGTTTTCCACCATGATCGAGATGCTCCAATGCCTGGGCCCTTTGTGGCCCCCGCCGACACGGGACCTCGAGGGACCGGTTGCCAACCAGGCGGTGAAACGTCCTCTGAGAGGCGTGCAGGAGCGTTTCCCTTTAGACGAGCGTCGGTAAATGAGTGGGAGCATTATTCAGGAGCAAGGTTCAGTGTTTTCCAGGAGCCCGGCTAGCTCAGCACTCGACCCTGACCGGAGCTCAGAGGATTAGCAAGAGTGACAGCGTACAAATGAGCATTGAACTGAGCTGTGCACATGTGAGCATGTCACACTGACACGCACACACAAACAGTGTCGCGAGGTCTAAAAGTCACCAAAGAGGCTGCAGATTTGATGATAACACACTGCTTGGGTTTGTCCCTGCTTGTGTAGAGCTGTTGCAAAGCACCCCCACCCTCCTCCCCCCTTGAGGGGGGGGCGGGGGGTGCAAGGTTCCGATGGTGTTACAAGACCAGCAGTTATTGCATGTGAAAGGAAACCATAAAATAATGCATGTGAGAAGAATCTGATGGATGATAGTCACTGTGAAAGAGCCCAATTGAATACAGTCACAGGCTCTCTCTCTCACACACACACACACACACACACACACACAGTTATTTTTCTGCCATGATATGACTACAATTATATAACGTTCCCCGTGCAGAGAGCCGTAGTTTGACGCTAGCTGTGATATTTGCGGATTATTTTTTTGGGGGGGGATTACTGTGCCAATTTTGCGCAAAAACCGTAACGGTTGATACTCGTTGAAACAGGAAATTCAATGACACAAAATACGTAATCCGGTGATTCAACGAAGCCAGCAGTAATCGTAAATTTGCTAACGTTACATAAAATAAAATAACAAGATTAGCTAGCTAACTGACTGAGAGGGGGGGGGGACGTTACTAGCTACGAGCCTCCAAACAAGGTCAAATGCTATACATTAACTAACAGCGTTCGGTCGCATTTGGCCACGAAGCGACGTTGTGTAAAAGAAGGATGGATTTAGTCCGGTTACCTCTCGCTGACCAGCACCACGTCGGCATCGCTCCAGTGTTTGAACACACACGGCAGGATTTTCCTGAAGGCGAAGAAGAGACCGGGGAAAACTACGGCGCCACAAGCTAAAACTTGCAACATCCTGCCTGTATTTTCCTTCAAACCCGCCCGGAGTCCTGACTCTCTCCCCGCCGCCAAGTTTCGCCCGTTTACACACGGCGATGAGGCATTTTAAAGCGTGGCTGAGGGGGGGTGGAGGGGGGGTGGAGGAGGTGGAGGGTTGTCGGTGTTTTTTTTTTTCTTCTTCTTTTTCTTCTTCTTCTTCACCGGGAACAGTCCACCATCCGCGCGCACACACCGCCGAGGCTCAGCAGCAGCAGCACCACTTTCGGGCTAAAGGCGAGCGGGGCGGGCTAAACCAACGGAGCTTTACAATCTGCTGTCAAAATAAAAGCCCTGACCCGGCTCCGGAAGAAAGGTGGTGCTTCCGGTGAGGCGGTTCACATGGCGCGAGGGTCGCGTTACACAATTTGATCTTTTATTTTGAAGGTCTGACAGACGCACTCGAAAATGAATTGTTGTTCTCACGTGACGGATATAAACGTCCGTCCTCGTTTCAATATAAAAGTAACCGTTAATAGTGAACAGCAGATTGTCAATTAGCCATTTTGGCACCCGGTTCACTTAAATGAGAACAGAAAGGTTGAATGTTCTAATATATTTATATTTTACTTGAAAAATTACCATTTTGACCTTGACTCAATGTCCAATTACAAGTTAGTCACAAGACCAGTGCAGAATACTGTAATCGTGATATTAACATAACATCACCTAATATCTAATATCACCTGCTCTTCTGGCTGACGTGTCAGCAACTTGCTCTGATAAAGTATCAGTTATTATCTTATGGGATTAGAGGATGTGTGAGTGTGCTGTCAAACCCAAACAATGAGACGAAAATAGCAAAACAGTGCCATCAATTTAAAAGACGCAGCTGAAAACCTCTGACACCGTTTCTGTATCTGCAGTCCATGTTCAACTGAAGCTATACGCGATCAGATGCTGCTTTCAGGCGCTGAGTAAACGCTGGCATTAAAGACAATTGACCTGACCTCGCTTGGTCTGGTTAAAGACTGTTCCATGATGATCTAATGCATTGCTACCATTGTTCCTGAAATCTGGTTGAGATGAATAAACCACTTTGAGCATTTTCGATCCATTGGTAAAAATGACCTTGAGGGGCACAATATTCCTTTACTGAACTTAGGAAAACTGTGGTAACACGTGTCAGCTGTACCGTTGTTCCTGCAGTACCGATGTGATGGTCAGAATAGACACTGACATTTGGCAACTGGCAAAACAGCGACCTCTTAAAGGAAAGAGCGTGCGCAGGGGTATTTAGTTAGCTGTAATTTGCAACCACGCCACCACATGCCACCAAATCCCACACTCTGTTAATAGCTGTTGCCTACCACCTACAACATGTCGGTTAACACTAAATCTTTATTATCCAATGGACTGCACCCAGCGGTGTGACGAAGATAAGTCTGTGCGTTAAGGTCTAAAGTTTCCCTTTGAGGATCAGGAAATTCTGGAAAACCGAAACATCACTTGGGTTTCCTTATTGCCACCTTAAACCTTATGATAGCGCAGTTGAGTTTCGTTACCTGTGAAACAGTAGAGAGCTTCTGTGTCAGTGAATCCAGAGTTCATCAGAAAAGACAACCTTTGTTTTTCACAGTTTATCGTTGCTGGGTGTGCTGCTTCTGGGCTGATGAAGAGGAGACACCCAGGGGACAATGTTAAAATGTAACTGTAATGTAAGACTCAACATTGGAGTCAAAGGGTTTACAAAGGGAATTCTGTATACTTCTTTTAACACATTGTTCCTACAGTCATTAAGAAAATACAAGAAATCCATCTTCTGTATGAGAATTTGATGTAGGAAATTGTCCTCAGTGCTTTTTATAGTGTTGTACAGGTGGATTGTGAAATATAACATCAAGTGTTATTAGGGGTCATTACATTTAAATATGCAATAACAACAGAAGGAAATAATAGTAGACGTGTCAATCATTCAGAATTCAGGCCATTTGTTTGTTGGCCCAAAAATCCCTTGGGACTAAAATAAAGTAGACTTTACTGGAATGTATCTTATCTCATAGACGATTGCGCTGAAAGACCAAAGTGTAATATCATAAAAGCCACCTGCTGCCATGTCTTAGCCATAAATCAGTCCAGAACCATCCAGTTCCGTCCCTCGACACACAAACTGAACAACGCCTCTCAACTCTTTCTAAGTTGATTGCAAAGTCCTTCAAATACACACAATATTGAGTAAAAAAAGCCATAGTGCCGAAGTTCATCAAGTCTTTAGGTGGCGGTTACAGAAAAACAGAAAAACTGCTCTCTTGATACTTTTTTATTTCCGTGTCGGTTGCATAAAACACAACCGGTCACAAACAGCACAATCAGGCGAAACTTCTTCTGTTCCCAAACACACCGGCAGTGCAGCACAAATATCCAGACACCTCCACGACCAGACTGCACCTGTAGGATCGGAGCATTTGGGCTTCTTTGGTGATTTTCACTTTTTTTTCTTTTCTTTTTTTTTACTGCGCAATAAAGTAGAAATAAAACCATATATAGCCAACACCTAGCAGGTAATGTAACCGTGGTCCAATATACAAGCTTGTAAACTATATTGTATCGAACACAATGTAATAACAAAAGCATTGGTATCAATTGGAAAGTACCTCCAAAGAAGATTCCCTCTGATATCTGAACAGGAAGCAGTGCTATTATCTCCAACAGGTCAGATGTTTTCAATGCTCTGATTATTACCTGTAAAACCAAAGAAAAAGAAGAGAAAACAAGAAGAAACACAAACAGCTCAAGTCAAAACGCACTGTGTTACTCGAGTAGTTAAACCACTTTAGTGGCTCCCACTGCAACACAAAACATTTCGATTCTACTAATAGTCTATGAAGCACTTAATGGTCTGACTTCCCAGTGCATTTGCGACCTTCTCACTGATGAGCGGCCAATCCAACCACAAGGATCTCATGCAGAGGGATGGAGGCGGGAGTTGACCTGTTTTGGCACTTTGGTCTTATTCTCTGGAACAAACTAATTGTTAGTCGTATTGTATTTGATTTTAAAAAGAAGCAACAGCTCTTTAGTCTCTCTTCTCTAATTTCACATTTGGGTTTAGTCAGTTGATTTTTGTTTCAGTTTGGGACGAGCGAGGAAAAACAGCTTTTCACCTCGTTGTATTCTTTTAATGCAGCGACCCAAACCAGCTGCTACAGGTTCTGTAGACGGAGATGTCAGTCCTCTCACCCAACAACAGACAACTCGAACGCAACGTGCCCACGAGCTCATGGGTAAAAAGTTCATTCTCTTCCACACGATAAGGCGAAACGGCACAAAGTCGGCATGACGCCAACGCGTGTGAGTCATGTACAAGTACGTGTTGGTATCCCAAGATAACTGAAATGCAAAAATAAATAATTTACTGCAAACCGAGTCGTCCCCACTGGCCTCTGAATGGGCTGAACGCTTACTGGGCTGCGGGGGATTGTTTTTCTGGTTACAATTTGATTGAATTGAATTTTGGCAGCTTGGACTCTTCCCAACTTCCGTGTAAAGGGCCGGCTGCGGTGCTGCGGTGCCGCGGTGCCGCGGTGACGGTGTGTTTTCAGCCACAGTCTGCTGAGCAGCCCGTCAAGCAGAGCGAGCCGAAGGGCCTTCTGGCTCTGGCTCCTCTTGGGTCCATCTTTATTGCTCCAGCCAGCGGTGCAAACTGGTCGGGGCGGTCCCGCTGACTTAAGGAAACTGCAGAAGGAGGGCAGATCACTCTGCAAGTCTTTCTAAAAACGATGGCCTTCTATCTGGGATATTGTGTGTTTCCTGAATCTGTTGCTCCGACTGTAAAGATCTTAGGCAGAAGAACGACGACCTAAAGGTTTGACAAAGATGGCCTCCGTTAAATGAAACCAATCTTTACTGATGGAAGCAAACTGTGTCAAAATCACACTCTGTGAGCTCTATTCTCAGGGCCCTCATTTATAACAACATCCTACTTCTGCTTTTGCATCTGACACATCAAAGTCATAAATCAGCTCAGAGGTGCCCGTCAGGGAACCGCAGCTCGTTGGGGGTCAAGTCGACCCACGTTGTAATTTTTACCCGTGAGGACGATCTGACACGTTCTTCCACCATGATGCAGAGGGCTTCCACAGACCTTTTGTTATATTGATTAATTATGTTCCTATTTAAGACATGCCATTCAAATTGAAAAAACGTGGAGCGGACAAATCCTGCACATGGCACAAATTCACTATCAGTTAGCCTGATATGTGGAGGCTTCTCAGGTTTTTTCTCCACCCACACCCACCTTTTACCTTTGTGAATCATGGGCACATGAGGATGTCACCAGAATGCGCAGCAGCGAGTGGGCTAAAAATAAACCAAATATAGCTCTGCGATAAGCAATAATAGTCCTTATAAATCAATACATGCCTGGTCTCCATGGTTGAGCTGGGGTTGTATATGACAGCATAAGCGCACACACACACGCACACACACACACACACACACACACACACACACAGAAGCACACCCACACCCACACGGAAGGATGGGAGGGCTGATGATGGGGGGGGCGATAAAGTTGTCATAAAAGCATCGTGTCCTCTGGTCTTTCGGAGGAAAGAAGGAAATCATCACTGGCAGCCTCTCGGGTGAGTAGCAGCTTTCCTCAAAGGAGACGTGTGTTACGCAGAAACCTGGAGTTATTCACAGAAATAAGCATTTAGTTTTGTAATTAAAAGTTCTCAGGTATGACTACGAAAAAACCTAGGCTTAAGTTATGTGTGTTTTTTTCATTTTTCTGATTTTATTTCAGAATATCAGTAAAAAGCTGGACCGAGTTAGTTTACATTGATTCTGTTAAGTTTATCTTTTTGCAGCGCAGAAGCAGGTACAATTGTTATTTTAAGAATGTGTCCCGCGCAGGCGGGAACGATAACATGTTCTACGCGTGTTCGAGGGAAACGATCAGCATCTATGTTTTTGTGTTTCCAGACGCTCATAATCCACAGACACACATCTATTCGCTGGCTTTGTGGCACCGACACTCTGACACGATGCACCTCAACCTTCCTCTCCTGTTTTTTTGCCTTTTCGGCACAGGTAAAAAATCTCTACAACTCTTCTTGCTAACACCATCTAATGAGCTTCACGTTGTGACAAGTTGCAAGAAACGGCTTAACTGATGGTTAATAAATAATAAACAATGGTTCATTATTCATTAACAAGAGGAGATTTGTTACCTGGTTGTTACAGCTAAACGTGTTGTGGATCTCCATTAATACACGCTCGTGGAATTCCTGTTGATGCAACATTAAATATTGTAAGAAATGTAGTGTTATTGTGTAAAAAGTGTTAATCATATAAACCGATTTAGCTCCAGACAACTACAAATTTGAAATTTAAAGGAGCAAATGTTGGACTCACATTTTAGCAATTTATTAAAAGTTGAAACCCTATCCTTTTTATTAGTTTTTTAATAAGGTTGAATGAGTGCATGGCTTCAAGGTCATAAAGGTTATAGTGTTTGTTTAAAGGGTTAGTCAAGCTCTGACGTTATTTGGTCAATGATTAGGTTTACTATCTTTGACATTGTCCCTATAATTATGGAAACCACTATATTTATTGGGAAACACTATTTCTTAATTGCTCCATTAATACTGTTCATCACCATAACATGAAAAGACTATTTTATAATACATGTGAAGTCACAGCAAATAATTTGACATTTTATGGATTTTAATAAAATGACCTAAGGCAGTTTGAGAAATGGGGGGGAAACATTTCACAAAATAAAAGCTGAGTCAGTTTCTACCTGCATTTGTGGAAATCTAGGACCAAGTTAACATGCGTTTTCATCATTCTCCTTCAACCCTTCTGTCTTTTTGCTTTTACCGACAGTCACCCTGTGTGGAGCACAGTCAACTATACCCGGCCCAACCACCCCAGCTCCAACCGGCACTTCTGCCACCACCCCAGCTCCAACCGGCACTTCTGCCACCACCCCAGCTCCAACCGGCACTTCTGCCACCACCCAAGCTCCAACCGGCACTTCTGCCACCACCCAAGCTCCAACCGGCACTTCTGCCACCACCCCAGCTCCAACTGGCACTTCTGCCACCACCCCAGCTCCAACCGGCACTTCTGCCACCACCCCAAGTCCATCCTCATCCGGTCCGGCCCCCACTGAAGGAACGGTTGCCCCTGAATCGACCAATCCTCCTCCAGCAGAGGGACTCTCGTCCGGAGCCATCGCCGGTATCGCCGTCGGCTCCATCGCGGGGGTGGCAGCTGTCGGTAAGTGCAATAAAAGCACACCCTTTTACGTAGGACCTCGTTTGTGTTTCCTCAATTAGACACCGTCCCAGTAATCCATTAACAAGGATTAAGCAAACCTTTGCACGACTGCCCCCCCCCCCCCCTTCTACTGATTCGCAGCATTTGAATAAATGCAAACCTCACTGTTCAAATCCAGAGATGCGTCAAATACCACTTTGTGTCTCAATCCCATTATCACGCAGAAATGAAAAAGAAAATGGGAAATGAATGACAGATTATCAAAACATCCATCAATCAGACTTGAATTTAGTGAATCAAGATTGTGAGATACGATAAGTCAAACATTTGACTGTCTAGACCAGCAAGATAAGGTAATAAATTATAATTCTTACATATTATCTCATAACTATTAAAGCTCAAGACCTGAAGATCTGATTCTTTAGAATTTGTGATATTTATTCATTTTAAATATTCAAGTATTTTTCCTTTATTATTCCTAAGATTGTACCTTTCATTTATTTTTTACCTTTCCCTGGCAATGATGTCCGTATCAATCCACCTGCTCAATGGACACGATGGACGTGGTCCTCAATTTACAAGGAACATGCAAACTGACCGTAACTAGATAGCAATCCAAGGAAAACTGGAAAAAAGAAAAGAAAAACGATCATGGCTGTGCTATATACTTATTCTAATCGTAGTTTAAGTATCAAGCACATGCGCATGATAAAATAACTAAAACAAAAGCATGCTGGTGTAAAAGTAACGGCTTCTTTTCCTTCTATCTTCAGGTGGAGGTATCTTTGGCGCGCTGAAGTTCACTGGGAGGATCTAAGGTCACATGGTGACCCGTTTAACAAGACAGCGGAAAGATATTAATGTCTGAAAGGCTCAAATCAGAATATAATAATGACATAATAATAACAACTTGAGCCATTAGGAAGACATTAATTCAATTTGATCTATTTGATATTTTTATTGTCAGAATGAAAATCTGTTTTATATCATACATTTTCTATTTTTGTCATGTTTTGGTACAGTAGCGGAAAAGGGTCTTTGAAATTAATCGACAGCCCTTTTCTACTGGATTTAATGCAATTGTTGGGAGCATTTGGTTTACAAAATATAATATATTAATATTGTGATATCCTTTACATCTAATAACTTTGGTATATTATTTCTACAATAGTCTATGGTGAGCGAAGTATGTTTAGGTCATCAGATTCATACTTGGCATTCTGTAAAGACAAATGAAATAAAAAATAAATGAATACAGATGTTCCTTTAGACATTCACGTTCATTTTCAGTTGTTGACTGTTTTCTTATAAACTGGGCTTGGAGAAAAAATACAAACATTTAATAAATAACTGCTTCCCACTGTGACATAATATCACATATTTGTTATAAGTTATAAGTATGTTTGATGAAGTCATGAGTTTAATGATGCGTATGATATCTATCACATCTTTAATTAGTGTTCGCGGCTTACGATAAAGACATTTTAAATCTCATTATGGACGTGTTGGTCTTCGAGTTCATTCTTGTGATTTATATTTTTTTAGTTTGATGAAATCTCAAATCAGGAACGATTTACTGGCTTTTCACTGAGCTTTCAAGTACATCTCCTGGATGGAGTTTTCTCATTATGAGTCTTGATAAAAACCTTATCAGACGCACAACTATTGATGTAGTTAACCATCAGAATTGTAGATATCTTTTCTGTAAATGGGTCATGACTTAAGTGCCACCTGATCTTGTTATCTCTTATCAACAGAATCCCCTATCTCATTGGTTTTCTGGTTGACCTTTCCTTAGGGACCATAAATTCACACCTTCAGTTTTTTTGGCAAGCTTTAGTTGCTGTAGAGCATTTTAATCCTACAAACTTAGTATTCATCAAGAAAGATCCACTTTATTTTCATGTGTTGAGCTTGCTCTCAGTATGTGTGTTCATATTAATCGTACGAAGGCTTATTTAGCGGATTGATGCATTTATTTAAGTTTATTTGTGACAGATGCTATAAACCGAGGGGAAGGGCTGAATAAAATAGAACTTTTAATAGTTACACTTGTGGGTGTAAAATACTGGCCCAAGTAAGATGCCATTTATTCAGTCCTATGGTAAAATGTTATAGATTTTGTGTATAGAATCGATCAACTTACTGTAGAGACCGTCATGATAATCTTATGGACTGTAAACATGCAGAGAATGGATGGGGGGAGGGGGGGGGGGGGGACGCTGGGACGCTCCCGGCTGCCAAAACAAACACACAGGAACCTGAACCACATGACCAATGTGAGACCACAGAGACCTATAGAGAGGACAGACTAAACAAACACAGGAGGCAAAGCTCAATCACATCAATCGCACAGATGAGAGACGGAAAAACAGCACACGGAGGGACAGAGCTGAGAGGGACAACAACATGCACTGAGGCAGACGAGAGGACGAGAGGAGAGGAGGGACCTCCTCGAGGACGAAGATCCAGAGCCAAACATCTGGAACGAGGCCCCCTGACACGCAGCGATTTGAGATGGGATTCAACGAAGGGCAGCTTTTCTATAAAACCAACAAGATCACATTATTTAAGTGGCTTGTGACTCACTAGAATAAAATTGTGTCGGTTGTTCATTGCACAATTTAAGTGACAGTAAAGTGAGCAAGTGAAGTCTCGGCAGCACAAAGCGGTTTGATTTTGCGATAGCTTCTGTTTCCCTATAGATTAGTAAACCCCGTGAGACCAACGACAGAACAGGCAGTTCATTCTAGTTGTAAAATAGTGTGCCAGATTGTAAAAAAGAGTTCTAGATATCCTGTAACAGAAGCACTCTATTGGAATCTAAATCTAATCTGACGATAGTTAACCTATTTGAATTCAGTCAAATCAGCTTCAGTGGAGTGACCGACTCAAAGAACAACATCTGCGGGTCAAAAGGTGCTGAGACACAATTCTTTCAATTACTTTTGAAAATAATGAGTGATGAATAATGAACCAGGTTTGTGTGGTTTAAACCACATTCATAGGTCAGGAATTTATAACATTCAACATTACAAAAAAGGACACAGAGCTTTAAAATGTTCACCAAGGCAGATGGTTTAGAAGCCAAAAGCAACTTGGACAATGTCTGAAGAAAGACCATATCAAAATGTGTAAGAACAGATATTATTAGATCTGCTACCTTTAGTACAGAAAAATAAGGGACTACGGCCGACGGGACATTCTTTCAAATCGACACTCCGCCCCGCCCTCCTTTGACTCTGATTGGCCGTGAACCTGAAAAAGACCAATCAAACCAACGACGGCAGCGAGTATTACCCAATGAGCGTCCCGCATTGATTCAAAACGGGACGTGTTATTTTACTGTCAAATCCTGGACGATTCCGTATTTTAAGGGACGGGGGGGGAAACCCTGGATTATATTTTTTTTTATCAGAAGATGTTTGTGACCTTGTTTTGATTCAGGTGCTTGGTGGAGCAACCCCACATCACTGCCACGGGTGTGGATTCATGACATCACTCCACGGATTAGCCTGTACTGTCTCCAGGTGGACAGCAAACACACATAGCACAAAGGCTAGCAGAGCTAAGCCAAGCTAACAGTTAGCGACAGAATGCAACGTTACCCCCCCCAGGCCAAGATAATAACAAAAAAGGAGCAAGTCAATTATGACATTGGTTGAGCATAAATAGAGTATAGGAAGAGTCAATAGATTACTAAAACTCAAATGAGTTACGTAAAGCCATAAAAAGTAGTAGACGGTGTTCGCTGATCTGACAGGAAGTTGCGTAACAACCGCCAGAGTTCTTCTTCGGGAATTTACCGCAAAAGGTAGAACGTACTTCAAGCCCGTTATCGCCCCCTGTGGATATAGTGTTCCTCAACATACAATAAAGTAAATTACAATTTGTTCATTGATTTACAGAAATAGGGACAGATGTATGTATGACAATTCATCCATGACCTGGTTATAATTGCAGTAGGGCCAGTGTTTTATTTCATTTTATTTACTTTTACCAAACTTTAATGCATAACATCTACTAAAAGTCCCCACCGTGACATCACGGCTGTTCTTTAAAGTGGACTTTAGCCTTCACGAGGCCTTCATTGTTTTATGGTCGTTTAGCTTAGTATCAACACAAGGAGCGAAACCAGCACTGCTCCCACGAAGGCAAATTACTGTTAATACCTTGAGCCGTGTGATCAGCCCACATGGCGTGCACGGGAGCCAGAGGCACTGCTCGGGCATGCGTGTTGGGGGAGGACAGTGGATCTGTAAAAACATTTAAATAAACCAAACTAATAAGGGCTCTTTGAGGAGAGAATACAATAGAGATTTCAATGAAACCTCCCCAAGGTACTATTTCAATATTTTTTTTATATTACACTTTTTCAACAACAATTTCTTTTGAATATTTAAATTAAACATGAGCTAATGCTAAACAGCCAATAGACAAATTGATTAAACACAGCGATGTGTATTTTGGATGTTTCCTTCCCAGTAGTCTGAGAGAATAAAAAGTAACAAAACAATAAATGTATTTGCAATTCATATGTTTCTTTTGGCTTTGACTAAAAATTGAAATTCTCAGCTAAAAGAAGAGTCAGCTGATCATCGAAGTCAGTCGGCTTCCTCCTCTGGGAACCGTGACTGGTTCTGCACACAATTTCATCTTTATGAGGTGATAATGTTTTGGGTTTCTGTTTGTCAACTTTGGATTAGCTGGACAACGTACAAAGATAAAAACATCATGCAATATAAGTCAACAGTGAAGTTTAATCATTTTTCGACTCCGAACTGATAAAAGGTGTAAAGTCAGCAAACATTATTGCGGCAAGAAGTACGGTACTGTTGATGCTTTTTTTTTTTTTTGTACAGCTGATTTGGTATGTCTGGCTTTTTCACACGTACATTCACTGCGCTGTCCATAAATACTATACAAAAATAATATGTGCTTTGCCAGAAAACATCCTCTCTACATTAGTGGATTGAGAAAAACTATACGGCTTTGTTCACTGCCATACATACGCTACGTAGGCTCTTCCATCTACTGCCATTCTCTTAAATAGAAAACATTACATCCTTCACTTTCTATGCGAGGCGTTTTTAAAGTCTCTGCCGTGTCATCACACATGAACGTCCTTATGGTTGCTGGTCCGTGTCCACAGCGCATGAAAAAGATAAAGGAAATCCACTCGATCGGGTGCAGATTCGGGCCCAGGCACAGCTGTGCGGTCTTTTTTTTGTTTTTTCTACAGTGAAAAGTGTCCTGCAAAGAGATTTTAATTTCAGAATCACAGCTGGGCCTCGAGCTGAATTTTACGTTCTTCTTTTTTTCTTTCTCTAAATCATAGTAGTGTTTTCTCTTTGCTGCTTCAGGTACGAGCTCAGCTGGATACAATCCAGCCTTTTCGCTCTCAAAAAAAAACAAAAAAACAAAACAAAAACACATCGAATGTTAGAGGGCGTTTCCCCCCCATCCTGCAACACAGCCTGTAATGACAGTACTCTCTCCACAAGGGGGAGCTCCCTCTCTCTCTCCCTCTCTCTCCCAGCAGGCGGGCGTCCGACTCCACCGGCGCGGTGCAGCATCATCGACTCCTGGCGCCGGCCCGCCTAAAGACGGCACGTCTGGTATTTGCTGTGCGGGGGGGCAGCCAGCTCGTAGAAGAGGACGTAGGCGTTGCTGCTGCGGACCTGGCTGGAGGACACGGGGCTCACCCTGCGAGGAACGCACAGCACGCCGTCATTAGGACAACCTCCACGCAGCCAACAGGTCCACACGCCCTTTCATTCCTTCCATTTTGAGCCAGAGATACGAGAGCGCAATACCTGGAGTCGTTGTAGCTGTACCACTCGCCCAGCGCCGGGTTCTTGCAGTAGGCTGTGTAGTGGCCCCCCAGAGCGTTCCCCGAGTGGTTGGACACGGCGTACAGGTTGTATGAGGCGCGCTCTGCAGGGGGAGACAGAGACGGGGCATTGCTCATCAGATCCAGCCGAGCTTGGGACAGTGCGTGCACTCATTTTTGACGTTTTGTCTCCAGTCGGTCAGAAAAACAACTCACCGCCGCTCTCCGAGGCGAACTCCCGCAGGTCCAGCTCTTTGACGGGGAAGTTGACGTAAGTGGAGAGTTTGCTGGTCCGGATGTTGGAGTCGGAGAAGCGCTTCAGGTCTGAGAGGAGCATCGGGTCAAGGACCAGACGCTGGTTCAGAAGGAGGGCTTCTACTCCGCAGCATTTGAGCTTCAGGCCACAAGATCTATTCCATTTCTGAGCTACTTGCAGGTACCGATATCCCCTAATGTGAGTCAGGGTGGCCTCACCGGACGGATCGAGAAGATTGAAATCGTTCAACAACAGCACCCCTTAAAGTGCAGTCATAGCAAACGTTGGTCAGGCCATTGTGTGCAGTCAGCGCGCATGCTAATGTGTTAGCAGGACTACTGTCGTTTACATGATGCAAGGATACGAAGCACGAGGATCTGGGGGAACTTCTGGATGCTGAATCTCTTGGTGCATTTCCTTCTGGCTTTGCATCGGTTGCACGTCTGAGAGAGTGGGAGAGAGCGAGAGAGGGGGGTGAGGTGCTGCTGCTGCTGCTGCTGCATGTTCCATGTCTGCTCGCGGAGCGTGGAGGCTTCTTACCGGTCGCTCTTCTCCGTCCAACACATCTTCTTTTGTGAAGAGCCTCAAGCAGTCTTTGAGAGTCACTTCGCCGGAGCTCTTCTGCGGAGACGGAGAGCAAAGGATGTCCAGTCAGGAAACGGCAAACTAAATGAACTTTAGATTTTATGAGATGTACGAAAAAACTGGACACTTCGGCCGTCTACGTCAGAATTTCATAACGTACTCGTTTGCCCTGCAGATCGGCTAAACCTTTTCTACAGTTGGTGTGTGTGTTCTGACCTGTGCGACCGGTATGGACAGGTCCCAGAATGGATCAAACACCGTGGAACGGAAGCCGCAGACGGTGCAGGTCACGGAGCTCTTCAGCTGTCCAACAAATAGATCTAAAAAAATAAAAAAAGCAGAAATTACATTTAACGCTCATGTAAATGAAAGTAGGGTTTTAAAGGAAATGATGCTGCCGGTCAAGCTGAATCCCGTACCCACGACTTTGCTGTCCTCTCTCTCCAAGTAAATGTTCCACATGCGCTTGCCCTTTTCATCATCCCTGTGAAGGAAACCAGACGGTGGATCTCAGGTCCAAATACTCACACGCCAACGATATTTTGCCTCAAAACCACTGAAACCCGCGGCGGAAATCAGCACATTGTTGCGCCGACTTACGAGAGGTGGTCAAAGTCCTCGACGGGCATCTTGGGGCAGACGGTCACCCGGTTGACCTCATTGTGGAGACCGTCCAGTAGGAAACGCAGAAACTCTTGGGCGTCCTGCTGACTGCAGGGAGACACAAGGCGAATCGTCACTTCCTTCGCTGTCAAGTCAAACCGGATCGAGGGGGGGGGGGGGGGGGTGGAGCCAGCGGAGGACGACGGCGGCGGAAGACTTACTTGCAGCCCACAAATTTGGGAGCGAATCTCTGGATCTGGCTCCTGAAATCAGAGGGACTGATGGCCTCGTTGTTCACCGAGGTCCACAGGCTCTGGGTCAGCTTCGCAAACTCTGGAGGCAAAGGACGGACAAATAAGTCACGAGGAGAAGCCGTTACTCTAATTCACCACACTGTCCTGTGCAAAACGCATCGTCCACGAGTCAGCGCGTCCAGAGCCATCTGTATTCTTTGGCTAAAGAAACCTAATCTCACTGTCCACTGCATTTCAACCGCAGGTCAAAGGTCGTAATCGGCGACTGGAACTGGCTCCCGGGTGTGACGGTGACGTGACCAAGTGGGTCACGTGATGACACCACAGCCAGTCCCGAGGGAGGAAGAGTCATCTCGCCGCCGCGGACACCAAGTCAACGCCGCAGGAATGAAATACGGCGGCACACCTTTTTTTTTTTCTTCTTCTTCTAAATACCGAGAGAAAGTTGCGACACCGGATGTACTTTTACACGTTGTATTAGAAGGCGTGCTTTAACGTGTTCTTCTAATGTGGTTTCTTTATCCTGTTCCGTGGCTAATCTTGATTTCCCTCATTAATCCGCTCTTGTACTGCACCGATCACCACGCACAAGTGAACACATCCCTGGCAACATGTGATGCACGCACAGAGCGGCCCGTGGGAACGCCGTGTGCCAACGCCTCCTCTAAAACGCCCTCTAGGAACTAAATGGTGCCTTTCATTCGGTGCCAGCGCTCATTTCTAATATATTTGGAGTACAGGGTAAACCGGAACACTTTCACAGCCGCTTCCATGGATGGAATTATACATGGAATTGAATGGAAATGTCCTTTAAACAACCCCCTTCTTTTAATCCAATAGTGCGCTTTAAAGTGTCCGGTGTCCCTTGACGCTGCTCGCGATAACCCGGTTTACAGCCCAGCAACACGCAGCCGATACCGGGTACATAAAAACACCACGTGACCCTTCTATTGAGCCATAAAGTGACTCAACGCCCGGCGAGGCCCCGCTCGCGCCTCCCGACAGCTCGGAGCGCCTCCTACCTTCCATGAGAGCGGCGCTGGTCTCGCTGCTGCTGCTGCTGCTGCTGATGAGGTCCGTGCGGTGCCGGTTCCTCAGGCAGTAGTCCCTCAGCTCGGGAGTGTTACTCAGACACTGAAGGATGGAGTTCATGAAGCACTGGAAGGCACACAAAGACACGCGGAGATGAGTCCGACGCGGCTCCGGTCACGGCGCAGCGCGTTGTGGACACGCGGCGGCACTCACCGTGTTGCCCAGGTTCCTCAGTCCCACCAGGCCTTGAGGACTCTTGTTCTAGGTCACAAACAGAGGAGCAAACGGGATTTGAGGTCGTTCGCGCTTCTATTGGAGAACCGTGAAGCAAAAGCAAAAGCTTTTAAACCGCGTGTGGAGGACCAGCAACGTTACGTGAATTCCCTTAATGCTCTGTTGCAATTTGAATATATGGGACTGGACCATAACGTGGTTTAACAATCCGGACCAGGAGACACAACGGAGCCGTTGTCTTGTACGAAATGAATACGTGATGCCGCGTTGGTGGTAAACAGACACATGGCGCCACGTCCTAAAAGCAACTTCTGCTCCACAGCGTCCCCGCCCCCCCCCATGACATTCCTGAAGCGCAAGAGAGCACGAGGGAGGGGGGGGGCGGAGGGGCACCTGACGGTCACATTGTTGGCGCCAGCAGCTGGCCGCGGTCATCAGCTAACGCCCCACGTGCTCAAAGGAAACATCGGCACAATGCGTCCCTGCATCCCCACCCCCCCCCCCCCCCCCCCTGATGTCCTGTATTAATTCTTACTACAGCATTTTCCAAACAGTTTGCCCTCCTGGGTTGAGCACATTCAAAAAGGGGCTGTTAACTGCCGGCATAAGTACTTCTACAGTTTGGCCCATCTCGCTGCCTAGAAATCTTCCAGAGTTCATAACCTCTAAAACCTCAAGAGATCAGGAAAAGACTGTTTTTTTATGACCTATGGTGACTGACGAGGGCTGACGTTTTTCATCCTAAATTCCACGGCCTTGTTCTGACAAAGAAAAAAAAAGATTAGAGAGGGACGGAGAGAGAGAGAGAACAAGTCCACTTTGTGTTGTAATTATAGGTGTGCGTCTGAGCATCCGAGAGGAAAATTTGTCAAATGGGAGGAGGAACGGTCGAGAGGAGGGAAAGGAGCCAACAAGGCCATTTGCAAACCCGGTTTTTATCCCCTCTTTTGTTGTCAGGGCTCAGTAGATCTCCAAAGAAGTCAGTCTGCGGCGGGCTGACAACAGCTGTTAAGTCTTGAGGGACAATTAACTTGTCCTTCCGATGTCAGCCGCTACGTCAGTGTTATGA